CTTAACTTGCTAACGACGAAATCATGTCGGGCATTTACTAGGAGAAACATCAACGTACGGTCTCCTTGACGGGACCGTATTAGGTATACATATCTTGTATACATATAATAATCGAGAAATTTATTACGCCGCGAGTTTAAACTGTTCGTGCAGATTACTGTAAATTATCTTATCTACTTTATCTCACTCTTCTTATCTTTCAAACACGTCATCATTCTTGTCAGGCCACACGCAATAGGTGAAAGTCTATAATTACAGCTACTCACCCCACGCGAATAAGCGAATTTTAATATCGCCCGGGAAAAATCGAGTATCCTTAATGCAAGTGAATGGGACGATTATTATTATTATTATAAAGTGTATCGCGGATCGACCATATTCATCCCCATCGGCTCTTCTCCTCTACCCCTTTCCCTCGGAACTACAAAAGTTCGTCTCTCTACCGGTATGCATATTATTAAAACATTCCAGAGTGCTCCCCATCTACGTCGACATGCCCTGCAGGGAAGCCGGTGGATTCATAACTTCTAGCGTACCCATGACGAGCAAATCTCTCAAATTGTTAGCCATTGTCTCTCTTTCTCGTGCCTCATATCACTTTTTGCAGGAAATGTTTGAAGACACTTCTCATAGTTTTCTTTTAGTTCTATATTTTTTACGTATTTTAATAGTTTTTGATTTTCATTTTTCGATTATATTCTATGTATTTTTTAATATTAATTTATATAATAAAGTAGAGACATATAAATAAATTTAACATAAAATTTAAGAATTTTATATTAAATTTATTTATATGACTCTACTTTATTATATAAATTAATATAAAAAATGAATAGAATATCGAAAAATGAAAATCCCATTATATATATAAAATTATCCCATTATTCTTTCTCCAAAATTTTTATAAATACATCTTTATAATTAGAAAATATTAAAATATTTAAATATACATATACACACATAAATTGAAGTCTCTACTCTTGGAACATAGGATAAGCATTTTGTAAAAATCGAAATAAACGATTTTTTACCACTGACTTTTGTTGCAGGATATTATACGAAGAGACGATAGCGCGCCTATTATCGTTTCTTCATTGCCTTCCTGCAGTTAGCTTCTTGCTAACGGGCGGATGTCTCAATTAAGATCGAACGCGATCGACTGCAATTACCGACGATTTTCACACCGCCATTCTATCGCGTCTCCCTTTCTTGCGATCTTTTGCTTCCTCTTCCCTTTAAAGACACAGTAATGGCCACCTTGAGAAAATAAAACTACTCTTTGCACGCGCATCAATCAATTATTGCGCTACAATATATGCAGTTTCATTCCAAAGAACTTACATACGTGGTTAAATATCTTACGACTAAATATGATTGGAATTTCTGTATTTATTCGAAAATATAATCATAAAATTTATAGATCATAATTTAATATTATTACAAATATTATATCACTAAAAAATTTGCAAATAAATTCATATTTAATAAAGTGTGAATATATTAATATGTAATAAATATTATACTAATGTAATAAAAAAAAATCACGGTAATTTATCTCCGTTTCGATATACCGCGTATAATGCTCTCAATGATAATTCTCGTATGATATTAAACAAAAATAATTTCAGATCGTGAGAGACATTTGCTTTTGGCTAAAATAACTCAAGCTGCAAACATACACGAGTGTACATAGTTTAAAATAGTAGAGAGTGTGTGGAAAAGATACTTCTTTCATTGCACATCGCTCGAGAAAACGATCATTAGCATTGAATCGTGCAATAAATTACGGCCATGATACGGCAATCCTAAAGTAATCTTTCTCCTTTACAGTGACATAAATCACCCCCTCGCTAATGCGTCGCAATAACGCACGGACGCGAGTATGCGAATATTTACGAGAACATTTAATTAACCGGGACATTGCTTGCTTGGGCGAAACGCCGGATCGCGAAAGGATCTCGCGAGGATCGTACCGCAAAAATCGGTAATGCGCACGATACCATCCTTTCTCTCTCTTTCTTCCTCTCATACATTATCCTTCATGAGAGGATTTCGTACTCTTTTTTCCAAGCCGGCCAATTAGGTTGCCGAGCAACGATGCACGATTGCGCGGTGATAGGATGATCGAACGACCTGATCGTATCGATGCTCGCGTGCCAAGACCATGGTCAGGACACTCGATAAGTGCATAATGCATCCTGATAAGACGACAGCGAATACGCTCTAAAGGTACACGACAAGGTACGATAGAAAAAGAGACAGAGAGACGAAATCGAGCACAGAAAAAGCGGACTTGCAGGACTTTCTCTAGATGTACGAATGGTATTATCTGTACAAGATATCGAAACTGGCAGTAAGTGTTTCTCTGCAAAATGAATTGATCCGCGAGGCAAAAGAAACCACGTGTTTATCAATATACGCGTTGATAATATGATCTAGCGATAAATCGCCGCTCAATCTATCTATAATTTCCAAGATAACGGTGCCACGAGGTATGTTGTTTGAAAATGCGATAATAGTGTTGCGCTGATTTGCAGTCAAATCACGATAGATACATTGAGCTGCTCCAAAGCTAAGTCTAACAAAGTACATCCTTTTACATTTTAAAGATATGAAGAAAATATGAAGAATGAATATATCGCTAAAATTAAAATTAATTAAAACAAACTATCGTGTTAATATTTCGTCAGTAAACAAATTTTCCATAACACGTCAATGGAAGTTGATTGAATGGAAATAAAGCTTTATTATTATTATTATGAAAGGATAATATATACTATTTAATTAATTTAATTTTCTACTATTTCTTGTCGATAGAAATTTATTTCTGCACTTTTGTTTATCCGAACCGACGATCTCGTCAACCGTATACGATTGTCGGCGAATTGCCCACACCTGTTTTTCGTCGGCACGTGGATCCTAATTAAGCATAGGTCAAAGGTCGCGGGTGAGGGTGACCAAACGAGTCGCCGCGGATTCATCCGTCCTCTACAAGAACGGCGTCGCTACCGATTATCGGAAGAGACCCCAACTGGCTGCGCTTTGTGTCAGGACGTCGTTTGATCTTCGACCACGTGGCGCGGTGGGGTGACTACACGAGCCGGGGTCGTTGCTAATTGCCAGTTCAGCGACCACGTCGATGAAATCTGCACTTGCATATCGCATCGACGAGAAATCGGAGGTAGCCCGAAGGAAAGAGAGGGCGAGAGACGGGGGACGTAGATACAGGGAGTTCTCTTGCTCCCTCGCGATTCTCATGATCGCGGCAACGACCGATCTTCCTACGACGGATATTATATCGGATGCGCTGCTAATTGGATACAGAAAAAAACGAGTCAACGATGAAATATACACGTAGGTAGTAATGTAGATAAATATTCTGATTCAGGTACTCATCTGCTTTTTTATGTCCGATTGTGAACAGTGAAAAGGAACTATGCGCATGTATGTAGACGAAAGAAAGATAGATATTTTAAAAATATACATTTCTCTTGTCAATTGCGTTTATTATATTGAAATGCCATCTAACGAGTGTAAGCTGCTTTGTTTTCAAAAAGAAAAGCAACTCAATATCGCATCAGAAAAATGGGAAAGGAAAAATCGTCGAGTATATTCCCTTACATTTTATCTAATAGTCACGGAAAAAATAATAGCGGAAAATACTAAATATTTTGGAACGAATACAAACGACAATTATCGCCTTTTATTCTTTTCCCTCAATAGCAAAAGATTAATAAAATAACACCTTTTGTACAAATCACAGAATCTAAGGAAAAATTTGAAGAATAGAGGGGATGAGCGTAGGCGGACGCGATAGTTTATATAAGGGAGGAAGATAAACCTCAATCATGCCGATTGACCCCTCCAAGTGAAGTTAGGTAGGGGAATTTCGCTCCTCCCACTTATCCTGTCATGTGATCTCGGACAACCTTCCTTCCTTCCTGTCTGTTTTCCTTTCTTTCGGTCCAGCGCAAGATATAAATCTCAGAAGCTGAGTTCAAGAAAATGCAATGAGATCTTTTGGAATGGAGGAGATAATCTGCTTGTTCATATGCATTCATAGCAAAGCAAAATATGCACTTTAAGAAATGAAAACATATATAAACTGTGCATTCAATTTTTAATTAAGTAATTGTAAGTGATATCGAAATAATTGAATGAATTCGCACAATAAAAGATGATATAATAACTGTTTAACGATTGAATAAAATTCGATGGTTTAGAATTTTAGGGCAATCATAAAAAATATACACAAACACATAAAAAATCGCGCTTTGAAGAAATTCTTTAAAGAAACGTCAAATAATCGATTATACAAAAAATAATTTAAAATTTAATATTGATTAAAACATTAGTATTATTAATACAAGTATTAATGTCGATGTAGGAAAATATTTCTGTTGAGCGATTCAAGTGAAAATGATTTCTTTTAAATCCTCCTATTTTTCCTCCTATTTTAAATTTTCTTACGAAAAATTTAAAACATAACAAATTCTCTTCACTGAAAATCGCATGAAAATAATAAAATAGAAAATAAAATAGCGTTAATGCAATGCGTCAGGACATTATATATACATATAAATTGCAATGAATAAATAAAATTTATAAAAAAAAAAATAAATATTTCACGATAAACGAATTCCGAAAAAATTCAGATCGCTAATATTAGCATACTTGTTGCGTCAAGAGAAGGTATTTTAGGCAATTTTTCAAGAATGAAATGGAGCCGTCCCGAAAGCGAAAAAAAAGGATGCAGGGTGGGAGGAAAAGGGATAAAAAGGGAGATGCAGAATGCGAACTATGGTTAGGTTAGGTTAGGTTAGGTGCACTCATTTTTCCACCTTACTCTTTCTCGCACGCATTCTGTCTTCGCTATTTCTCTTTTTCCGTCACAGCCTCTCAACATCGCGTCGTCCTTGTCCAAGCCAGTTCCGTTTCTGTCCATCTCTCTTCGTCTTTCATATCGAATCTCGGGGTAGTGGTCGATGGTGGTGGTGGTCGTGTCCGGATGGTGGTGGTTATGGTGGGGGGGTAGTTGGTTCCTTCGTGCCTATACTGCTCCCTATCTCTCCTTTCTCTCCCTATGGGAGGGCGAGGAGAGCCCCCGTAGCCGCGCACTGCGCACCGAGTTCATCATAGACAGAGCGATCTTCCTGACAGCTCCTCGTCGGTCTTGAACAGAGGTGGAATCGTCCAGATTCTGTCCATCTCTCCGGTTCTGCGGTAGCGTGTTAACGAACAGAAAAGAGGGAAGGATAACGGGGATAACGAAAGTGCGCGATCTTCTCGCGTTCCTAGATCGGACGGTTACTCTCGATCATCATATACGTCCCGATCATACACTGTGCTCCCTGACAGTCACGAAATTTTTTATCATCTCCTCGTTCATAATTTTTTTAACAATCTCAGTCGATTTTTAATCGAATCCTGTCTTCGACTTCGGCGGCAAATTTTTCACAAACGTGATCGAATACGTTGACACCTTCGCTTCTAGAGTCCCTCGAAGCGGATCAAATCTCTCTTCCCTTCCTTTCTCCGTTCTTTCACATTTTTCTCTTCCGCAATCTTCAAAGCCTCGCCTGGTTCTGTCGTCATCGTTCACACTGTGTGTGACGATCGCGGGAAGTTTGCTATTCGACTGTTTGCACGAGCGGAGCGAAAGATAGGCGCGGTTGCGAGGGAGAGAGAGGCAGAGGAAACTGCGGTGGAAGAGGAAGAAGCGGTTGAGGAGAAAGAGGAAGAGGACCTGTAGCTAAGAGGCGAGGAAGGGGGAAGATTGTGATGGTCCGTATGTGGGAGGAGTAGGAGGATCCGAAGGGCGACTTTTCTTTTATTTGAGCTTGACACTTCGCCGCGAGCGCACACACACCGGAAGTGCCGAGTGAGACGTCAAGTTCTCTCTCTTTCCACCTTCATCGAGAGATTGAAAGAAAGCGATAGAAGCGTATTAGAACGTATTAGGACAGAGGGTGAAAGGACGACAAGATGTCACTGGATCTTCGGATAGATTTTGCCGAGAAAGATGCCGTAATCCGCGACTTTGCAGTACAAATCGGATAAAGAAGATCATTGCAAGATAAACGCGAGCTATGCTGAAATCTTCCTCCAGCGCCGAAGAGAATGCCAAAGACGAGAAGAGAGAGGGAGCCGGTGCAACAAAGTGATAGTGACCTCATCGTATACCTCGACGAAGTTTGGAGTACGCTAAGGTTCTCCATATTTCGTTCGGAGAATATCGACAGTATTTCCCTTCCAAAGATAAGTATATCTAACAATATTGAGCGAAATTGCTCGACATCTCTCGACCGTCAAATACTGTTCTCTCGTCGATAAACGCAACGGGTATCCTTAACGAGAGAACGTACGTGTAAGTGGTGCATCAAAGGATAACGAAGCGTCATTACCAGACAAACGAGTCACAAGAAGGAAGGTTTCGAGAACGTCGTCAACGAAACGTCATCGAGCAAGCATGCCGACGCAATAAGCTGCCACGAGAGTCGAGATCGAGACACATACCCTCGATGAATTGCTCGATCGCCGCGGAATATTATTGTCTCGGGGTAGTTTTCGAAACGAACCCTCGGAGCAGCGAAACTGGGAGTTCTCGAATCGCACGGAACGTCAAAGGAGAAGCGCCGGTGCCCGGGGCGAGGTGGAGTCCTCGACGCGTGCCAGGCTGCTGATCACAGGCACCGCAGCGAAAAGAGTAGGAGAGGGACCGGAGAATACAGGCAAAGAAAGAGAAAGGCATACGAAGGGAGAAAGAGAAAGAGAGAGCAAAGAAGGGAGAAAGAAAGAGAGAGGGAGAGAAAGAACGAGAGCAACTTCAGCATCGTCTCGAACGAGGGGTCCTTCCATTTGGGTGCTAGGGGTGTGCAGCCCTGGACGAAGGGTCGCACTCAACTCTTTTAAAGTGGGCAAGCCGCGCAAAGAAGAGGAAACGTCCTCGAGGCGATGACAGAATGCCTCCGTCTCGTACAGGACGCGCATACGAAAGACCGCCGTCCAGGATCGCCACGAAAATCGGTCCCGCTGTTGCTCTATTGTTGATTCTCTTCGAACATCGTCGGTAACTATCATTACGATTCAATAATCACACATTAAATTCCTTTATCTGTTTAGAGTATGATTTATAGAATGACGATTGTTAGAGTCAAGATTGTAATACATGAACTTTAGCGTGAATATTTTTCGATTTTTCGATATCGTTGCTATATCTACAAATTCATATATATAAATTATTTTTATATTCATTAATTAATCTCATAAAAGAAACAAAAAGAGAGAATTATATTACAAATTAATAATATAAATCTAATTTATTAATTAGTTATTATAATTAATACTATAATAAATAGGAAACATTGTGCTCTTCCATTTATGTCGGTAATTAGAAGTAAAATATGACAAATTTATCGAATCAATCGATAAATTTGTCATATTATAGAAATTATTGATATAACTTTATTAATATCTAGAATAGAAAATAGTTTCTTGATATTCATAAAAATTTAAATTCGATAAGACTAAGAAGTATGCAAATCTTTTTCAATTTCACGTAAATTTCATTAATTAGAATAAAGCATCTCCCTTGTACACATCAAATTTGTAAGATTATACGCGTATAATCGTTCTCAGATTATACACATGTTGGCTTATACATATTCATGATTCACTACGTGTGTTCGTCCACTCTCAAGTCGCCAATTTATTTTCGCTTAAACGTTTGATACATTCTTCTTCGTGATTGACTAGCGATACACGATTTCTCCGATCCTTCCTCTCTCATCCTCTTCGTCCTCTTCTTTCTCCCCGTCACACTTCACACTTCACCATCGCCGCGAATACTCTTCTGGGGAGGCCGTTTTATACCTCATACTTCGATCCACACGATACTCCGATACGATGCACCATAATGCAGACGTCAAAACGTCACTCTCGCTCGGCTTTATTCGTCCGCTGCGACGGAGCGCTTCAAATCGCGAAGTCGTTCACGAAATTCACGTTGTCCATCCCGCGGTGGAAAGTACACGAAGAGCACGACAATGTCGCGGGACAACCGAGGAGAAGCTGCGACGAGAGCAGCGGTCGCCGTGTCTAATCTCGCCGAGAGAAATTTACGAGCGCGGTAGCACGACCGGCTTCTTCCTTCGTCTTTTTCCCCGGTGCGTCTTCTGTGCTCCTGGCTCCGTCCACTCTCTTGGTTTCCTCTGCGGAAAGAATCCGTCAATAGGACGCGTTTCTTCGATCCGGCGGTCCAGGGATGCACAATGACGAAGTGCAAATAGGCCGTTCCAACCGGGCTCTGTATTACGAAGAATGGATCCCGCTGCGATCTTTATTATGGCTCTTCAATCGTAATACTAATCGCGCCTTGTGTCCTGGGATAGCCCCAAACCAGACTTTTTTTTACGAAAAGTCATCGATGAGGCGACGATTCTCGGACAATGCGCGTTCGTCGCGAATTGAAAAAGGTGGCTTTTAGGCATTTAAATAAAGCAAATGCACATTTTAAAAGGGATTATATAATTAATTTAAAATTTTTTTTATATTAAAAATCCTTAAAAAACGCCAAATAATTTCAAGTCAAAATTGCATGGGAGATTATTTAAAATTGCTAAGTACACATTCTTTCTATCCTATTTGGCAAATAATATTAATAAATAATATTAATAATATTAAATATAATTAAATATAATTAATAATATTAAATATTATTTGCCAAATAGGATAGAAAGAATGTGTACTTAGCAATTTTAAATAATTTTAATAATATTTAATATTACATTAGAGATCATCTTCTCACTTATGCAACACTCAAGATTCTCCCTTTCTCTCTCATCATTAAGTCGATAAACAAAGTTCGCTGTATTAGCAAAACTTGTAGAACTGTCAATCAGGCACTATAGTCGTAAAATCCGGTATAAAAGTGTCAAGTAATAAATTTTATAATCGCAGCATTTCGATAATAACGTTTCTCATTTGTCGTCGTCCGGTGAGATATCGTATGCGATAATCGCCAATGATTCGCCACGAGTCCTCGAAATATATACACAACGAACGACTCTTCGTCAACAGCGACAGGCTCTTCTCTCAGACCCACGCTGCCTCTTGTAAATAATTACGCCTAGCATCCGGGAATAGGACGTGCGTTGGCGCACGTGTATGTAAATTCACGCACATTCACATACGTACTTATACGAGTCGGACTTGCAGGACGGCATTGAATTACGGTTTTGATGATATAATAGTCAATAAACTGGTTCGCGCGCGCACGACAACACGCATTCTCAACGTTTTGACACGTACGTGTACACAGCTTTTCCTAATATATCCTGTGATACACGGCACTTCTTGCGCGATGCGGATTTACGCGTCGCGAATAAATCGTGGCGAATAAAAGTGATGACAAAGTTTGGTGTGGGAGCTATGTGTACTTTAAACATCTTACGAGTCGATAAAGCCCATTTAAAAATCTGCAAACTTTAAAATATTTCTCAACTTTATTTTACTGTTAAAGACCATTTATTTACTGTTACGACTGTTTATTCATATAATCATTATTGTCAGATTTTTAAATTATCAGCTGTTTCTCAATTTAGCAAGCTCAACTTAGCAAGTACAGTTCTCAACTTAGCAAGTACAGTTGCTGAATCTTATCGAATATCAATTTATTTAATTGTCTCACAACCAATTAGACAATCAGTATAAACTGATAGGCACTATACACTATGTTAATGAAACTCTCCTTCAAAATTAAAACTTTATCTTATATTGATTTATTGTATATGATACATTAAATTTAATTGCGAAGAGAAAGAAACTCGGTAAGATCAATAATATTAAGACAACGTTTCAGATAACGTGAAAAATATGATCGAGAATTAGAACTTATAGAAGTGCGATAACATAACGATCGAATGGATAAATCGCGGTTTGCAGTCTCTCGGATGCAATATCATTTTCAGGAAATTTATATTTATTAGGGAGACGAGAAATAAACACGGAAACTTAACGATTTATTAAGGAAAGAAGATTTTGTAATTCGAAATATTTTACGAGAGATCGCTGGGGGAATTGACGAACTAGAGGGGAATCTTGTTTTATCGCAAAGTTACAGGTCGTCGTAACTTATGCATTAGATACCATCTGCAGAACGTAATTCGCGGACTATCGCATTCCTTACAATGTACTCGCCGCGAAATCGATTTACTCTCGTAAAGATCGAGGGAAGAGCGAGGCACCTCGATATCTACCGCAGGTATTCTCGTGAGTCGGATAGTGAAAAAAAGCGAGTTCTCTCTCTCTTTCTTCCCACTAGATATATCCCATTAGATGTGAAATTCCGTACCGTGTTCCCCTCCCTCATCTCCGAGAGCAGAACGGGGAACGGGGATTAAATAAAATACGCGCATCTCTTTCTCTCTCTCTCTCTCTCTTTCCCCCTGCATCGTCGCCATCTTGGATTCTTGTGCGATCCCTTGGATTATTGCAAAAATGCGGGACACGCGCTCGCGTATCTCGTCTCCGATTTGCCCAGCGGGTTCCCATGAGATTGAAGATCCGAAGCAAAATGGAATTATAACGGCCGCTAAAAGCGCAATGCCAAGCGTTTGCGCAAGAAATTGCGCTTACGTCATCTTGTTACTTCATTTTCCAAGTGTAGCATTAAATGAGTGTAATTCTTAATTGATAATATATCGCATCGTATTTATCGTAAAATAATTAATCTTTAATTTATTCGATGTGAACTCTTAATCAATCTCACAGAACAGCGCCGATCTTTTTAATCATAGCGAAGAATTTTTGTAAGAAAAATTTGAAAAATATTATACAATAAATTCTCATCCATTTTTAATTGCACATTTTATGTATACATCGCGAGGCATGTTTGATCAAGAAATTATGTTCTTGATAGAATAAACATGCATAATTTAGAATAATTGCTGATAATAAGATTAGTAAACAAAGCTCTGCACGGTCGCTATAAGCGATACGGTAAAATAATTGCTTCACGTATTCGCCTCATACTTTAATCGCAGAGTGAGATGCATGCACAAGCGGGGGAAAGTCGAAACACACGTGTGCGCGAAAGGTAGCAGAAGAATCTCTCGGATACACAATCCGACTTCCTCCGCAGGTACTCGGTGTCTTCCGTAATTTGTTGGAGGAGTTAAGATCATTAATCTGCTTTCGGTAGATCATCAATAGCGCGAAAGATAGCAATGCTGCAACGGTGTACTGGTAATGGGAGCTCTCAATAACCTCGACGACCCTAAAACCCCGTCGTTCTTTTCCCACACTACGTAGTATCATCGGGTACCTTTTTTCCCTTTTCTTCTTGTTATCACCCATTCTCCCCGTCCTTGTTCGCTGTCGTCAATTTCTTCTTCGTCTTGCTCCTCTTTCTTCGTTCACGCGGGTGCTATACGCAGCTTTTACTTTAGAAGAAGCTCGTCCGCTAATTTGTACCCGCAGATAACCGGACGACCCGCGGAGAGCCTTGCACCCGTAACATCCTGCAGGACCCTCCGAGAGTCCCTTCAAAGAAAAAAAAATAAACCGCTCCGAGAGACGCTACAAGCAGATTAATGATCGTGAAGGATGCCACGGCGATCTTTTCGCGCTGCTGACCAATCTTGCGAGTTTCACGATCGTCGATAGGAATATTTGACCATATGTTCGCATGTTAACGACGCACGTTCATTTTCATAAAATTATTATCTCTCTTGACTGAACGTACCGCAGGAAATTTTTAACTTTTGCTACACTTTTTGCCATTCTTTATAAATTGCATACGTCGAGAAAAACAGAGAAAGAAAAAGAGAAATAACTCAATTCAATTAATTTTAAAATGATAATTTTAGCTTGAGTATTATAAAAATGCTTAAGAGATGCACGCATCGCTAGAATTCTTTTTACGACAGATAACCTATCAAAAGTACGAGCATTTTCAAATCTTAAGAAATTCTGCCGTTTTAAAATAAACATTTCAGTTTAAAAAAATTAAATCCATATCAGAAAAGCGGAATGTTAACCCAACCAAATTCGATAAAAGTCTAGTTTATAGCTTACCATTTATTAACTGTATAAATACTCGGCAAGCTATTAAAAAGGCTGTAAAAAATCCCAATAGTACAATCGTCTAGCATTTTGGTAAAGTACACGGTAACAGGAAATGACAACTTTGCTGGTCTCGCAGCGAACGAAACGAACCGGCAACCCTCCTATCTCTTTCTTTCGATAGACCCACGCACGTTTTCGACGCACGCACTCACGCACGCATGCCGCTATCGTTTCTTTTCTCCACCTCGAAATTAATTAACACCCGGTACGCCGTAATACGTGACCATTAGGCAGCAGCCGTCGCTTAAGATAGCGCTTTAAGAGCTCCTCTTCCAGGAGATGAATGCCGTTATCGCGACCAAGCGGGGGATGGGAGCAAGATACGCATGATGTAAGGGGAAGGGGCCGAACGCGCGAGCCTTCTTCTCTGCCGTGCTCCCTTCGCAGGGCGCGCTATGGCAGAAACAGACGGCAAGATAGAAACGGTTTTATATCGGCTCTTTGAGAGCGTTCGCACCTCTTGACCCCGGCCTCGTAAAGTCGAAAGAAAGCGGACGCCCGTACGCGGTGCACGCGTGCGCAAAAGTGCGCGTGCAGCCATAAAATCGGTGCCCCAGACCGCGATTAGTGCTGCATCGTACAGATTCAGAGATGCAGCCGGTTCCGATTTTTGATACGCAACGAATGCTTTCGATTCCATCAGGCGAGATTCCCCATGTGTTCAAGCAAAATTTAGAAATCACGATTTAAAACAGAGATGTCAATTATATTTTATTACATATGAATTAAATAATAATTTGGCAATTTTGGCAACGCTATTAAGATATATATTATTCGATTCCATCAGGCGAGAGTCCTCATCTGCCCAAGCAAAATTTATAAATCGCGATTTAAAACAGAGATGTCAATTATATTTTATTATATATGAATTAAATAATAATTTGGCAATTTTGGCAACGCTATTAAAATATATATTATTCGATTCCATCAGGCGAGAGTCCTCATCTGTCCAAGCAAAATTTAGAAATCGCGATTTAAAACAGAGATGTCAATTATATTTTATTATATATGAATTAAATAATAATTTGGCATCGCTATTAAGATACATATTATCGTATTTAAATAGAAATAGAAATTAAAAATAATATAGTTACTTGCAAAATTATTTGTTACCAATTCAAAATTATGTTACATTAGAAAATATAATTTTCTAATCGAAAGCAAAAGTGCCAATTAATCGAATGTTATCTCAAAGAGCATGTCGATAAATATCGTTTATTGTTCCTCTTCTTTTCCTGAGATATTCATCGTAAAATATCGATGCTTCCTACAATCTAAGTACCGGTAATCATCCATAGTGCAATTGCTTGCGCACCGTTATCCGCGAAGAGCTCAACGATAATCAGTTTCGCGAGTTTAACCAGGTGGTGAGCTTGACCGGCTGCTCCCGTGCTTCCGCACGTCGTCACTAATTACACTCGACACATGCTAAACTAATATGTACGTTCGCAACCGGGAAGAGAAATAACGGCGATGAAAAGACTAGGATGCGGGTTCTAACTTGGCGGTAAATACTTGTAGCTTATTACACGTTTTTTTTTTCTCCTTCGTTAATTTCTCATGAGATGCTGTAATTTTCTCGAGATTTGACGATGGGGAAGCAACAGTGTATTCAATTACACAATGTAGAGAAAAAGAATTTCTTATTAAAATTAATATTGGAGATTTTGTGAAAACCTTCGGACACGTGATAAATCAGATGGTGATTTATGACACGCAAAGCAATTTCTCTTCCGCGAGATATTCCGAGAAAGGCGTCAAGGGAATTAACCAACGTTTTCACACGTTGCATGTCCGCACGAATACCTGATAATCGAAAGAATTATCAAAGTTGCGAAAATTGAAAAAAGTACCTTTAACAAATGTCTGCTGCATCATGATTATCCATGAAATTCTAACAATCGGGAACAAGTAGAGAATAAAAGCATTAAGAGAGCTATGAATGATTGAAAAAAGATCATTGATTTTCCGAAGCCAAAATCACATAAATCGATCGACCACTCCCGTGAGAAAATTATTCGCTTCGCTATTCGAAACTTGCGATTTAAACCGATCTGATGGAATTAATTACGAGCGTCCATCGATAATATTTTATTAACCGTAAAAACTCGTTGAAAAACGTAAAGACTTATTTTTTTTATACTTCCATATCGCGTTCAATGGTTTCCTTGCTTTACAGAGATTTTTTTGCATTTACATAAGGAGCCTGAAACAATGTAACTACGTTGCTCGATATGATGTGCGATTTCTGTATCAAAGATAAAAGCGGTCGCATTTATTTCGCCTATACGTCTCTCAGTTCATTTAATCTCGATGAAAAAGATGCTCATTTTACGTATTTAATCATGACGCGGTCCATTATCGTAATCGTAACCGCTTGGCGAAGAAATGATTAATATTTCACTATATTTTTCAGCGCAGTTAGCCTAATGAGCAATTCCGTGGATGATTGGGAGAGAAGCCGCAGCAACGTCGTCTGCAGCGGCATCCCGGGATTGACGAAGGAGCAACGCGAGCTTTGCTATAAAAATCCCGATGTTACCGTAGCTGCGACGGAGGGGCTGCAAATGGCCATATCTGAGTGTCAGTATCAGTTCATGTGGCATAGGTGGAATTGCTCGTCCCTCACACCTAGCAGCAGAATTCAACAGAACAGCGTCCTTCTTCAACGAGGTACTAAGAATACTTAACGAGCGAAATTATCTGATCAGATCTGAACGCGTGATTAATAAACTGCCGGCTCGCTAATGGCGAATTAATGTTTCCTGGATCATTAAATTCGTCGCGGTTCGCGCCATAAATACAAATGAACGAAATGTATAAGACTCCATTAAAGAACCGAGAAATGACAGATAAAATTATGTGAAAAACAATACGAAAGCAGCCGAAAGTTTTTACATCATGCGTTGCAGATCCCTCGGAACAACGTAATTTCAGGAACAAGTTCCTTGGTAATTTTTTCGGAGTATATAATTAAATCATTCTATGCACATAAGATAATTTTTATGAACGAAAATAAGTCCATCTTGGCCAAGATAAGAAAGCCAACTGTTCAAATAATAAATTCAAATCTACGATTTTCGTCACAAACAAAATACTTTATTACGCTATAAATTCAACGTATATTCTTTTATAGACATAATTATTAATTATTAGATTTTGTAACCATCACAAAAAATAGTATAATATTTTTACTCTCACTTACTCAACGTGTAATATATGAGCTGTACCAAACACGCTAAGCAAACTGATCCGGAAAATTTTATTCGATGATATTTCGCGTCTGGGGATAAAAATTCTGGATGATTCCTCATCGTGTAATCGCGTACGTGTTTCTTGAGGGAATAATACAAAGTGGAATCTTTTACGACGTCGCGTTGATGGCGAGGGGAGGCGAAGCGACGCGTTTTCTTAAATCAAAGCGCACGGCGTAACCTACCCGCGGTAGACTCCGAAAACCTGTCCCAATTCCATAAGAAGACCCTGCGGTCGGCCTATTCCAGTGTGACATATAAATTCGTCGTGGCGTGTACGTGCGCCGAAAGAGGAAACATATATCGTGTCGGACGAATGCGCGAGAGCGCGACATCGGGCGCACCTGACCTGAAAGCTTAAGCCCATGTCCGGGGGCCCGCATCCCGGCCCCTTGTTATCTGCCTCCGTGGATCGGTACGCCTTTTTTTGCCCGCGAGAACGGGAGGAGGTGTCGATTCCACGACTTTTTCAAGAGTTATGTAAAGCGACCCGTCCTGACCAATCGTGGAATTCTAACGAGATACCTTCGGTACTTACTCCGACGAATTTAATTTCTTTTCTCGCAAAATCGCCTCGTAAATATCGTCTTCCCATCGTTCTCCTTGATTCGTTTTTTAACTAGATGCTATTATTATGATGGAAAAATGAAGTGTAAGATAAGCGAATTATATATTTAATGATTTTTTTCAAATTTCTACGTCGTAAAGAACGTAGCTTTTTATCGCGTATAAAATTGTATAAATTTCTTTTTATATTCCCTGTGTATACAATGTGTTTAGCCGCTGCACGAATGGCATGCCATTCTGCGGAGGAATCTCAAATGGTCGCATCAATCGCACGGATGTTTCGCGCGCGACAAAAACCCCCTTACATTCGTCCCAGCGCGGGACCAAGCACGCGAAAAAGGTTGGATTCATCGATTATCCGTAACATCGGCAACAACCGTCGGTCGTTATTAGATTTTGGCTCTCGAGTCAGAGGGCAGTAGCTTCCGAGAAAAGCGCGTACCTCCACTGTCCCTCGGCCAACAGCCACCGTCCCCTTCTTTAAGGTCCACCGGTGGCCAGGTGGAGAGAGAGAAGACGGTTTGCGAGAAATCCACCGTGTCAAATTCGGGCCCCGGGTCCGGCATCTCGACAAGAACCGCTTGTAGCTAAGTCACTCGGACACGGTCCTCTTGCCCTCTCGTTGCTCTCAACGCGGTTCTGCTCTTCCCTTCGCCCCTCTTGCTCCGACTTTTCTCGCCTATCGTCGGGTTTCGGCAAAACGACTTAATGTATTATGAAAAGTACACGGAACCGATCTTCGACCGCTCCGACCGGACCGTGAAGCCCACACAAGAAGGACGGACCCGTTGCCGACACCGAATCACCGCAATGATGCTCCGCGTCGACAGGATTTATAGCTATAAATATGGAAATGCCTAAAACGTCGAGATGAAAGCTCTTTCTTCTATTTCTAAAACCATTGATTCTCATTCTTTGACCCTTCGAACAGCGAATTCTGACGACGAAGGATTCCATAAAAATGAGCTCGAACGTGTATAGAACTCGGTAAGAAACATCGTTAAGAAGCAAAAATATTATATAACGAGTAGTGAATACATATAAACCAAAATTGCATAATTTTATACATTAATTAAAAAATGGTCAAACAAGATTTTTACTCAAATCGATCTCAAAATAATCCCATTGATGGAATAAATTTGTTGAACATCTACAGTTTACATATTTTTATTTCCGATCTATAAAAGACATATTCTTATACGAATCTCTTAAACGCATTAAATGGTTAAAATAATTATACGAAACAATACATTCTATAATATAAATTTTAACAATTTATTAATTTTTTATGTTATTCATAATATGATATCAACGAATAAAAGTAACAATATATACGAATAGTAATCTCCAATTATTTATTTTCTCCTCTCATTCAGTATAGAAAATAACTGAATTTCATAAAAGAATTTAGTTATTGATCTATACTGAATGAGAGGAGAAAATAAATCTAGTATACCTATAATTTTAGTATTTTTCGCAGATATTTTCTTGATTTTTAAAATTTAATTATTTATTATATATCATACATAAATTAATATAGTAACAGTAAGAGTAATTTGGAGATAAAAGAGAAGTATAAAGAAAACGCTTGTTAATCGAATGGTTTCGTTGAACCCGTTTGATTTGTGTCTTCTGTGACTATCGGTTCCCGAAGGACACTCGTCGTATTCTTGCTGGGACCTCCCGGTCGCTATCTATTGAGTTATCTAAATAGCGATTCGGGCCTGACACGCGAGAGTAGCGCGGGGCCACCATCCGTCACTACGTCGCTACGTCAAGACCTCTACGATGGAGAAGCGAAGGAACAGAGATCGCTGCGCGTTCCACGGGATTCTTCCCCCGCCTTCCACCTTGGATTCTCCGCTGTCCCTGAGAGAAGAGACGTACAGCTCTCCGCGGAGGATTTATTATGCGCTCCCTCCGTCCTTTTCGTTGTCGGGAAACAGCGACGGTTTCGCGGCACGGTAGCTATCTGCATTATAAAGCAGCCATTGCTGCCAATAGCCGTATATAGCGAAAACTCTCAACCACTCCTCCCACCGTATAACCATATAAAGGACCTCCCTTGTCTCATTCCAGCGAGCAATGCGCGTTTCTCAGCGTGCGCTTTAGCGTCCTTGGTATCGAGTCGCGATATCGAGTTCGATGGTGCGCGCCGAAAATTAGTGGGTCCACCCTGGGGTTCCCGACATTTCTATCGACTCGGGGAATCTCAGAAAAAATGCCCTGGAGATCCCAGGATTCACGAAGAAGTCTCTTCAACGTCGTCGCGTTTCGTTCCGAGGAGCGACGTAATCAGTTGCCAGCTGTCCGATTACCTTCTATGCTAAACGATTAAACAGGTCCATTCTCTCGGCTGATCTAGTAGCTGAGTTGACAGCGATCTCGAAAAGACCTCTCATTGTCGCTGATATTTGTTTTATATCATGCTAAATCATATCATCATAATTCTTTAATAAGCTCATTATAATCGGGAGAAATCAATATTTACGAAATTATTTAATTTTCAACGTATAAAGAATCGTGTATAATTTTTATATCAGCTTTTTAACATTAAAATTCTTCATTTTCAGTTCGAATAAATATCCCTGTCGACGTGAAAAGAATCAAGGAAAGGATCGTTTTAATATTATACGCGATCGTTCGCGATTTCCGAAGAATCGGGCGAGAAATCGCGATTTATTCGCAGACGGACTTCTCGCAGGGACGTTTGGCATCGTATCGCTTCTCGGGCACCCCGTCGCGAAATCGTTTATATTATACATGCGGACATGTGGATGTGCCCGCCGGCCGCCGCTGCTGATGGCCGCGCTTTGTTTTGACGGACGGTTGAATAATCTACCTCTGAACTGCGCCTGATGGCTGTCTGTCTGTCGGCCCGTCGCATCCCGAACTCGCTACCGAAGTTCCTTCTACGGAAGCTCCTCCGGTGTCCCGCTGTTTCATGATCTCTGTCTTTACTCGAGAGTGAGGCGAGAGGAGCGAATGCGATAGAGCGCAAGTCTTGCGTATATTATCCGCCTCGTGTCCATCGGTGTCGCCGACGACGGATAGCAATTTGCTAACGGAGACAACTACGGATCTTTCTCGGATGCGTCGCATCTCCAACTACCTGTCGGCGCATCTCCACCATTTATATAGAAAGATCGACGCGGCACGTGACGTACGATATATTAAATAAGCTTGCATTATCTACTTGTCATCATCAGATTTAATCCGTGAATATTTTCAAGTTTACTATTTATATCTGGAAACTTATATTAATATTTCAATATTTCTATTAGAGAAAAAAATAGCAAGAAACGCGTGAAAAAAAAACAATATCTTGTACATCAATTTATTATAATATAATAGATGAATTGTGAAAGAGGGTTGATTCGCGTTTTTTGACACCATCGTCGAAACGGAATGGGAGGTGAACGGAGAACTAATTATCGATCTGTTATATATCTGTTATATATCTTGTACATCAATTTATTATAATATAATAGATGAATTGTGAAAGAGAGTTGTGAAAGAGATTCGCGTTTTTTGACACCATCGTCGAAACGGAATGGGAGGTGAACGGAGAACTAATTATCGATCTGTTACAGGTTACAGAGAGACGGCGTTTGCGTACGCGATCTTGGCCGCTGGTGTGGCTCACAATGTGGCTCGCACCTGCAGCATGGGTCGCCTAGTTTCCTGCAATTGCGATCCTTCGAGCTACAAGGGTAAAACGCCGGTGGATGCCAAAGACGTTCAATGGAAGTGGGGTGGCTGCTCTCACAATCTCGACTACGGCCTAGAGTTCTCGAGACAGTTCCTAGACACGCGGGAGAAAGTCGGCGACATACAGTCTACGGTGAATCTACACAATAATCAAGCCGGTCGTTTGGTAAGTGCTACTCTCGCAATTTTGACGTCGTTAAATTCTGGAAATGAATGGTTATTAATGAAGAGATACGAAAAGAAGAAATATTACGTATCTCGTATTGTTTTTATTTTCATTTTATTGTGAAGTTGCGTATCTAAAAAATATATTAGAGATATATATTTTATTTTATTTCAGGAGAATACAAATTATAATGAATTAATCGTTTCTAACATTTTCGAAATTGTAATAAATGATTTTTTAAAATTTAATATAAAACTTCGTGATATGTAGTTCATTCGTATATATCTATAAATTTAACATTTTATACGCATCTTTTGATATAGCATTTAAATTTAAAAAAAGACAAAAATACTAATTAAAATGTTCATAAAATTTCTTCTCTAGTTACTCCATTTAATATATCAATTTATGTGGATTATACACGCAAACATTGAACGATCCTATCGACCAAAAAAGCCGAACTGCATTTTTTAAATTATGGTTAATTAATTAGGTAATTATAATGGGAGAAAACTCGTCTTTTATAGTATAACTTTCGAACATATACACGCAGTATCCCACGATAAATATAATATGCGCCATCTTAAATCTTAAAGCACAGACGCGCGCGCAAGAAATGTACCGTTAAACGGGGAGGAAGCGAATTCGCAATCGCGTGCCACGTCCGTCCGCGAATAATGTAGCTCGCACGCCGTCCTGCGTGGGTCCGTGAGAGAGCTTCGAGTTATCCTGCGTGCGATTCTCCTCTCCTCGATTCTTCTCCCTCCTACCCTTTCGCCGGCTTTTACTTTTTTAGCGATGTGCGCGGTCTTCTTCCTTCCCTCCTATCGCTGTGATAAAAGAGCGAAAAAAGCGAGAAAGAGAGAGAAAGACAGAGAGAGGGAGGGGGAGAAACGGAGAAAGGTATATGTGGAAAAAGAGAAGGAAAGTTAGAGAACAAAGAGGAGAGAGAAAGCTCCTCCTCTCCTCCATGGACCTCTCCACGCTCGCTCTCTCGCCTCGACGTTATTAAGACGAAGCCTCGGGCTGGACCACCCAGCCGTAGACTCATTAACTGTTTTGTACGCGACACCTCTTTGTTTAAAAGAAACTAAGCCCTCCTTCTTTCCCCTCCTGTCCCTTACCTTGCCCTCTTGACCACCCTGCGCATCCGTGCGACTCGTACCTGTTTGTACAGCGTGTTAGAACCGGCGTTTTTTCAGACGACATCGTAACGACGGCATCGCGGATATCGCAATCTGAAGGAGGGATTCGATTCTGCCACGAATTGAAGGCCACGAGTGAAAAAGAGACTCGGGTTCGCGGGAGAAATGAAAAAGACGAGAGACGTTTTATACAAAGTCAATCGAACGTGAAAGCGGCTTCTTTGCAATTTTGTTCAGGATCGTGAATGCATAAGGCAATTTTGGTCGTGCTCTTTTTTATGGATTCTCTATGTATTTTCCATGGATTCTCTATGTATTTTCCATGGATTCTTTGATCAATTTTGAATTGATCTGAATCTTATTTAATCGAAATATGAAATTTCTTCGAGAGAGAAATCCCTTTTTAAAACCACCCTATTTTTCCTTCATATTTATCTTATTTGAGTTTAATAATATCTTATGTTTATTTTAGTTACATTCAATGTCAAATAAAAAAAAATAATGATCATAAATAATTCACATTTTCCATTTTAAATCATCTCACAAACATTGCGACCCGATTGCAGGTAGTAGCGAGCAACATGCAGATACGCTGCAAGTGCCACGGCATGTCCGGCTCGTGCGAACTGAAGACCTGCTGGAAGGTCACGCCGGACTTCCGGATAGTCGGCAAGATCTTGAAAGAACGTTTCCGGAACGCCGTGTTGGTGACGCAGAGCAATCTGGGCAGCGTGACCCCGTCGGTCAGAATTCGAGGATCGCGTCGGAGGCGGCCGGATCGGCCGAGACAGAGGAAGCATCGCGACGGCCGCAGGAGGAAGCCCCGGGATCTCGCGAAACAGCTCTTTTACTATCAGAAATCGCCCAACTTTTGCGAACGGGACCCGACGACCGACATCGCGGGCACCGCAGGTCGCAAGTGCAACAAGACCAGCACCGCCGGTGACGGATGCGCCAATTTGTGCTGCGGCAGAGGCTACAACGTGGTACGACAGCGACGAACGGAGCTCTGCCATTGCAAATTTCGCTGGTGCTGCATGGTAAAGTGTCAAAATTGCACGGTGGAGGAATGGATCACGGTTTGCAAGTAAGACGTATAGAGGAAAAGGCGAAAGTCAAAGACTGATACGGATTTTCTTCCTCGTTGCGTCGACGATAAAATCGATAAAAAGTATCATGATAATACGTCTCCCACGGTTCGAACGATAAGAGAAGAAATTAGCTCCGGGGATTCATCGTCCGAAGACGCGCGCGAGTTATTCGCCTCGCAAGAATCAATCGAGGGACGTAAGTCGAGAGGATTAATAATATGATTCTTATTGAAATCGGGATTACCAGGCACAAATTTCTCCTGGGCAATCACAATGTAGGAGCAGATCTCCCTGCTACCTTCAAATCTCTGCGAACGTATTAGAAAGGTAATCATCTTTCTTTGTTAGTAAAATTAAATCTGATTTCTGCAGGAAACGGAAAATCCTTAAACGAGATAGTAATTCGATCTTCTACTTCATTCGACGTCATTTAAAATTACTCAGTCTTTATTAAAAAATGGCACATTGATCGCACTTTTGAGAACTTCGTTTTAATTCTCATTGCGAAAATAGAGAATGACGTAGATTTTGCATGTTATCAAAGAATCTAAACTCAATTTCACACAAGTGTTTTTTAATGTAACAGAAAACTGACTGATAAAAATCGTACTCTATTCCACGCCATTACGGAAATTATCCTTTAATATACTGATTGTCTGCGAATTGTAATTAACAATAAGCGTATCGAAGAAGCGTTAATTAATCGCAGAGATCGAATCGCATTAGAAGGGAATTTGTGTAAGTAATATATATACTGTGTAATGTGACACAGATAATATAAAATAATTCGTAGATTAAACAACCCCCTCCTCCCTATAATTTATTTATAATGACGCTCTATTTAATTGATATTTAATTTTAACTTCTACATGAATTGTAACACCTCCAGCACAGTATTATTAGACGAGATGCATGTTCGATGAACATAATTGTACACAACTTAACAATGCGCGCGTACAATAAAAAGAGTTCCTTCAAATTACATCTCCCTCTCGTATTCATTATCAAGTATTTTGTAAATATTATAATGTAAGTATTAATTTTCAATTAACATTTTATTGTTTTTTTATATTTAGAGATATTTTCGGAATTTCGTTCTCAATGTCTCGCTCGAATCGGAGAAATATATGAGAGAGAGAAAGAAAGAGAGCGACCTTGTTTTTTATTGATTATCATAAATTACTGCACGTTAAGACCTTGGAAGAAATCTATGCTAATCCTATGTTTACCGAGAAAAAAAGCGCATTTGAACTAAGCCGCGGAGTTTCTAACAATCAAGGCTAATTGTCTTATCATCTTACGCGTGCACACGTACGCGTGACTTGTGTCTGACAATACATTTGCGCTACTACTGCTATCGATAATGCTGCACACGATATCAATTAATAAATGTCAGATTTAAGTTTCATAAAAAAAAAACATGGGTTTTGATTTTGCAAATTAGGTAAGCGTGTGTGAAAAAATATTGAGAAATTACTTTCATAATATTTTATATCATCATATCAAATTACATATATCAATATGTGATTATTACCATATAATATCGATACTGTATGTTTCGTATCGTTCTTTAATATAAATCGCCAATCCGAAGTGTAACTAATACAGATTTTATCGTACAATCGACAATTCGTCTTTTGATCTAACAATCGCGGAAAAAGCGCGAGAAGCGAGGAAATAATGGATCAATGTTAATAAAAAATAGAAAGAGATATGGTAACCAAAGACAAGATGTATAGAAAAAAAGGGAGAGAAAAAAAGAGAAAGAGAGAGAGAGAGAGGGCAAACTTTTTGATATTGTATGAGATGAACAATAAGATAGAGATAAGTTCCACGATTCACGCGATTCGTGATCGACATGGAGATGGCTCATAAGCATCAAACTAGTTGACAATGATCTCAGGATGGATCTCATATAATGATCACATTTCCATACAGTGTAATATAATTATAATTTATACATACACGTAGCTTTAATCTTTTATATATTATTATATTTAATAATATATTCAATTATCTGATTTATAATTTCAATTTCTCTCTTTTTATCACATATTTTTTTATATTTTAATTTATTTCTAAAAAAATATCAGCCTCAGATATACAGTATTAAAATAATTTTTACGATGCAAACTCGTAGTCTCGTTGCAACTCATACGTACAAACATCGTTTGCCATAAAGATGCAGAAGATTATTTTTAACCTCGCAAGCTAAAGAGAGCTAATTATTTTTTTATGAGCTCCCAAGAATATTCGCGCGTAACAAACTGTTAAGTTGACGACGCGGAGAAATGCGCAACAAAGTAGGCAGAATACGCGGTCGCGGTAAGAGGACGAAATCCGAAAGGAAGCACTCGCGAGACACAAGAAGGAGAGCATCCGCATTAACTGTACGATCCCGTGGATGGTGATCGCGGCTTCCTTTGACGGCGACAGCGGCCGGGACGATCCTGAAGAAGCCGCGATAAAGCGTATTAATTTATCGCGCGCGCTGCCTCCGGAAGAGCTCTTTCCAAGGTAGATCGATTTAAAAAACGAGACTAGAAATGAACGAGAGCATTTTTCCTCGCTTTTTAATTCACTTATTTTATTATTTGAATGAATGCCGGATATAATGATTGTACATTTCCGTTATGCAAAAGGAGGCATAAAAAATGCTGTCTTGTCGAAATTAACGTAAAAAATTAATTAACGTTAATTTAACGTTAACAATAACGTTAACAATTAAAACGTTAAGAATTAAATTTTTTTAAATGCGAAATTTTAAACGTTTTTTGGCGAGAAAAAAATAATTGGATTGTTTATTATAAAATTATGATCAAGTACATTTTATCGTTCTTTTTTTATTATTAATATAATAAAAGAAATCAAAATATTAATTAATAAACGTCAAAATCCATGTAAAAAAACAATAATGCAAAAATTTTCTATAATGTAACGATAGATATATGATAATGAAAATTAATATATATTTTTTACTTAATAATTATTATTAATATAATTAATATTTTATCTATGTTTTACTGTTGTTATATACATATATATATATATATATATATATATATATCTAACAAATAAAATTAATTTTAGATTAGAATATTGTTTAAATTTTACGAGAGATGACAATATGAAATAATGAAATATTAGAGTAAAAAATAATTAAGTTCTGCAAGAATTATAAGTAACTCTTTCCTCTTTACATGCGCGAATATTCTATGAATAAGATTGAGACTTATTCTACCTATCGATAAGAGAAAACGTTGAAAAGCATCATCATTCGCAACGAACTTATTAAGAGAATCTCGATCGAGATAAACGATTTCTCTCTTCCTCTCTCAAAAGTTCGAATGAGAAACGGATGAGAAGGACCAATCCATGTGGCGCGGAGAATTCTCGATAGAACTCGAAACGCAATTCTATTAACGATGAATAAAAGAGAATATCTTTCCGAGGGAAGAGGATAGAAAAGGATAGAAAAGGATATAACGGAACAAACGGCAGTCTGTCGAGTGAAATCAATGAGCTAACAGGCTTGCTCGGAGTTAGACAGCTAATTAAGTCGGCATTATTGGATCAAGGAAGCCAAGCATCGCGCTCGCATCCCTCGCCATGTAGATCGCAGCCGGCCACCCTACACAAATACGTCGTAGTACACTTAGTCATAGTTCAGGCCGCGCTGAAAGGGTGAACGCCGCGGGGCATGACGACCTGCCAAACGTGTTTTAATTAGAGGTGAATTCCGTTGTGCGCGGGATTACTCGAGAGAACGGCGTTCCTTAAGTAAGTACAATTTTCGCACGCCCTTCTCTCTCTGTCCTCTCTCTCTTCTCTCTCTCTCTCCTCTCGTCGTTATTATATTTACTATATCGCGAATGTGAAAATCGCGAGAAAAAAGCCCCCCATAACGAGAAATAATAATGTCAAAAAATGACAAATGTACAAAAAATGCCTGAAAAATAATATGTGCCCGAAGTGCAATATCAATACGGACGTAAACGAAGTGTTGACCCAACAGAGCTTTACCGAGTTATGGCATATAACACACATAATCTTATTTCTTTCTTTTACTTGAATAATACAAGAAATACTATTATATTAATTAAATATAATAGCCACTAAGTTTTTACAGTAGTTATGTATTGTATCGGTGAAACGGTATAAGGAAGGAGAAAACCGAGGAAAGGCTGGAAAGAAAAGCGAATCCAAGAAAACATGTCGAGAAGTTAAATATTGCATGAGTTTCAAGGAAGACCGACTAGATTCCAGGTATCAATTAGCCCGCTGACAGATAACATATGATCGGTGCGATTTTTCGTGACGAAAACGCGAGAGCTGCAACACCTCGAGCTCGGAATCTACAAACACAAGGCTGTGACAAGCTTTATCTATTGAAAGCATCGATCGTTGAGCATCTGTAAAAGGAACAAGTTACGAAGCAAAAAAGGAATGTGTAAGGTGTCGTGCCTCTGAGAGCTCTTACGCCGCGAGTAGTTCAAACCAGTATGCGGAAAGACTCGATCCGTACGCTTCCTTCCTTGCAAGGAGCTTGCACCGAGAAAATAATACAGATCTAAACTATAAACAAATTTGGAGAAAGAGAAAAAGATATTTTCAGAAATAATCAGAAAATAATTTATTAAATCTATGTCGTTCTCGCGTATTTTTCACAATCAGAAACTTTAAACATTTATAATATCCAAGATTCAATTTTGTAGAAATTAAACGAAAACTCTCTGGACAATCTAATTATTATGATCGTTAATTGATCGCAAGAAAAAAGCAAGACATAAATAATTATGCATTATAAATAATTATGCGAGTACATGATTCTTACGTAAGTATGGAAGAGACGTGAGCGAGCGTCCACTTGTCAGTGGTTCACCGTAGTGCTTTTCGTCGAGAGTGTCGAACCCTTTTCAACTGGTCCTGGATCCGGTCAAACTCGAACCATATTCGTTTTCGGTCTACCTCCTCCCCCAAGTCTCCTCTTTTTTTTTTTACTACTACCGTTGCCGTTTCTTCTCACGGATTCACGATGCTAACATTCCATCGTGGCGAACGACAATTCTCCAAGCCCTAACAGATATCGATTTTCTCACAGTTGCTTTTTCGAGAAACAAACGCGTGTCTTCCCTCCTCTGCAATTTTCGCAGAAACGAATGACGGAAGACCTATTGATCTCTATTTTGACGGCAACAATTAATTGTACGAGAGGTACAACTAGGAGCTAGAATTAGAATAGCAGTTGTCTTGCAACAATTACATTATCTACGTATCTTGAGTAGATACTCAACTATATATTGCGCAATTAATATTCTCAAAAGGTTATTAAAATTTATAATAATTATTTTATAATTGTAATAATTATATTATTTTATAATCATATTATTTTTTTGAACAAACAGCATTATACTAATTTTTTTAATACTGATAATAAAAACATAAGATAATAAAACAATATTTATATCTGTTCGACAATAATAATTCTTAAAAAAAATCGATTATTCAAATTCGCGTACGCTCTTATTAATCAGTTCAACGTGAAACAACATAAGTGACGAGCAAATTGGTCAATTTTTCAGAAAAAAGGAAATTTGAAAAGATCAAACTAGACTCTATTAACAGATACTTCGCGATGGTTCCTCGTAAATATCTCGCGAAACTTTCACAAACGCGCATTTCGTCGTCCTGCAGATCTTGCTTCCTTTTAAAGAAGTGCTCGAGTCCATCTCAGACGTTTAATACGCAGAAGAGGTCGAAGCGAAGAGGGCGAGAAGCGGTGGAAAGAGCAAATGACAGATCGAGTGACGCGGAGAGCTTTTTTTTGAAAACGCGAGGTCCATTCTCGTCTACCTCCTTCTCCCGTTTCTCCTCTCCTTCTTCATTGTCTCGCGACGTGCAGTCAAGCATCAATAATTTAGCGCCTACCGTATCAATAAACCGACACTGATGTGAAGCGAGAAGAGGAGCGAGGGTGCAAAGGGGAGAGACAGAGGCAGGAAGATCCCCGAGGGCGCCGAGATTTAACAGAAGCAGGGGGAGGAGTTGAAAGACGGAACTGTGAACGTCCTACGGATCGAGTTTCTTACGATCGTTCACATATAGTCAGGGACGCGCCGTCCTCTCGCTCGAGTCGCTCTCCTTCTCTCGGACTCGATTACAAGCAGCAAGAAGCGGCATTACACGGGACACGTCGCGCCGACAAATCGACAGATTATGCCGAACGGGCGCCGACTGGGAATAAATGAATTGGCTAACGACGTGTGATTTCTCTCTGTTCTCACCCTACGTATCGGCGTAGTTTCCTCGCCGATCTGCGTAAGGATTTATACGAGTTCGCAGAGATGCGAAAATACATGTCGAGAAAATGGAAATTAATTTTTTTGTAGGCATTCGGGAGTGTTAATTAACCATCACAAATAAGGCAAATAAGAAAATTGACTAAAGCAATAATAGCACATCTTGAAATACATATAAGATCTACAAGTTTAGTATTCGATGTAAATTCGATTCTAATGATTATACATATAAAATTAGTAATTTTTTGTAGAATAAATATTAATTAATATTTACGAAAAGGCGAGGAAAGTATGTTGCACGTAAAAATAAAATTTAGACATATTTGATAACTAAAATGTTATGCTACTCCAAAAATATATAATATTTTATTCCAATTAATTGCAAATATTTATTGACGCAAAAATAATAATAAGCTAAGTTTAACGTTCTTATAAAAAATTTTAATTATTTGTCATGTACATAGACAGAGAGGGAGAGAGAGAGAGAGAGAGAATCATACATATACAGTCCCACTATATATTTCGACGGATGTGTCTTAATTGTTTGAGCAGAAGGAATTCGATTAGATCGCGGCGTACAAAGGCTTAATATAATTCGATTAAACGTACGACCGATAAATAGGCAGGGATGCGAGTCAGGTTCGTAACCGACAACGCCTTCTCGATCCTTTTCTCGTTGCATCCTTCTTCGACAATGCCTGCCGAAGCTTTCAGGAAGCAAGCTACTAATTAACGATTACCATTCGTTCACGGGAAGAGAGAATATAATTAGCACTCACCGAGATGCGCTGCTAAAACATTCGACCGGGTCGGCAGATCCTGACGTCTCTTAAAATATTCCAAGAACATCCGGAGAGTCATCGCTTCAATTCCGCGGCTCGATCATGAGAAAGAGGCGTTGATAATGATTTTTCAAGGATGCAAAAAAGGCGTTGAATATATTTCTTGATGTTCACGTCCATAAGTTTCTGAAAAAGACATATGTACACGTGTATTATATAAGTAGTATTGAAAGATATATCGCCAATTTCGAATTATATAAAGTATGTATAAATTATACAACGTAAACATTTATTATTTTTATATTGTTATATTAATAATATTTCGTCTATTTTTTGCAGAGAATCTATATAGGAACATTTCAGACATTGTTTGTCGGCAAGATGAACGACTTTGGTTACGGGAAACGAAAAGCAAGTAACGATCGATACGGTAATAATCGAGATGAACGGATGAAAATGGAAAATCGGAGTAAGAATCAAGACACAGGGTCTGGGACTCTTAAACGATTGGATAGCATTCAGGATCCAGGAAAAAGATACGCGTTGAAGGATTGTATCGGTGTTGGCGTATACGGCAACGTGTACGAGGGAATTGATCAACAAGCCGGTACGCAATAAAAAGATCGAGTATATATAGCATAGATATAAGATATATATAGCATAGAAAAATTATAATCTGTCAAAAATAATTGCGCAGAAATAAACGCGATACATATCGATTATGTTTCAGGAAATAAAAAGGTTGCCATCAAGATTCAAAAGCTCACGCCGGAAACGCAGTCTCTGATTGTGGAGGAGTATCGAATTCTTCGCGATTTCTCCGGTCATCCAAATCTCCCGGATTTTTATGGAATATATCGTAGACGATCCGCGAAGAAGTCCGAGTATGATGAGATATGGTTCATTATGGAGGTAAGCGTTAGACTATAAAATTAAAGTGATTAATCATCTCAAGTTTAATAGGTTCATATTTTTGTAATTCGCTTGTCTATTTTTAAATCTATTCATTTTCGCTACATTAAATTTCACTTTTGCTGCACTAAATCTCGTAAATTGTTGATATAGGAATAAGATGATCGCTATATCTAATATTTATCTGGGTATCTTTAAGTCTCTTAAAAAAATTGATCATCTTAATATAACAATCTATATCTCCATAAAAAAATTTACATACATCTTGACGATATAAAAAATGGCTTATTGTTAGCACTACGAATAGTCTGTAGACCACAGCTCGAGTACCAAAGCTGTATTATTATCGTTGCAATTATTGTTATTATTACACCGAAGGTCGAAATTCCTATCGACGCCGCGCGATATATCCATAATGCGTTTCTTTTAACATCGTAATTCTCCAATAAGAGTGAGAAGAAAAGAAAGGGAGAAGGAGGGAGAGAGAGAGAGAGAGAGAGAAAGAAAAAAAACAGAGATGCAGAACGAAAGATGAAGGCGGCATGAAGGAGACAGGGATGGAGGAGAAGGGGAGCAAGCGAGGCCAGAAGTGAGGGTTTGCCCCGTGTATACCCGTGCTCAGGACCCGGAGGCAATTTCAAGCATTTGAGCGTCGAATACATGGATAATTTACGACACGCGCGCTCCCATTAAACAATCATTAAACTCGTTCGTGTACGCAGGTGAGGCCCGGCACGTCGCGGCCCTAATTTACGAACGGACCACCGCGGTGTGTGTGCCCGAAACATTATTATTTATCTCGAGTAAAGCGACGATAGTTGACGTAATACGTGTGCTCGAAGATCGGCCGAGTTATCTTGAGAATCGGCGCCTTTTCGGCCACGCCTTTATCGTTCGATGCACTGAACTCTTGAAGGAACTGCACATCGATTTTCTTTTTCCGACAAACTTTCTTTTCGCAAAATTTACGTAACTGTACACAGTGAAATATGATGTGCCTCCTTTTGCATTGGCGTTGGGAATTATACTGTCATAAAGAAATATGAAATATTTTTTTAATATTAATAAAAAATATAAGTAAATAAAAGAGTATATCGTCCTCTAATTTCTCCATTATTTTAATCTAAATTGATGAGATATATTCATTGTTAGTATTTTCGCTTGAAAAAATGTGTGCAAATAATTCACAAATATTTCGAAACATATTTATAGGCGCGAGAGCATGTTTTGGAATTTAAAAACATATACTCTTAATTTGATTTATAAATATTTAATCAATCTACTATCACATGTGTATTTAACACGTCAAATGAGCTTTTTAAAATTTTTACATGTTTTCGATTATCCATATATTCCTCCTCTCTCGTGTTTCGCATATATTTAAGCGTGAACGCGCCAAAAAACAAGAAATCCTCTGAATCTCACGATCCATTTTGAACTCGCGTGCGAAGCTCAGAGACGGGCTAAGTATCCGCAACGAAGAAACGTAATGAGTCGCCGATCGCTACGTTAAGCCCGCTGATTGCTCGTTGCCGGAGATTACACGCAATAAAGATGCAACGGACCGCAACGGTCGGTGCCGCGAGATCGAGAGAAAACGTCAGACAGCATCTCGCATCGATGGTGTATCATGGACCAAACTGCAGTTTTGTAAGTCAATCGGCTTTAAGTCGATTCGGGCAGAAACGAGCGCTGAAATTTCGAAAAAAAAGATAGGAAGGAAGGAGAAAGAGAGAAAGGAAAAGAAAAAGAGGACACGCAATGACAATGCAAGGATTTATCACCGGTGGTATTTCATATCGGGCGAGTTTTATGGTCGTGTAGGCTTTGATACGGCGATATGCGTAGGAAGGCTCGCGACGAGATGCTCATTTATACACGACATTGAGTTTATTGAATCGCATTGCAACATCCGAAAAAAAAAAGATTTATCGCCACGTTCACGATTAACCCTAGCAAAAGAGAACCGTATTTAAGACACCTGAATCATGAGCTAATAAAATCTCGAGACATTTTTACATAAAATGCAATTTTCTTTGAAGGAAAAAATAATCTTATAAATATATTTTTTAATCTTTTGATAAGAAAATATAAGCATGCATTAAAACCACGAAAAAAGTACAACCTGGTTCCGCGGTTCACACGAAACCGTATTCTGAGATAATGCGTGGACGAAGCGCGCTAGATCACGTTTATTCAAAATTACCGCACGTTTCAGGTAATTGTAGATATATGAGTTTATTACGCTTTGAATATAAGTTCTCCAGATTTAATTCCTGCAAACATCAACTACGAGGATCCTTCTCTGAGTGAATTAACTTTTGTTTGTAAAAAGCGTAACAAATCAAAAATTATTAAATATCCGTAATAAATTTTTTTTATTCAAGTGTTTGTTAAGATATTTTCAAAACAATTTTTTTTCATTTCAAGAATTTTTAAAAATTTCAAGGAAAGACGAATATTTGCGAAAATGAATACATACAAATACGAAATATAATTTCTAATCTCATATATTATAATTCAAATTATTTCCGCAATTAGAATGACGTTTCAATTAATTTTCATGTAAAGGAAAAAATTGATTAATTATTACGTAAAAGTCATTGCATTATAAAAGAGAAAATATAAAAAAGTGTTGTTTTTTTCTTTTCATAATACTTGTAATAATTTTAAGTATTTACGCGTAGTATTTAAATGAACACAAATCTACTGTTTGCTCTTTTCATCCAACTTATATTCTGTACTCTGAAATTATATATTATGAAATTCTAATTAACTATCATTATATATTGTAGTTCTGCGAAGGAGGAACAGTTTTGGATCTTGTTCGTGGGATGATCGCAAGTTGCAAAAGAATGCGAGAGGAGCACATTGCCTTTATCTTGAAGGAAGTGATCAAGGTAAATTATATAATATATTAATGTAGACACATACATATATACATATAATATGAATATTGTATATATCACAATATTTTTCCATATTGTTTTTTTTTCGATTTTACATTACCTTGCTTAAAATATCAATTTGCCATCAAAATCTATTACGAAACAAACTACGAAACGATTTTAAATATAGACACAATATAATATTTTCAACGTAATTATAAAAAATCCATGACAAAACATGTATTCATGCGAAGCAAACTTACATAAAATTACTTTATTACTGTAAGAGAATATAACTAAAACGACGATATAAAAATTCAAGTAACTCAAGCAAAAACTAATTACCGTCACCGAAATATAGACTTGAAAAAAAAAACATAATACGAAAAAAATAAAATTAATTAACCGAGGTACGGCGCACGGTGACCATCGAGATACTTTCGGTAGGAAGCAAGTCTTGCACAAGACGATTAATAATAAATCATTGATGTTATAATACAAGAAAAAGTCTGGCTGACCGAAAACAAGCACGCTCGATTAAGGTAATTAGTTTTTGCTTGAGATACGGAGCGATGTACACGGTAGCCGAGAAAGATGATCGTCGCAAAAATGTTCAGAAAATTACGTCGCGACTTAACCGTCACCATATTTTTCGTTATCCTTCATTATTCTCTCTCCTTCCACCACCTTTCCTCTCAAAATATAGAAAATATAATAAGTAAAATAAAGATATATTACCTATATAAAAGTTGGTGAACCCAGAGGGGGGGAGGGGGCGACAGAGATAATAGTAACCATGGCAATGGAAATTCGCGTTGTTACAGTACAATTATGTGCTCGACAATATGTCTCGGCGAGATGCTTTATTCCACGGCAGATTATCCCGCTAATTACAGAAGACGCATTGGCACCGATTTAACTACTCACGCACTGAACTCGTGCAATAAACAATTAAAGAGAGCACAGAAAAATCGAGTACATTTCGCGCGCGTTCTATAATGTCGGACTCGTTCCCATCAACTAGTTCTCATCGATAGGTAATTATAATAGAGGGCGCACTGCACATTACGAACTTTTCGAAGTTTCATTTAACTAACCAATCAAGAAAAATTGTTGCTCCTTCCGTCAATTAAACGTTTCGAAATATTCGTAGCATTTCAGGGGAGGTGTTTATAATTTTTTTGATAATTATCATGACATCGAACCTGATTTCTGAACGTCATATATATACGTTCGCGCGAATTTGAAGAGTAATTATTGAAGAGAAAATAAAAATACATACATGCAAGCGACTTATTTTATGTTTACAGAAAGTTTATATACATTTTCGTAATTTTTCAAATAAAAATTTAAATCTGTGATTCTTAAATCAGTATATATTTCTAGGCACTTCTATCTGTTCAAAAATATGAAAGAAAATTGTATATTATAAAATATTTGATAATTTAATATTTGCTAATTTTCTGTAAGATTGAAAGCACTGTTTATATGAAATATTTAAGCAATTGTTTATATGAAATATTTAATGATATGATAATTATGTGCAGTCAAATGTATCAGTAATTTTAAAAACTTTTAAATTTGATAATAATTTAATAAAGTTATCCAAGATAATCAATATTCAAACTTATGTTTATATGAAATATTTAATGGTAATATTTTATGATAATTATCTGCAGTCAAGTGTGTCAGTAATTTTAAAAAGTTAAATTTGATAATAATTTAATAGAGTTTATCCAGATAATCAATATTCAAGCTTGTTAAAAACTTTTATTTTACACATGCATTCAATTAAATTTATAAATAAAAATAAATAGAATTGAGATTATAAATAGTACAAAAATTCCTGAGATTAACAGACATGTATAGACGCTGCACGTAGAAATTACAATAAGACAAGTGAACTGCTTTGCTAATTAACTTCCGCAAATGAGAGTTCCCTCTTGATGATCTTCTCCCTCGTACAACTATCCCTGCATCTATTCAAAATGAAACACAAAGACTACTGCCTCATCCTCTTCTCTCGCGCTTACATTCACGTCTATTTTCATTCTAATAATTTTATTTTATGTAGTGAAAATAATTTATATATTAGACATTGAAACAACTATGTTCAATATAGACAATATAAAAAATAAAATGCATATCTAATTTTATTTTTACCAATTAATTCATCTGTATCTTACTGATCTTATGTAAAGATCAAGTAGTACGTTGATATTTTATCAAAATGTATATACGAGCAAATTAACAATCTTGATGAAAAATAAAAAATAAAATAGCATCTTCATCGCAACAAGGCAATTTATATCCTGTAAAATATCCATTTTTTTATTTTGATTATTAACATTAATTAACATCGCGATAAACTTAAACCACTGCATTAATTAAATATTATTTATGTTTACAACAATCATAAAATATAAGTCGTGCCAATTTTTCCACGAGAATTTCGAAAAAGGAAAAAATAAGAATTGACGTAGAATAAATGGCAAAATACAAACTGTTTCCGTTCAGAAACGCAAATAAAACACAAACTGAGACAAATGCTCAAATAAGAAAGACATAAATACAGGTAAAGCAATAAAAGAGAAAGAATGATTCGAGGAGGAACGAAAAGTTAAACATCCTTCCGTTTTTAGACTGCTATGATTTTACTTAATAGTTAATGATCACGGCAGACGGATTCGCTTATTTACAATGATACTGCCTTCCATGATTCCGGTCTCTCCTAGGAGGTCGAATAATTGGCGAGGATATCGTGCTCATTTCTCAACCGACTTAAGAAGTGCGTATTAAAGGAAAAATAGAGACAAGAATTTAAAGAAAAAAAACGAATGACACTGAGACACGCAGCAGGATGAAACTTAAGTGACTGCTTCCGCTTCGATTCGTGTGTGTCATTGATTTTTCCTTGCTCGTGTTCTGCTTCTGATTATTTGTTTCTTTATTTATTATCATTTATGTTTATGGAACGAAGGTGTATTTTAATTATAACTACATAAAAAGGACGAAATAATTAAGTCAATAGATAAAGTTTTGTGAGGCGATATTACTGTACTATTGGTATATTATTTAAAAAATAACTAATTTATATAATTTTTCGATATTTCTCTTTTATATTTTTGATGTTATATAATAATTAAGTAAAAAAATGTAGTTAAAAAAATTATTTTAAAAAAATCTCAAAAATAAATTTATTTGTGAACTTGTTATTAAATTAACTAATAAAAATAATTTAAATTTGTCTTTGTATCTTTATCAAACTGCAATACTTATGTTATAAATACCAGTACACAGATTTGTTCCATTGATTGTATGTCTATTTTAATCGTTATTTGATCGCTATATCATCATAACTATAGACTAGTACTAGATGTAAACATCACGAGCTGTTAAACGGTAAGCGTTTAAAATACATCATTACTGTCATGTCTTCTGTAACCGGTACAAGATAAGCGGGCAATAAGAGGATCGATGAGTACATTACAGCACCGTCTTTACCTTCTTCAAGATATTTCCATTTACGTTATTATAAAGCCTAACATATATTATTTAGTTATCAAAGTCAATATAATTAAAAGAAGGAAACATATAGTTGTTCTAAATTGATAAACTATCAAAAGTCTCGCAATATCAGCGACGAACACTTCCTCTTTCGAATCTCGATGTTTCCTCTGAAATCCACATCTCTCATCATAGGTTCACCGAAAGGGCACGACGCGTATAATGGGGCCCGGCATTCTTTCTCTCGCGAGTGGCTCTCTCATGGTTCATGGCGATAATATTTACGATCCAGGTAGTTTATCACTAAATCATTATGTGGGTCCATACCTTTCGGGTATGCCTCGTGCACGCACAATCCGATGCCCTTCGCCACTGGGACTAGCGGTCCCCGCCATATCCTCCTCATCTCCCGAGTCCATGTCGTTCCTTTTCTGCCTTGGAAACTGCACGCAACACCCCGTCTCCCTCTTTCTTTTTCCTCCTCCTGTTCTTCTCCTCTTTCCTCACGGATACGTGTTCCATGGGCCCGGTAGCGATTCGTCCACGGTCACTCGTGCGGTAAATCAGACCACGTTGACGTTTAATGCCGGCAAATTACACGCGAAATAAATGCTCGCGAAGAGCAGTACGCAGTGCTACAAACAGAAACACAAAGAGAAAACGGATAAAGAACGAGAGACGAATGGAGGCTACTACCACTATGCTTCTTCTATATGATCGTTATATCCTGTTTAATCTTTATCCGCCAATTAACAATTCGTTCGTCCTCGAGTTTTCTCCTTATCCTCGTAGCTCTTTTTTTGTATGTCATTTTGACAGCAAACGTTGCAGAATGCACGTGACTATTTTATTTTAAAAATATCAAAAAATAAATGTAATAAAAATATTTGTTGAGTAAATCAAGTTTGACTTAAAAGAAAATACAAAGAATGAAATACAAAGAATTTACATTTTATTATTATTATCGATCTGATATCGATAAATCTGAGGCATGCGAATTTATCAGAATTAAAGATCTGCAAAAGATGTATGAAAATGTCCATGTTTATTATTGTGAGCAATTTTGCAATAACTTAGCTTTAGCTTCGGAGAATGCTCTTTGAAGCAGCTTGCTGATGAGCCTGGTATTAATGATTTCATGCCCACGCCGCGTTGAAACTGCTCATTGACTCGCGCTTGTTACGCGCTGCGAGCACGGTCGGCCACAAATTATAGATCGTTCAATTTGCAGTAAATCTATAAAAACGATTCTCGCAAGACACTGAAGGTGCCGAGTTGCCAACTTCTCTTCCGCATCGTCATATCTCAAAAATATTACATGCATGTTATTCTGAAGATTCAACCATTTCAGTCTAGGATGTCATGCGTGATGTCATATGTAACATTTATATGTAACATTTTGTTTGTATTTTTTTCAATTTTAAAATTAAATCGAATATTCTCTTAAGATCTATAATAAGGAGTTTTCCCCATAAGAATATAATTCAACTGTAACATTCATTTATCTATTTGATCTTTCAAATATTTGTCAATGGTATAGTTTTGTGGTCTCGTAAATTAAAATATGTATAACGATAATTATTAAAATCAAATAATATATTTTTTCTTTATTTCAGGCTTTAATCCACTTGCACGAGCACAATGTGATCCACAGAGACATCCGTGGCAGCAATATCGTCCTAACGAAGGAAGGCGAAGTGAAATTGGTCGATTTTGGGCTTTCCAGGGCAATGAAAAGCGAACTCGAGAAACGACATACCTGCGTAGGCTCACCATCCTGGATGGCGCCAGAAGTCATCAAAAGCACCGGAGCTAATAATGGATACGATAACAAGATCGACGTATGGGCAATGGGCATCACGGCGATAGAGCTCGCCGATGGCAAGGCACCCTTCGAGGACATGCATCCGACACGCGCTCTCTTCCAGATAGTCCGGAATCCACCGCCGACAGTTTACCGACCCGCCAACTGGTCGGAGAATCTCAACGACTTCATCTCGGAGTACGTGATCAATCAGATATGAAAATCTCTTTGTCGTGAACAAACGTCATGTGAATGAAATGACGCGAGAATCATCGTCTGATACGTTTGTTTCAGATGTCTCGAAAAGAATCCCGAGAACAGACCATATATAGTAGAGATCATCGAACATCCCTTCCTAGCAGAGCTACCTGGAAACGATTACACGGTAAATTGATATGATATTTCAGTGTAAAAAGCTATTAATTAGCAAAAAAAGATTACAGAACATGTAGATATAATTAATCGAAGTAATTAGAAAAATGCAATGAGTAAAAAATATAATACATGTTGTAACATGAATTTTTAGCTGTCGCAAGAAATAAAAACATTGATGATGGATGTCTCAGAGAAGGGCAGAGAACAAAGAAAAGCAGAGTTGATAGTTCGCAACGGTTTTCTGAAGGTAACGAGACACAAGACAAACGAATGATCAACTTAAAATGCATATTAAAAATTATAATTTGCTTAACAGACTCGTAAGGATGAATCAGCGGAACAGATGCTCACGGAAGATTTGGCGGCGTTGGAGATCCTAACCGAAGATGTGATTCTAGATGAACTTTGCGAAAGATTAAAACGGGGTGAATATCACACATTTGTCGGCGATGTTCTGCTGATACTCAATCCAAACGAGGAACGCGTTATTTACGATGCTTATGTAAGTTTTATGCTGAATCATTGAGTGTACTCTGACCTTCGGTTTTGGTAAAGAATTTTGTATAAATTTTAGAATAAAAATTTCATTCATATATATTTTCTGCTTGCCTTTAGATTTCATTTGACATCTCATTTGCGAATCAAATATTATTATTAGATACAAAAAAGCATTTCGAAGCATATCTAATAACGAAATTGCATCTTATATTATAAATTGGAGCATAAATCTAAACGCGCGATTTTATTTACAGCATCATATGAAATATCAATGCAAATCGCGATCAGATAACGCCCCTCACATCTATTCCGTGGCGGACAGCGCATTTCAAGACGTTATGCATAATGAAGAACCGCAGCACATTTTGTTAGCCGGTGAGAGCAATTCTGGAAAAACGACGAATATGCTGCATTTAATAAAACATCTCATGTTTCTCGGAAAAGTAAGTTGAACGCGCATACATTTGGTTTGTAAATATAATTACGAATAATATAATCATGTTTTTTTAGGGTCTGCAGGACACGGGAATGAGAGTACTCCGAGCTATACAAATTATTCATGCTTTTACCAACGCGGCGACACCGCTTAATGCTAATTCCACTAGATGCATATTGCAAATACAGACGACTTTCGGCTCGACCGGCAAAGCATCCGGTGCAATATTTTGGCTATATCAATTGGAAAAGTGGCGTGTTTCCACTCGCGACAGGTAACCTATTCTTCGACGAGATTATTTTTATTACAACATAATATTTCACGTAAATTTTTAATATTTTTTATTAAAGATCTTTGACCATTTCGCAATCTTTAGTTTCATCGAAGCAAAGAATATGCCACATTCTATATTCTATATTCTACATTCTATATTCTCATGTATAACGGGTCACTATTGCAGGCGCTGATCAGCAAAAGCTGATAAAAAAACAATTCTTTACAATTAATTTCTTACGATTCGCGGAAATAGTGTAATTAACACATTAAAATAATAAAATTAAAAGAACGAAATATATTCTAATATAATTTATACAAAATTCTGATAAAATAAAAATAGTAAAAATTAAAATTTTTTTAAGATAATATCTCAAAAAATGTGCAAATAATTATATTATAACAGTGAAATACTCTTTTGTAGAAATCAATCAAATTTCCATGCCTTTTATTACTTGTACGATGGTTTCGATGCGTCAGGGAAATTAAAGGATTATTATCTACCAAATGGAAGAAGACTTCGATATCTTAGAATAACCGACAAGAATATCGAAAAGAAACGAGCGTTCAAGGTGAGAAACGATCCGGAGCACAACGTAGTCAAGTTTGAAGAACTTATAGAACATTTTAAATTTATGGATATGGAAGAGCATTGCGAAACTATTTGGAAAATCCTCGCAGCTATTCTGATACTCGGGGAGATCCGATTCGTCGAAGGTAATAACGGAGAAGCTGAATTGGATAATAACGAAGCCGCTAACAGAGGTAAAAAATTTTTAAAAATGCACTGATATTTCTCATAAAAGATTTACTTTGATACATTGAATCGTATTAAAATACTTGTCTATTAGATGCAAAACCTGATTGACTGTTTTAAATTGCAGTAGCCGAACTCCTTGGCTTAGACTCGAAAAAATTTATCTGGGCTCTAATTAATTATTGCTTGATTGTGAAGGGATCGGCGATGCGTAGAAAACACACTTGCGAAGAGGCAAAAGAAGCACGAGATGTCATAGCGAATACTCTTTATCAGCGTTTAGTAGACTGGATAATCAACGTTATCAATTATAAGCTGTTAATGACTCGCAGCCTTTAGTAAGTTACAAAAGTTTCACACATGGAATTGTACAATAGATGAAACGTAGATAAAACTTTTTTCCTCTCGATTTTTTTCTATGTACATTGATAGATACATCTATAATAATATAATTATATTTTAATTTCCAGCGGTGACAAATATTCTATCAGTATCCTCGATTATTTTGGATTTGAATGTTTCTCAGTAAATCGATTGGAGCAACTCCTAATAAATACAATGAACGAGCAAATGCAATATTATTATAATCAAAGAATATTCACCTGGGAAATGGTAAATTTTTTCGTAAATTAGTAGATGGCTAATTTATTAAAACATATAACGTCTATAATAAATTTATAAAATTTATAAAGTAAATTAATAAAGTTACGAGCCACTAAATAACGAATATGTTAATGAAATCGATTACTAAAGAAAAGAATAAAAATCTGTACTATATATTCTTCTTCGTGATTTTAGCAAGAACAAAATGAGGAAGATATACCCATAAAAAGATTTCGCTTTTATGATAATAAGGAAGCGGTCGATCAGCTGATGAGCAAGGAGAATGGTCTCCTGCGTATTATCGATGATGCTTCGCGACAATTGCAGGACGCTCAATATATTTTCGAGAGGATCAAAGAGCATAAGCGTGGCATTTATATAAAACCGGTGAGCTCGCACGAGTTCACGGTCGCACACTATACCGGCAAATTGATATACGACGCCAGCGAAATCGCAGCGAAAAATAGAGACTTTGTGCCGCCAGAGATGATCAGCACGATGAGATTCTCCTCGTGCGATGTAGTCAAACAAATGTTCACCAACAAACTGACCAAATCAGGCAGTTTAACGATTATCCATGAATCTTGTCTCGCGAAGAAAAACAAATGGAGTGCTCTTATGCAAGAATCTTCCAATTTTCGCGTGAGTAAAATGATAAGTAAATATTTAATATGTCGCAATTTTGATAACATGAATATTTTATCAATTTCAAGTCAATATTTCTTAATATTTCGAAACATTTGTATTTCAAATGCGTTAGAAACATTGAAGATGAAGAATTTTTCACAAAAATTAAACTTCTCTAGTTTGCAACTTATCAAAAAATCTTATTTGTTGTTTTAATTCAATAGAAATATAATACTGCGTCTAGAGGACAATATTCGCAAACTCGCAAAATGAGGACGTGTTCGTCGACATTCAGAGCGACGAGTCTTGAAATTTTGAAAAATCTTGCGATAAGTGCGGGTAGTGGTACGCATTTTGTTAGATGCATACGCTCTGACCTCGAGGATGTTCCTTGCGGTTTTTATCGGGAAGTTGTTAGACAGCAAATCAGAGCGTTAGCAGTACTTGACACAGCAAAAGCCAGACAACGCGGTTATCCATATAGGATACCTTTCCAAGAATTTCTTCGCAGGTAATTTAATAATTTTGAAAATAGTATTTTTAATCGAATACAGCAAGTTGCAGGAAAATATGTGCATATTTCATAAAATTGAATATAAAAAAACATTCGTTCTGTTACGTGTTAAACAGATTATTTTTAATTACAGATATAAATTTCTGGCCTTCGATTTTAACGAAACAGTCGAGATGACGAAGGATAATTGTAGATTACTTCTGATCAGATTAAAGATGGAAGGATGGATTATTGGCAAGACTAAGGTCTTTTTAAAGTACTACAATGAAGAATATTTGTCACGCTTATATGAGACACAAGTAAGAAAGATTATAAAAATACAGTGTATGATGCGTGCCTTTTTAGCGCGCAAAAATATTGTTTCAAAAATGAGCAACATTAAGAAGGAGATTGGTAAGTATCTAAATTCATCATAAGGGAATCGTAGTTAATGCTATTTGATTATTTATATTTCGATAAATATATGTATTTATGTTTTAAATATTTCGATTAATCGTAACGTGTATTATTTCAGAAAAAAGAGCGTCAATCAAGAGGAGAAATTTACTATCAGCTGATGAAGCGGCAGTGATGATACAGAAAGGTAATTAAAAAAGTAATGATTAATTCTACATTTTGAAATTTGAAGAATGTAAAAGTTTTATATCATTTTATCTATTATTTAAGCAATATGTTTTTAAATATATTCGATAAGTAAATTTTGATATTCCAAGTTAAATTTCAATCATATATTTATAAAATTTTTAACAATTTGTCAAAAAATGTTCAAACCATATTTCTGTTCCTTCTCTCTCTCTCTCTCTCTTCCCTCTTTTTTCTTCTCTCTCTCTTTCTCTTCATATATTTCTCTTCATTATATTCATCATATTCATTATATTCACTAGCATACAGGGGACATATGGTGAGGAAAGAAATGGGGCCCTTACTGAAGGGAGAAATGGACCAAGAAACGAAAGATTTTATCAAATTCTATTACAGCAAGTGGAGATTGAAAAGTATGTTTCAAGTCCTCCTATGGTATCGTGCAGCCCGTTACCAAGATCTTGTGCAGTTTTCCCAACAGGTATTGACAAAGTTACGTTATCAAGAAACTTTAAAACTTTAAAATATTTACAGCAAAGCGCTTAAAAATAAACGCTTATAAATTTGTCTAATTAGATTTAACATTTTACGTTTCATAATATTATATAAATTTCCTATATATATTTCTCTTTATATGTAAAAACTTTCAATAAAACCATAAATGTAAATGAATATCAAATATAACATATATTGTTTCACATATCGATAGGTTCATCTATATAATCAATCAATAATGGCAGTGTTGAATGAGACAAATAAATTTGTATCTCTTGAAAAAATCGATCCAAACGACAAAATAGATGCCTACAGTGAGATGAAACCCCCTCAAGTTTACAAACTACCTTTCAATTTGCAACAAGAACTATCGTACTTCGATACAAACTATATGAACGACCCCTCGAACATAAACCTTAAACGTGCAGGGTAATCGCCTAATATATTTTTTAAATTTTGATTTTTATCTATAGCAATAATTTAAATACTGATTACAAGATATTTATAAAATTTATATAGACTGATTTCCTGCAAACATGACGTGTATATATCGAATTAAAAATATCTTATGTACAATTAAAAACACACAAATGCAAATAATGCATTTACGTTTTAAAAATACTTTCACAGATCTATAACATCCATGATGAGCGACGATGAGCACGAATCTTGGGATGCACCATTACGTAGGCAAACCGTTCCTTGGGCTAATAATAACGTTAACACTAGAGGTACCTCATTATTAAATAAAAAGAAAAATTCTAACATTCTAAGAATTTAAAGCAAATAAATATATGCATACATTCGCTTTTATATATATATTGACTCTTATCATTATATGTATTATTTATGAATTTTGTCACTATTTTTAATTAATAAAAATGTTATTATAATATTCATATTATATAATATGCAATTATAAAAATAGCAAACTTAGAATACGTTTTTAAGATGAAAAAGCAAAGCAAACTTAAAAGCGATAGTAGATGCAGAAAATAAAATTCTCTTTCAATGTGATACATTTTTAGATGTCGAAGTTCAAACGACAAACTCACCACATCGCGTGCTCCTTCATCGTTCGTCGATCGGTGGGGATCAAAGTTTGATCAACATTCCATTCACCAGGGATCCCAATGTTCCGATTCAGTGTCCACTGGAAAATCCAACTCGCCACAAGGGTGGAATTGCCGGCTTTCAAACTGCAAATAAACGTGATACCATACAATCATCCGAATCTCACATTCCTCACTCTGTAAATTTACAAATTTAGTTATTATATAATATTTATATGCACAATATTTGCTTCAATAAAAAATTTTATTTTTATTTAATATTGAAGATTAAATAATAAAGATTCAAAAAAATAATTTCACTGAAAAGAAATAATGTTTTTAATGGAAATACGAGAATAAAAGCTTTTTTTTATATATAACAATTATGAGTTGATTAAGATATATATATATATATATATATATATATATATATATTATTGAAGCAAATATATAAAACATATAATTAAATGATGGAGATTTATTTGCCAAATGATTAATTTGATAAGATCTTTAACATATGCAATTGTTCATAACTTTAAGCTTTTAACTCAAAATTTTATTTTCTTGATTAGTAGTATTAAAAATAATATATTTAAGCAGAGCTTTAAAAAGTATTATGCATCAAAAATTTACATTAAAATATGTTAAAAATTTACATTAAAATACATTAAAATATGATTACGATTACAATTTTTATAAGATATATTTTACAGATATTTATTTTTATAGAATAATAACGATAATGCTGGATCAGCACGCTGCAGACAAAAAATACCACCATTCAATCAAATGCAATCCTCAACAATGCAAACTTTCAACAATTATGAATCAGATGTTCCAAACAGAAACATTGATGGAGACACAAGCTGGACATTTGAGAATGAACTTAATCGTAATATCAACAATATTCGGTAATCATTATTGAGATAAATTTTGATATAATCATTACTAAAATAAATGATATTTCTAATTAATAAATTCTTTTTGTAGTATAATTTTTATTTTTCATTACAGTGTAAATGCCATCAAAGAATTAGAAATGATCGGACACAGAAATAATAATGATGAAAATGATGATGCACCTCCGTTTAACTTTCAGGTGAAATATATTGATTTACTTACTCCACTTTTTATATATTTTTAGTTATTTTTAATTATTATTAGAATTAGTCTATGCAATAAAATCACTCGGATTGTTATTGAAAGTTTACAGAGAGTTTAGCATCAATTTAAACATATTTATTTCCACAATCAATATTTATATTATTTTATTTATAATGTATATATTTCTGAAGCCGTGTTCCGATATTCATTGCCAGTATTGAAAATCTGTAATTTGCATCACGCATACTATAGATTTTCAATGCTGGCAGTTTATATCGAAACGCAGCCTGAATATATTAAAAATTAATTAAAATCGATATTTTTTTCCTTTGATAAAAATTGGATTGTTAAATAAAATTATTAAAAAATTTATTTTCGATTTGAAATTAATCTTATATATCGTATACAATATTGATTTCATTATGAAACTTCTTTAATTCGTGATTTGAAGATTATTAAGATATTATGTACAATAAGATATTGAAAATAAAATAATTAATAAAACTAAAAAAGAAGATAAAGAAGAAATCAAATTATGAAATTCTTCAAAGATACTATTATTTTAGGCGATGTTGCGGAAAACTCCTCATCAGCGTGCTTCGATGAAACGCAATCCTGTATATGAGAGTAACACATCACCGTCAATGCCAGAATCTTATCATCGCGGTAACGAAAATTTGTACAATTCGAATGTCGCCAACAAGAGCGGCGATAGTCGAGATTCACCAGAATGGAGTCCGAATGAGATGATTCTCATGTCAGAGAAGTACGCGAAACAGGATGCATGGAATGAGAAATGCGCCAATGATGGCGATAGTGTTACTACAGAGATTGCACCAGGAATTGTCGTTAAAGGCTATGTAGCTGAGCTATAAAGCATTGAAGAAAGGTCGGTTGCATCAGTATCAATTATGTTGTATTTCAAATCTCAAATCAATCAAACTCTCTATCTCTTTCTATACTTGTCATTGCTAGAGTTGATTTGAAAAGGAAAAATCGTTCAAATTTAATGAAAATGATCAATATCCTAATTTTCCTCTTAAACTTTAAATTCTATCTACCAATCAGATATTAAAATAATCTTGAATTCAAGCTTGAAGCTTGAAAACTGTCGATTACTGATATCACAACATTGTAATCAAGCTCATCTAAACGATGGAAATTATACTCTTTCATAGAAATTTCTGTAAAATTATTAATTATATCAATAATTATTAGACATGAATATACATATATAATTATATTATGGCGATGACTTATTTATAACAGAATATCATTTCTCTATTGATGCTCATATCAATATTTCATTATCAATAACTGGGAATAAATATTCAATCTCATTATAAACAATTTAGTAATCAATAATTAAAGTTATATCTAGCGCAATATATGCATTTATAAACATGCATGATGTGGGTGAAAGAATATATAAAAGTACTGATGTGAAATAATTCACACAAAATAATAATAATTTGTCTATACATATATCACAGTATTTTATATATGTGTATATATAAATATAAATATATATATATATATATATATATATATATGAAAACATATTTTGTCACATCTTTATGTATTCAATCTTAAACAATATTTAAATTGCTGTTTTTAAAGTTGACGAGAACAGCATAAAATTATATAATATAATGTTTTGCTTTGTTCATACAATCATGAACAAAATATACTAAAATATCTTATAAAACATTTATATGTATGTATTTTTAATATATAACATACATATACATACATACATACATACATATATACACATATATATATATATATATATATATATATATATATATATAATAACAGTATATTTTATATTTATAACTATTTACAATTTTTGAATACAAGAAGATAAATTTGCATTTGTTTGAACATACATAGTTTAATCTTTATATAGACTATATATTATTCATTGCCATTATGCATTAATAATGTCACCGACAATGTCAATAATTTGAACAAAGTTAAAGATCATAACAAGTTTTGAATATAAAATCGGTAAATACTAATAGCAATTACCTAATCTTTATCCGATTGAGTATGTGCATTATCATGACTACATGATTTTTGTTGGGAACTCTGCTTAATAATGTTAACCAGTGTATCCAATCTAGTAGGATGTGCTATTTGAAGAACCATATGCGCTTCTTCTAGAATTAAGAGACCATTGTGTGCATCACTGGCCGATAGATTGTGCGCCGTTATCACATGCCGTCTCCAAGCCGCATGTGTGGGAAGAATCTGACAATAATGAAAATAAAATATCAAATAAATGCAAATATAATTATTAGATTCGCTTACTTCATATCCTGCGGCAAAGTGGGAATCTTTGGAAACTTACTTGTAAACACCACTTGCAATTAAGAGATGGAGAGATGGTGTGAACAGCTTTTATATGTCTTCTGCGGAAGCCCCAACTCGTGTACGCCCTATCACAGAAAGGACAGGGAAACGGCGGATATGCCGGTCCACCTTTTATAGTTTCGTCCGATAAATCTGTACCGTAGGATTCAGTGAGCGCGAAGAAATTCTCAGACTGCAAAGCTCCAGGATTGCGTTTCGCAAAGAGATTCGAGGATTTCGGTTGATCTAACGCATGTTCAAAATGAAGACGATTCGATGAATCGGATGGTGGGTCCTTTAATATTTTCGTGACATTCCACAGCGAACTTTGTTCAACTGTGGAATTTGGATTTCTGTTGTGCATTTCCGGGACTGGAGAAGTATTGCGAGCTTCGGCTATCACTGTCACAATCGGTTTCAATGATCCTGTAAAAAATTTCAATCTATCATTTGAATTCTCTTTATAGATGAAAATTGATAAAGATTTTTAATTTTAATCTAATTGAAAGTAATGTTCATAGCGTAAAATTAATGGAAAATATTTACGTCTTTCTGTAGAAAAAAAAAGAATTTGATAAAATTATCACTTTTCTAAATATTGTAAAAAAGTATTTATTTTTTTTTGTATGGATACGCCATAAAGCAGTATGATAGGTACTGCGGAAATAAAGGGACAATTAAAAATGTAAAATAGGTTTATTTGCGACCAGTCGTTTGTTTCGTCTACAATAATATCGATTTAAATAATAACCGGCTCGAAGCTATCGAAATATATTCCACTGATCAACGCTGTATCGCACGTGCAACCAATAAAAACGACTCGATTTTACAAGTAAACGGAGATCAAAGAACACTTTCGCGCGAATCTTGAGGAAAGGACGCACGCGATGAGAAATCGCACATTGATTCGCAACGTATATCCTAACAGTTCGTAACGCACATTTTGTATGTGTGTATGAGTGTGACCCTCTACTGCGATTTAAATACTCTACAAGCATGTCTTAAATCACTATTCCTGTCATAACTACGGTTTCTCTTCCTTTAATTTTAAGTGTACATAGAGCAGCCGCGGTCGTGCAGCGTTACGTTACGCACGCGCGTAATCACATGACCAATACGTGTATCCTCGTATATATATACATACATATTTCATACATATACTTCTAAATGAATCGTATGCACATCCATGTATATATCGTATACATGGATGCGTAACGAATGCTTATATACACGCACATCCTGTTCGTGTATCGATAATGTGTATGAGCGAGTGCGTGATGTGTGTGTATGTATATATGTGTACATATTCGAGTGCAAGAAAGAGAGAAAGGGAGACTCGCGTGTCTCCCTGGCATACGCTAATTTTTTAATATCGTAACGTTTTACTGTTAAAGTGAATTCTCGCATGAATATACCGCAAATAAATGACGGAATGTTACATTATTCAAGGTACTACAGGAAAAACACAAAGAGGTACACAGACAGCTGGATGATTGACCTCTCTCGTGAGCGCGTCGTGAGAAGCGTCAAGATTTTCCTTTAAATACGCGGTGTGCGAGAGCAAGAGAGAAAAAGGACAGAGATCGAACAAAGTATCTCGAGGGATACTTTTTGATAAGGTGAAAATTAGAATAAAAATACGAAAGAGGAAGGCTTAGAATTATTCGATCATTCGTCACGTCGAGCGGCGAATCTGAAGCGTATATAAATAACTCGATCGCGTCTACAATGCTCTTGCCTAATCACCCTGTCACCCCAAAATCTACAGTCTAAAATCATCAATCACGGATCGAAGACCGTTTGCAGTTCGATCCTATTGCACGTGCTAACCCCACGATTTTTACTCAGGATGACTGACCCGTCCGTCTCTTCTTCCCCCATAACGGCTACACGAACCTTAATGTCTACTTACATCAATTTTTTACAACGTCCTAAATGTAAAGCTGCGCGAAAGCTTCACACCGAAGAGGAACAAGCGAGGGACGAACCCCGCGACATTCGCGTAAGAACGACGAACGGGGCGACGGGCTTACAAGAACGATCCTATTCCAGCCAGTGGAAACGTTTCCGTTTGACCCCTGACCTGAAACGCCCTAGTCATTGGGTGTAGACCGAGCGCCTCTGAAACAAATACCTTTTCAGGCCCCTATTGCTAGTGTCAATTTTGGTTACGCAATTCTTCCACGCCTCCTCCCATTCGATGCTGTTAGGCGCTATACCGCTGAAGTGCAGCAGAACCTCCCGGATTAAGTGTATCTTGTTGCTGTCGAACTGCTGCTTTCCCATTTTGCCGTTGACGTTACAGAGAATCCTTTCTTCCGGCGTGAAAAGGATTTTCATGAGATCGCAAGCCAGATGATCCATCGGTCGAGACGACGCCCAGGTCGAGATTATGTCCGGGCTCGGCAGCAGATCGGCGTAAGGTAGATGCTGATACGAGTAAAGCAGCGGTTTGACGTCCGAGAATCCACTTAGTCCGGACAAGCCAGATAAACCGGAAATGTCTTCAGCAGGACTGTTCCCAGACCCTGCCACACACATCAGCACAGCGCGCTTTAGACACGGGCTGCCCCGACACACACGTGAATTACGCGCACACAATAAAGAAAATGCGAGCGAGTGTAAAGACTATAATGAAGGACCGATCACGCATCTTCCATTTCACGTATGCACTACTCACGCACATACGCTTATATGCACCGTCAATCGAGGCGTGACGCCGAAAAACCGACTTCGTTCCCATAAACTTTAACGGAAATGAAAGAAGACGCGGAGTTTACTACCAGTTTTTGCACGAGTTACTGTTATTACAAGTCAATCGCGTTTTTCAGGATAACGGCAACGATATATTATCACGCGTATCGGATATACTATGAAATATTTTTGCTGCTATGCAATGAATCACAAAGACGTTTACCATTTATTATGCTAATTACGTCGCTCTCATTGTCTTTTCAATAAAGTACTCTTTACTCGTGCACGCAATCTTTGTCTCTCACGATATAGCACAGCAAATAAAGAAAAGTGGCGCGCCAAAAAAAAAAAAACGAGCAGAACAGAATATGTGTGACGAAGCAAACTGAAGATTCGAAAAAGCTACGAGTTGCCGTATCAAAGAAAAAGCTTTGATACTATAGTAGCCGCCAAACATACGCAAAGATGGTGAATCAGTGTACACGATTAAATGTAGAGAGCACATGTGATAATATGAATTATGTATGTGTGTATGATAATGAAAACAATAGAGCAATACATATTAAATATATGTTATTTATATTTGGACCTCGGAAAAGCAAAATTGCCTTTGCATTAGAGATTGCAACTTATTATTTCAAATGAAAACTTTACACATAAATTAATAACACATATTCTTATCGAATGATATTCAATTGCTGATTAAGATAAACATAATAAATAATAAATGCATACTATTAATGATTTACAAATTCGGCAAATTACTGAGAATAAGTCGCATTCTTGTTTTCAATCGATAGAAATGTCGGATGAATTTAATAAAGATATTTCTTAGTAACATAATTTCACATAAAAGAAACTTTCCTTATATACAAAGATTGTAATATGAAAGTTTTGAATGTAAAAAAAAATTATACAACAAAGAATAATCCTCGATTAAATTTCCATTAAAAGAATAATCTTCAAAAATCTTTAAAAAAATATAAAAATTGTAGAGTATGAGACATTATTCAAATATTTTGTATATATATGCTTGTACATACAAAATATTTGCAAATAGCTAATTTACTGGATTTGTATTTAATTATTATAAAATTGAAAAACATCAATAATATAGCAGTGAAAATGCAAAGAAGGTTCATATTGCGTTATAATATTATAATACACAATTTTCCAACACACAAACACACAAAATATATAAGATATTTAAAGATATTTAAGATTTTAACTATATTTGTGATAGAGCATAATGATATATGTATATTTTATAGTATATAAAATATATCTGACAAATGTTTTATGACACTAACCTTGATTCCCATCTGCTTGTCCTGTATCTAGCCTTTCTGTTGGATCTTTATCTAATGGAGATCGTTTTTGGAGATCATCTACTGCCATTTCCAATGGTTCTATCTACATTTAAATTAAATATGTTGTATTATAATCATACACGCGATAAATCGTTGTTTTATTATAATTTTTTTTATTTTCTAAACTAACTTTCATTTCCAGACGATGATATACTGGATTTGGTAATGTTTCAGGCAACATGTACTCTCCATCCTTCCCACTTTGATCACTGGCTGCGGATTCATTTGTATTCTCTGATTGCGGTATTCTGGGTGTTAGTGCTTTCTCCAATATAGAATTATTTTGTTGTTTGCTAACTTTTTGCTTCTTTTTAGGTGTCTCTTCTTTAATCAATGGTACATCTTCAGCTACAGCCTGCTCTAATTCAGCTAATCGTTTGTAAGATTCCTTTGCAAAGATATCTCCACCAGACAAACCCCGAATTTGCAATGTTTCTGCCGCTTTTAAAAGTGCTGGCAAATTCTTCTGTTCAATATTTACCTCTCCTTTATATATAAATATAAGTAGTGCCTCCAATTCACTAAAATGTACATCCTGAAGAATTATAACAGGATGTTGACATGGGTTTGTCTAAAAAATGAAAAAATGAAATTATTAAAATATTCATATTATATTAATATTCATATTACTATTCGTATTATTAATTGTATTTTGTGTACAAATTGCTATTCAAATTTTTTAATTACTATAATTTTTTCTTTTATTTATTTTTTATAAATTACTCATTATATAAAGTTTTTATAAAGTTTACAAATTGATTATGTCAGATATAATTAATATTCTTTATATAATGTAATGCCAAATATCCGTAAAATGCATAATAAAGATCACGGCAGAATTAATAAAATCTATATAAAAGAAATAAGAAATATAAATAAATTAATAACATTTATAAATTTAATATTTATATTACAGTAATATTAAAATTAATAGAAAAAATATATCAAAATAAATTTGAATCGACTATTCGAGATACTTGTATTTACATTATAAAACTATCATCTTACAATTAGAAGAATTATCATCATAGAAACACATTGTCATTTGTCAACAAACCGCGATAAGCACGAAAATCGTTATGATTAAGAGCTTGGACTAAACCAACTATAATTGATAACCACGCCGTAGTCAATAATCGTGCAATTTATCTCGAAAATGATCGCGACAATCATCTCTAACCTCGACGCGAGTGTACCTTGAAGGCTACGTGACAGCTGTCAAACGCGTTGTTGTCGTACATCACCTCGAGGCAATAACAACACGCGTTCGATGCAATCGCGAAACGAGATGACAGGCCCCGCGGGATTCGAGGAACCTCGAGAACCACTCGCGCAAGTTCGCCAACGAGAAGCGAACTCACCTGGAAGACCTTCTTGAAGAAGGGACTGCTGGCCGAGAGTATCACCTTGTGCGCCGTGAGACACTGTCCGTCACTGGCGAGGGTCACGTCCACCAGGCCCTCTTCCTCCCACAGGCTCTCGAAGCTGGTCGCGATATTGCTGAGGAAACTGTTCCACTTTAGACATATTTGACTTGACATATCGCGGCTGACGTCGGACGGTACGCTCGATGGTGTGTCGCGGACGCTATCGCACCGTGGTGTCCGCGGGATCCTCTCACGCGATGACGGGGATGGCGAACGCGACAGTGGGACGGCAGTCGTGCCAGGCACGCACAAACATCGTGAGAACACCACGGCCGAGCAGCATGACCGTCCACGCTATTGGTTCGCGTCTGCGCGGCAAATTCGAACGACGCGGCGCTTCAAACCCGCGTTTCGACAAGGACGTTTTGTTTACGTCTTGCAAACAAAAACGATAGAATAGTTATGCCTAAATAATGAGCATTTTGCCTAGAAGAGAGCCTATTCGATGGAATGATACTTTATGCATAATCCTGAATTTGTTTACGCACAACTTTTAAAAATATTGTCATGATTCATCGGATTTAAATAGAAGAGCAGGTCTGTTTGTTTTTAGATTAGAGCCTACATTTTTTGCATATTTTCTGCAATAAAAATAAAACAGGAATTTAGGTTTGAGGTGTTTGAATGACATATATTTACCGGAGCACGAAATATTTTACTAACATTTCAATAATCATCATCTGCAATTTATGTAACAACAAATCGTTATTAAATATTCAAGCTTTGGTTTTTTAAGAAACAAGAGAGAAAAGGAATGATAAAATTTCATTTTACGTCACATTTATATATTTTTAAAATTAATAAATTCCTTGTCGATTAAAAAGAATTTTTTTTTTTAATTCGAAAGGTATCGTTGGTATAAGTTGGTATATTATTGCTACACGTTGATTTTACGCTCTAGGAAAGCGTCTAGAAAAACATTATTTCGTAAGGAAATAGCGCGGACAATGTTGGATCGAAAGGCAAAGTTATTCCACGGCACGGTTAGCAGACTTACATTAAAGCGGAGCCGAGTGTGCATGCGTGCGTGCTTACGTGCGTGCTCGCGTGCGTACAATTCAACTGTGTATTCCTGCGTGCGCGGCCGCGTGCGTGCATGCGTGTGTGCGTGCGTGCGTGCGTGCGTTTTCGCTCGCGTGCACGTATGCTTGCGTGCGTTATAGCAGAGTTCCATAATCGTTATAAGGTTTTACCAGGTTCTACCCTGCTTCGCGTCCCGGCCGTGAAGCATGAAAATGCAAGACGAAAACCTAGCAGCATTTCTCTCGACGCATTTGTTTTGTTTAATCGGAGAAATAATTAACCGTAATTTCTACCTTTATAATTTCTACCCTTATAATTTTTTTTCAAACAGACGCAACAGAGAGGAGGAGTTGAATTTTATAACGTGAGCTTCGAGTTGTTAAAGATCCTTGATTCTTATAATTATCATATATTGCGTTATGAAATATACGGTAAATGATAAATATGCGTAGAAGAATATATTATTTTGTTTTTATATTTTTTTCTCCCGCAGACAAATTATAATTTCAAATAAAATTGAATCGTCGAGTTCGCTGAAATGTAACTTTTATTATCGCGTGTTTGTAAGTTATAATTGAGAATTATCATTGCTAAAGAATTATTTTTGTTCTGTATATGCTCTATCTATCTCTTTAGATAGAAACGATTGTTGTAAGACACACAGAAAGTTGATGCTCCAAAAGATTGCCTCACATGGCGATTTTTACAGAATAATGTTACATGAGAAAAGACGGTCCGACAAAGTCACGCGATATCCTCCAATTTTATCACATTTAGGATCGTCGCTACTTCCTGCTACTGATACAATTTCCGCAGTATATTTTATCACGATGTATTATAGGAGAAATTATAGATTTCATACACGAATAATTGTGTATATATGAAAGAGACCTAAATTTATATTCAGCTATATATAGCTAATAATAAATACATATTAATTAAAAATCTATACATTTTCAGAGAAAGAGAAAAAAGAGAAAGAGTAAGATGTTTAGACATGAAATCGATAAGTGTTCTTTCGAATGATTTGTTTTAAAAAAAGGATTGTGTTTATTTCAACAGCATTTACAACCATTACGATGTATCAAATGCACTTGCGAGAAACTTTAGTAATCAATTTTCGAGATACTTTACCTTGATTTATGAACGGTGCTGCTTGGTATATCATTTCGCAAAGGCAAATTATACAATCAACGGAGAACATTTCACGCTGTGATTTCAGAATAACGCGATATTTTCGTAAATGTCTTTAATCGATTCAATATAAATAATATAACAGATAAATTTAATTTCATTTTAAATTAAAATAAAAACTACACTCAAAAGTTCAAATTAAATTTTCAAATTTTTTAAATTCTGTTCTCGTACGCATATACATATAAGCTACATATTTATATACAGGGTGATTAATAATAGCGAATACAAGATACCAGAGTTATCCAATGTCTAGAAATTTCCTTTAAATCGAAAAGTTGAAATAAAATTCTCGACATACTCTTAAAATAACAAAAACTAAAAAAAAATCATGAAAAACAATTATAAATATTATATTTTTGATACACAAGTTGTTCAAATAAGAGAAAAGAATTGCAAACTAAATGTCCTTCGTATATGAAGAAATTGGTGGCCCTAAAAAGGGCCGTTTATGATTATTGCTGATCCGTGGTTAAGCTTTCTTCTCAGTTTTCTTCGGCAGCAAAACTGCTTGAATATTTGGCAGTACGCCACCTTGAGCGATAGTAACGCCAGAGAGCAATTTATTCAACTCCTCGTCATTACGAATGGCTAGCTGTAAGTGCCTGGGGATAATCCTGGTCTTCTTGTTGTCGCGCGCAGCGTTTCCTGCCAACTCCAATACTTCCGCAGCGAGATATTCCATCACCGCGGCAAGATAGACCGGAGCACCAGCGCCAACGCGTTCGGCGTAATTTCCTTTACGCAGAAGTCGATGGATACGTCCAACGGGGAATTGCAATCCAGCGCGATTAGATCGCGACTTCGCCTTTCCCTTAGCTTTTCCGCCTTTTCCACGACCAGACATGGTAAATATGATTCGAAGTTGAGCTTCTCTATCGATGCGATGCAGATGGTGCCTCGACACGTTCTGTCGTTTGAGGTGCTTCGCCGACTATTTATACCATACTGCGATACCTCGTGCGGCCAATGGCGTGCCGGATTGGTACGATTGACTGCAGCGCGTCATGTGATTGGTGTGTCGCTACCATCGCTTTACTATATATAACAGCTGCGTTGAAGATTTCACGGCTTTTGATGCTCTGCTGCGGTGATCGACGTGTCGCACTCTTCAAAAAATGAGATATGCCATTGAAAAAATTAACTTTGAGACTCAGAAAAATAGCGATTAGCGAAAATAACAAGAAAAATAGTGATTAGCGAAAATAACAAGAAAGAAAAGAAAATGAAAATTATACATTATGTATAGAGATTTTTTTAAATTTATAAAATACATGAAGTTAACAGAAATTCTTATATAAGTAAAATTAAAGTTAAACATTTATGACATCGCAAATATATGATGAATATATTAAAATGTGTAGATATGAAATTAATAATAAATTAAAGTAATTAAAATTATACGTAACTGCTTATTTTTTTGTCAAAATTTGACATTGCATTAATTTGAGAGCTAAAATTCTTGTTATCTTGTGAAACTTTAAATATCTTTTATAATTTGATTTCATCGTATATATGTATATATATGCCATTAATGTAATATATATATGTATAGTCTAATTTGCATCTGATTGTATAAATTTCGATTAACAAGATGAAAAGCGCATGTCGAGTTATAGGTTATAGCTATAGTATTATTAGCAGTCTCAATATTACTGTCGTTTTATTTTAACGGAACAATCATTGTAATAATCATTGTAATATTTAGTAAATATTTTTTTATAACATTATGTCTGGTAAGTTTTATATTCCAGTTTCTGCATACACATAATGTTATACATATTTTCAAAAAGCGTGTTTTACTACAATTTATTTACAATTAGAGGTTATCTTTCTTTGAAATTGGTTTCCATATCATTATATATAATGTATAAAAAATATCATATGAGAGAATATTTATAGTAAAATAATAGTAATTGATATAAAATAATATTAAACATTTCGTAACATTTTACTATTTTATCATCTTATTATCAATTATTGTATCAATTTAATTCACAAATGAGAATGCAAATCTGCATATGTGCCTTGATGCATTTAATTAAACGAATATAATGTATTAATTAATAACACAAATGTGTTATATTAATGTATAATTTGAAATTAATATCAAGTGAAAGTTGTATAAAACTAAACATATCGAGATAAATATTAATCTTCTAATGTTTTTTTGTATTCTCAAATGATCGATATACTTTTATCTACACTTTTATCTAAATCTTGCTTTGAATTATCTGATATACATGATTTTGCAATGTTATAGACAAAATAATACCTTGCAATGCTCCATCAATTCAGCAATCGAGCAATCCTGCTGATCATATTGTTTGGATCGATATGGAGGTGACTAAATACAGATAATATTTAATTTTATATGGATATGAAAAAAAGCAATTATTTACCAAAAATTATTACTAAAAATTAATAGATATATAGATTGATCATATTACATTATTACAGATGACTGGACTTGATATAGAAAAAGATCACATATTAGAGATTGCTTGTATTATAACAGATAAGACATTGAAGATTATTAGCACAGAATTAAATATTATAATACATCAATCGAATATAATTTTAGACAATATGAATGCATGGTGTAAAAAGCAGCATAAAAAAGTAAGTTTTTATTTTATGCGAATGATATATATTTTCTTGAACTTGACATTTACAAATTGATAAATTTTGAATCTTTCATATATGAAATTTAGACTGGATTGACGGAAAATTCCCGCTTAAGTACCGTTTCGTTAAAAGATGCTGAAAATATGGTGCTTAATTTTTTGCAAGAATACATTCATCCAGGTGTATGTCCATTAGCTGGAAATACAGTCTACATGGATCGTTTCTTTTTATACAAATATATGCCGCTAGTTAACAATTATTTGCACTACAGGATTATTGATGTTAGTACAATCAAGGAAGTTGTCAGGTATAAAAAGATTTTTCTATTTTAGTACTAATAATAATGTTAATATTCTTTTTATTGTTTGTAAAACAATAAAATTAGGAGTAATTGATCATACAATAGATATATTAAAAATGATATGATATATAAAATATGATTACATGAGTAAATCTTTATAATTTCTAGAAGATGGAATCCAAACATATACAAATCTATTCCACAAAAAGAATTAAAACATAGAGCTTTAGATGATATAAAAGAAAGCATTAAGGAGCTAGCTTATTATCAAAAACATATATTTGAACTTCAGTAATAGTAATAGTAATTTTTTATATTTAAAAAAATTACATATATGTATATTGTATTATATGTATAATACAATATACATTTTTCAATTACATCATTATTTAATATACATCTGTTTTTTAAAGTAGAAAATACTCAAATACTCAGTGCATCAACCAATGCAATAATTAAATCTGTAAATACTTGAATGAATATGTAAACATATTTAAATGTGCAAACTCATTGGATCAATAGAATTAAATCTGTAAATATTTATGAATTGTAAATGAATATATAAACATATTTAAATCAAAAGTATTTTTCATCCAGTATAATAAAATATATATATATAAATCTTATTTTTATGTCATGTATATAGATTCATTATATTTATAATTTTGATATAATGACTGCTTACACACACACACACACACACACATATATATATATAATTGTTAAAAGAATGCATGTATGAAATTATATTTTTTCATTTTTCTGTCATGTTCTCATAATTAAATGAAATATTGATAGGCTATAATCAGGAAGACGCTGGATGCTTTGAATTGCGTTTGATTGACCAATCAAGCTAAAGAAATCTTTACTCCTTTTGTCCTGATTGGTCTGCAGCCTATATCACACATTTGTGTATATATTATAGCAATATGGCGCATCCAATCAGATTCGAGTTTTCCTCTTTTACCGTTTATATGGTTTTTTTCTTTGTGACAGTTGGTAACAAGGATCGTTGCTCTGCACGCCATCACCTAGCGGCTATCGCGTCAAATACCTTAATTCAAATTCTTCAACGGATGCTGTGCTTGATTTCTAGCGTGTAGCGTTTATAAACAGTAAATAAATCCGAAATAAAACGTATTGCGAAAGAGTCAAATCGTATTAACCGTGTTATAGCGAAAAATATTCGGAGCAGAAAAAGTTATTCAAGATGAATGATACACGTAACGCGAAGAAGGATAAAAATCAGCATATACAGGTTTTCGTGCGTGTTAGGTAAGCAACACATTATATTTGACAATTTTATTTGAAAAGCTAGCGATTTACACTGTTCCGAAAAAGATTGGATCCAGAAAAGCGTATTAAATTCTTTTCCTAAAATCTGGATAAAGTTTCTATTTTCTTATTTTAATCTTAATTTTTTTTATATTAATATAAATTAAGTAATATATAAACATATACATGCAGTAAGAGCTGGCTTTTTTAGTTTTACATTATTGAGTTATTATCTTTATCAAAATAAAATATCATTTTCTGCAGGCCAATAAATAGTATTGAAAAAATTGGAAAATCGTACTCAGCATTAGAATTACCGTCTAACAAAGAAGTAGTGGTACATGAAAGATCACAAGGCACTCATTCAAAAAAGTTTACATTTGATAAAGTTTTTGGACCTTCCTCAAAACAAGTAACAAAATATTTTTATTATTTTATTAACTATTATAAAATTTTTGTATTAAATATTATAGTAGCACTTATACTTTTGAAAGAAATATAATATTATTTGAAATTTATAGATAGATGTATATAATGCAGTTGTTAGCCCATTGCTTGAAGAAGTACTGGCTGGATATAATTGTACTGTTTTTGCTTATGGGCAAACTGGAACTGGAAAAACATTTACTATGGAAGGTGTTTGCAATGATCCAACATTGCATTGGCAAAGTGTTAGTTTTATATCTTATATAAAATAATATTTATTATATTATAGTAAATGTATTATTATATATTATATAATAATACACTTATTATATAAATTATGTATAATGTGGCTTGATGTGATATTCTTAATATTATTTAATATAAAAAGAATAATCATGCATATACACATGCATGACACATTTCTTAATTATATGATCAAATTTAATCCAAGACATTAAAAAATAACATTATACATATATTTGTAAAAATAAAATATTTATTAGACTAAAAATATTATTAGATATATTATTAGATAAATATTATTAGATAAATTTAGTAACTGTTGTCACAATATATAAGTGTAATAATATAAAAGCAAGCCTACATATGCTTATATAAAATAAATTTATACATACATATAGGATACAACTGCTGGAATTATACCTCGTGCATTGAGTCATTTATTTGATGAACTACGTATGTTGGAAGTACAAGAATATACAGTACGAGTTAGTTTCCTCGAATTATATAATGAAGAATTATTTGACTTGCTATCACCTAATGATGATGCATCTAAAATAAGGTAAAAATTTTTAATAATACTCTGAATTTTTTATAATTATGTGTATTTTTTATAATAATGTGAAAAATAAATGTATTATTAGTTATTGTTATTATATATATTTGTGATCTTATATAGGCTTTATGAAGATGCTACCAGAAAAGGCTCAGTGATCATTCATGGTTTAGAAGAAGTAACTGTACATAATAAAAATGAAGTTTATAAAATCCTAGAAAAAGGATCTGAAAAAAGACAAACAGCTGCAACTTTAATGAATGCTCACTCGAGGTATTTTTATTTATATATATTATTTATTTTTTACAAATACTATATTTTATGCTATACTTGTAATAACATTTTTAATATCATTTTCAGCCGTTCCCATACAGTATTTTCGATTACTATTCATATAAAAGAAAATAATGTAGATGGGGAAGAACTTTTGAAAACTGGAAAATTAAATTTGGTAGATTTAGCTGGAAGTGAGAATATTGGCAGATCTGGTGCAGTTGATAGGAGAGCAAGAGAAGCAGGAAACATTAATCAATCATTATTGACTCTTGGTCGAGTTATAACAGCGCTTGTTGAAAGAGCACCTCACATACCATATAGGTAATTGGCAAAATTATTTATATTAATGGTATAATTTTATACAGATATACATATAAATATTTAACATAAATATTTCTCTTTTTTTTTTTTCAAGTTATGTAATTTAAACTTAGTTGAAATTTATATTATTAGTAATAAATATTATTTTTAAATCTTATAAATTTATAAGAACCAGACAGATTGGTCATACATGAATTCTGATTCAGCACATTTACCCTGATTTATTAAAGGGATTTATTAAAATTAAATCTTGAATTGAAATTTATAGATGTATTTAGTATGCCCTTTACTAATGCAATCTTTTTACTAATCAATCTTGAATAAAAAAATTATCTGTGAAACTGATGCTGTGAAGTTGATTCTGTGTCTGGCTCTTATAGATCCACGGGATTTAAATTCATGTTTCACTTTATTAATCTCTAAATTTATTATTTTTGTATCTTACATTAATTAGGGAATCAAAATTAACAAGACTTCTGCAAGAATCATTAGGCGGACGTACGAAAACATCAATTATTGCGACAGTGTCTCCAGCAAACATAAATCTTGAAGAAACGTTGTCAACATTAGATTATGCTCATCGTGCCAAGAATATTACAAATCGTCCTGAAATCAATCAAAAATTGTCTAAAAAAGCATTACTTAAAGAGTATACGGAAGAAATTGAAAGACTTAGGAGAGACTTATTAGCAGCACGTGAACGAAATGGTGTATATTTGGCACAAGAAAATTATAATGAAATGCAATCATTGATTGAAAATCAAAGTAAAGAAATTGAAGAAAAAATAACTCACATTAAAGTGCTTAAGGAAACTACGGAAGCTAAGGAGGTATAGATAAATAATAATTAATAATATTTTATAATAGTAATCTGTTATCTTATATCATATTTTTTTTAGCAAATATTCAATGATTTACAAGTAAAACATATTGAACAAACTCATTGTCTACATGAAACCAAGGAGCAATTAGAAACTACCACACATGTTTTGAAATCAACTACTGCACTTTTAGAAATGACAGAACTTGAGAAAGAGGAACAATGTTATTTAGTAAAAAAACATGTATCTACAGAAAAAGAGCTTTCATCACAGGCACAAATACTTCTAAATATTGCTGATACAGTTACAACTGATATAAATAAGCTTCAAGATAAAATTTCTCATAAAAGGTAATTGCATTTCATTTTATTATTATTTTAATATAGGATAAAAGATATCTCTCTTACTAGATCACTAATGACTTTATAATATCAATGTCTCTTATCATTATAATTATTTAAATTATATTTAATGTAATACCACATATAGGCAATTAGAACAAGAAAACGAACATCTCAGTCATCAATTTCGATGTAACATTGCAAAACAATTTCAAGAGATGGAAAATAATGTTACAGTTTATTCGCAAAATTTTCTACAGTTTTGTACTTCTATGAAAAATAAAATAGGCAAGTAACAATTATTAATACGTACAATTATATATATAAAATGGATATCATGGAATATACATTGGATAGAGAATATATATCAGAATATACATTATCTTTGTAGATTCACAAATAAAATTATTCAAAAAGGATATAGATTCATTAATCCAACATATGTCAAATGATATTATTAATAAAGAACAGTCAGCAGTAAATGAATTTACAAAAAATATAAATAACTCGGTGAGTTATTTACACATATATAAAAAAAAACAAAATAATATAACCAAAGAATATGTATAATATAAATTTTTCTATTTTAGTACACACATTATCAACAGTGGTTGGATACAGAAAGGAAATTTTCATCTGACTTGATTCAATGTGAACAAGAATTTTTAAATGACACATCCCTGAAACTGACATCAAAAGTTAATGATTTCATACAAATTAATAGCTCGCAAATGGCAAACAATTTACGCCTTTTAAATGATGACGTATCTCAGAAATTTGATAAATTACTGTCATACACAAATGAATCAATAAGACAAATTTGTAATCACAAGATACAGGAACGTGACAATTTATATAAAGATATAAATGAGATAAGACAAAACATACAAATTATTCATGAAAGTGATGATAAAATTATAGAGGAACAAGAAAAGTTTAAGAAGGTATAATCATAATGTGGTAATAGTTTTAATATTATTTTGTTATATTTTTCTTTCAATAGTTTTAATAATTTTTACTTACAAAAATATATATATAAGCTATAAAATATATACATTTTCTTTCACAGTCATTCGAAAATGTATGGCTACAATTTAATAATTTAAGTAAAAACGTGACCGAAAATTATTCTAATAAATGCATCACTTTAACTCGTGTTAATGAAATTTGTGACAGTATGGATACCGTTATTCTTGATAATTATCACAAAAGTATGGAAGAAAATAAATCTCTGGAAGAAAAAATTCAAAGCAATATAAGTACACTTAAAAGCGATATTGACCATAACTTGATAAAGGTATCATTTTATACTTTTATTACGTCTTACAAATTTCTTAATTTATTAAGTTATTAATTAATATCTGTGTAAGAAATGAAAATTACAGTATATTATATATGTTGATTCTTTCGTTCTGTTAGAATCAAGCAATAGCAGAGCAGATTGCAGTAGAAAGCCATAATTTAACTGATGAACTTCAAACTAACGTAAACGATCATTGTAATGTATTAATGCAGAAAAAATTACATATCGAAGATAATAAGAAACAAATGATACAAAAATTCATGGAAGATAATTCTTCTTCTATTGGATCTATTGAAGTAAATTTTTTATTACTTTATCATTAAAATTATTTTGCAAAATACATAGACATATTTAATAAGATATTTATTAATAATAATTTTACAGAATAATCAACATATACTAATGGAAGGTTATAATAATCATGTAAAACTTGTAGAAGAAAAGGAAAAAGAAAACTTACAAATGTTTATAAAATTAAATGATGAAATTAAAAGGCAAAGTGAAATTTCGTCTGATTGGAGTGACAAGACCACTATGGAATTGCATTCAATTCAAGAAAAAATTGGGAAATTTCTTCTGGAAGATTTACGGCGCGATACACCAACAGGTAATTTTTCGACTTTTATGCTAACTTTAATAACTAGATTTATTTAACATTTTTCTTTCAGGTTTAACACCTGCGAAAAAAGAATATCATTATCCACGATGCTTGGCTGCAACTTCACCACATGAACGAATCATTCAAAGGTTCAGAGAAATAAGAAATTACCGTGAAAACTCTGATGATGAAGTAAATATAAATATCAATTTATTTGGGAATAAACATATTTCTAAAAATAAAGATTATTAACATAAGCAAATATAGTGATATGTAAGTGTTAAATTACATTTCGTAGGAAACAATGTTGATCAATAATAATTCACCGAAGAAGCAATTACAGATGCAAACGCAAATTAAACGCTCTAATTGGTAACCAATTATTTTATATTTATGATAGAAATTAATTATACATTAGATTTACTGTTAAATAATAATATTTTGATACAATGACACCATGTGTAATAAACAATATAATTAAAGAATTTATAGAAAATTGACTGTTTGATAGATCTAAGATGCACTTTGCTCGACACTATTTTCGCTTTCAAACGCAAATTTTTCACCTTAATTGACTCAGATGCTTTAAAGCAAAAATAATATTAAACAAACCTAATCTATATCTCTAAATCTACGTTCCAAATCTAAATGTGCTTCACAAATCTGCATCATTAAAAAAGATCAATTATTATAACTTAATATATAAACGAAATATATATATATATATCAATGAAAAAGTTGACTGCATAATTAATTCTTATATACAATGGGTAACAGTTTTTATGCTAATATCACACTTTAATTACACTAGAAATTACGTTAAAAAATTACTAATAGTATTTTTTATTTATATTTGTTAACTTACTATACAGGAGATTATAGAATACATAGCTTATAAAATATATAGATATATATATTATAGAATATATATTATAGAATATACTTGGACATAATAAGATCTTATTATGTCCATCTAATCTCTAAGAAAAATGCTATTTTACAAATTCTATTATTACAAATAAATTCAGCTCTTAATATCTCATGATAGTAGAACATTTGTAGTCTTGACTGAAGTGTTCTAATTAAGTTCAATATTTTTGTTAAATTAAAATTGTAGTGAAATTGAAATTTTCCGAATTGATCCTTATCATATATTTAATGCGCCTATTACCTAATGTTATTTTTTAATTTTATATGCATTTAAAGCGAATGATTATTTAAAAACATTTTCAGAAAAAACAATTTATTACACAGAAATGTATAATACAAAATTATTTTATATTTTGTATACATAATTACAAATAAAATTTATGGACCACAGATCATAGATAGCAAATATTGTTTTGTTTATGGTGTAGGAGTGAACGAAAGATTCATAGGTGACAATTGACTTCCAGATGTTGCATCAGTTCGCGCTCTTTGCTCCATCACAGGATCCGTTTCATTCATATCATCCACCTAGAATAATTATGAAATCGAATAGTAATTTGCCAATTGTTATGTAAAAAAAAATATTTTTTTACTTACCACCATAGAAGTTTCTTCTATTCTCTCTGCTCTTTTTTCAGCAATCGTTCTTAATAGCGCTTTAGCTTCCTCCTTTGTTTCATCAAACTGAAGACATTTTTGTGCAAAATGATTTGCGAGATCTAATTGTTCTCTCTTCAAGTGATATTGTGTAAGATATTTGTATGCATGACTCAATTCCGTTCTATCAACGTTTCGGAATTCGTCCATTACAAAGTCTGTATAAGCTGCCGCTGCATGATCGTGTTCTCCTAATTTCTCATACAATCTAAAATAGAAAAATTTAGTAATAAATATTATTTTTTACAGTATATTACATATTACATATATTTACATACGTTGCTAACTTTAAAAGTGCCATTCCTTCTATATCGCCCACATTACATGCCTTGTAATAACATTTGAGAGCATCTTGAATTTTATCTTGTTTCTCATATGCTTCACCCAAGGCTAGAACCATTCTACTGTCGTGGGGTCGTAAGAGTTGAGCTTGTTTGTAATAATAAAGTCCATAAAATGGCATTTTTAAGATTTCATATGTCTGGCCTAAGCCATACCATGCTCTATAATCTCGTCTATTTACCTCTGTAATAAGTTAACAAATATAAACAAAATACATTATTATTGTAAGCAAAAAATGTTCAAAGATTTTTACCAATTGCTTGTCTATAACTGTGAATTGCGCCATTGGTGTTTTTCATTTCCATGAATTCATGACCTAGTAATGTCCAAGCTGACAAATATTGCGGATTCATTTTCAATGCCCTATGGAAATACATCACTGCCTTTTGATGATCAGCTCTTAAGCTATAATAATTTCCTGAAAGAGGTATTTTAATTTTTACTTCAAAATATTCTTTTTAATGTAACATTGATATATTTTCTTATAAAGACTTGATTGATACTTACCTACTATACAACAAGTTTCCAATCTATATTTATCTATCTCAGTAGCTCTGTGTGCTAAGTATGCTAATTCAACTTTCATCTCCTTCACATAAAGTAGATTAGAATATGTATCCATATTATCAAGACAATAAGGATCTTCTTCTATTATCCTTTTAAAAGTTTCTATTGCATTATCAACGTCTGGAATATAAAATATTTTTATATTTTATTAAAAATATTTGAATTATAAAGATATATAAAAGAGATGTTTAGTTAAATATAATCCATTAATTTTGAAATTTAGAAAATTTGAAACTTTTCAGTTGCAAACTTCTAGTCACATATTTTAGCAAATTTATTAACTCACCTCTTCTATAATGCACTGCAATTGCAGTTTGAGCTAATACATAGCCATTTTTCTGAAAACCCATTGATTGCAGTTGGCAATATAATGCTAAACCTTCATCTATGAGCTGCAATTCCAAATACATATGTGCCATGAAAAAGTATTTCATCCAATGTTTGGGTAAGCATAAATTCTCTAATTTCTCCCTCTCTGTGATTAATGCAGCCAATTCTAGCCATGTACCCCAATGCATAGGTTCTTTATGTATAGATTCCACTAGAACATCTGTTGCTTCTTTAGTGAGTTGCAATTTCTTCAAAGTCACGCCAAAAAGATATAAACCATAGCCATCCAATCTTGAAGCTAAATGATCTTTCCTTAGATCAGAACAAAGCAATTTCAAATTATCATTCTTCATAGGATCTGGTGGTACATCTGTCATATCATCCACCTTCTTTTTCTCTCCTGACAGGTAACGTGAATACAAATGTAGAAATCTAACTTTTGGACTTGTACAGTCCTTTGTAAAATACGCTGCTCTATCATATTCTTTCAAATCAAAGTATGTCTTAGCTAAAGTGTAGGTATCCTCCTCTTGACACGTCTCTGGTACATCCGCAGTCAAATCATGCGCATCTAATTGTACAGTTTTCAAGGAGTAGTTTAATTCTGCTAACCTACAAATCAAACACCATACATATGAACACGTGCCTGAATGCGTAATAACAATAACATATTTATTCAAGAAGAAACCATTTGGTGGTATGCAGCAAACCGCGCTGGGAACATTCACTTATCGCGTGCAGAAGATCCGATTTAACCTCCTTAAGATTAAACTTCACGGATTCTTGCATCTTGTTTCCACTTTACTTTCCTATACCATTCGTTAAAATAATAAGCATTTTACATAGCACTGTACATATCGAGGAATAAAAAACGCATACAAAAAGATTTTGTTTAATTAATTTATATTTTCCAGCACTTCTTATTCATCATACCGGCACCGTTTTTTGTTTACATATTTTCATGATACGTATATACATACATACTCACATGGTATGTCATCCTTATACTATTGTTTACATTTTACATACATAAGCGTGACATGAATACGTTAAGTGATGAAATATTTAACATTTATTAAATAATAGAATAACATTATTTAGTAAATTATATGTTGAATATTATCGAGATCAAAATGCTCATGTTACGATTTTGATTCATGTATACCAGCCTTTTTCAAATGTGTATGTGTATGCGTGCATGCGATTGTGTGTGTAAATTCTAGAACCTCTTCTATGAATCACAAGAATGAAAATCTATCAAGAGAAAATATCATTCGATGATGTCTGCGTATCGCCTGATTTCATGGGTAAGACAATTGTATGTAAAATATTCAAACTTCTCATTTTTAATTAAGAATTATTGTTTCCATTGCAATAAAAAAAAATTGAACCAAACAGGTATGCATATGTGAGCAAACATTAATAGCAAAGGTGAATTTATTTGATTATCCATATTTTCTAAGTTTTATATGTATTTTTTCCATTTTTTAAAAATTTGGCTAAATATTGTCATATCTTTTTCATGTTTCCTCCTATGAAATAAAGTTCCTGATTCTAACCACAAATATACAATACTAACCCAAAAATTTTACTCTGATTTTTAAAAATGGACAAAGATTTAAAAATTTGTACTTTAACAATGTTAATTTGAACTGTATAAAAATATGAACAATATTCTAAAACAGTTTAAAAATTTGATTTAAGAGAATTTGAAGTTTTACATCTTATCTTTTTAAAAATATTATGAAACATATAATCCAAAATAAACTATTTTTTTCAAAGATAAAATTAAGAAATATAAAGCCAAACTATATAAATTGGTGTCATATATTTTCTATTTCTATAATTTTCTAGTTTTCTTTTGAAATGGCATAGGTGAATTAGTAAAATATTTAAGATGGAATATATTTTTTTGAAATATATATTTCTTTAGCAAATCAATAAAAAAATACGAAAATATAATGGAAATATTTTACAGGGTGCAAATTCCCACGGTCAATTAGGACAAGGTATATTATCAGAACAATCTATTTTACCTCAAAATGTCAATTTATCCAGATGTTCCCTAAGACCAGAAGACATAAGGAAAATTGTCGGTGGCGCCGGACACACGTTAATTTTAGACACGGATGGTCGGATATATTCTTGTGGATTGAACGATAAGGGACAAACTGGAAACGACAATACTGAACAAAGAAACGTTTTAACATTTGAGAAAATACATGCTCTCGAACATAAAATAGTGATTGATGTATGTTGCGGATGGGACAGTTCCGCAGCGTTAACGAGAGACGGCGAGTTATATGTATGGGGCTCCAATCGTTATGGGCAATTAGGTTTGGATCATATAGTATTTCCCACAATATCGCAGCCCCACAAAATTTCGATTGGTGAGAAAATCAGATGTATTTCAATGGGTCTACGACATACCGCCATTGTGACAGAAAATCGCGAAGTCTATATTTGTGGAGCAAATAATAGAGGACAATTAGGATTAATTAATCCAAAAACTATGAAACCTTACATTCTTCTAGATACATTTACTAAAGGTTTGACAATTTTCTTTACATTACATGAACATTTTGCTTTATAAAAAAATGAACAAATTGGGAAACTCTAAAAAATTGATAGTATAAAATATTGAATTTGCTTTATGTATCTTTTTTAAAATTCCTGTTTTTGTGTGTATTACTAATTATATATTTTTATTTATTTTATTTTTATATTTATATTTTTTACATTTATTATTAATTTTTACTCTTATTTATTTATCAATTTTATATTATTTATTGTTTTATATGAGTTACATACAACTCAAATAGCTAATAATATATATGCTATTGTACAGTAAAAAAACGAAAACGTTTACACTTAATTAAAATACAGGTGAACAGTTCCAGAATTGATACTGCGGGAAAATATAGAAAATGTTGCCTGTGGTCAATATCATACTGTTATCATGGCAAAAAATCAAAAAGATATATATAATATACACGTTTTTGGCGACAACAAGCATGGGCAATTAGGATTCTGTCCTAAGACATTTTCTGAAATGCGATTATGGCAACCTATATGTATCCCACTTCCAGACATACAACTTGATATGCCAATTCAGATTCATGCAGGATGGAGTCACATAAATATCTTAAACAGTAATTATATTAAATTTTTTTCTTATTATATAATTAATTTATTTATGTAAAAATAAAACTATGATTTTAGATGGCATCATTTTTTCATGGGGAAGAAATGATTATGGTCAATTGGGTCATTTGTTATCAAATTCACGAAATGAAATTTCTATAAAAGAGGAACTTTATCATATTAAACACATCCCCAGAATAGTTCAACTTTCAGCTGGATCAGAACATAATGTTGCCTTAACTGGTACATTATTCAATTGCATGATAAATATATATAAATACATTTGGAACGAACTACATTAAAATATAGATAATATAAAATACATCAAATAATTATAATTTTGTAATTTCAATTTTACAATAATTATAATTTTGCAATTATTTTCGATTTCCAATCATCTCAAATTTTTTTCTAATTTTAATTAAGCCTGAAAAAGGACATGTATAAATCTTGTATTTAGCTTAAGTTTCAAAAATATTTTAAAATATAATTAAATATAAAGAAAAAGGGCTTTTAAAAAAATTTTCAATGTCAGTTTATAATAATTTAATTTTTCAGATGACGGTGCGATATTGTGCTGGGGTTGGAACGAACATGGAAATTGTGGTAATGGAAATACTGAAAACGTTTTAAAACCAGAATTTCTTTCGATTTCATCAAATTCTGCTGGTGTCCTCGTTGGTGCTGGCACAGGCCATTCATTTGCTGTGATAAAAGATATTAGCTAATTGTAATATTAATATATTGTGCAAAAATTAATTTAATATTTAGTTACAATTATGTGTATGAATAAAATATTTTTGAAAATATATTAAATATAACATATAAATTTGTTATCCAATTGCAATGCAATGAGAATAAAACAAAAACTCAGAATTATAGAAATATAAAATATAATTATTATACAAAATTGTACTTATACATTCTTGATTTCATAAGAAAGATATAATCAATTTTATTTTTTTCATACGTGTAAAGACATGAAAAATACATACAAATTTACATATTAAATATGAAATTAATCAATACATCAATACATTTTTAAGTTAAATGCTTTAATTCTAAATTTTTTATATAATTTTTCGTTATATTAAGTTTGACACATGTATTTCCATGCCTTAAAATCTTTTTAAAGGAAACAAAATTTTGTCACAATAGAAAGAGAAATAGAAGACGTGGAGTTATAATAAAAAATTCAGATCAGATTGAATCAAAAGACGAATTTATAAAGATATCGACCCCCTGCATTGTTAGCCCGAAGGGAGTATAGCAAATGCGTGGCGAACAACTTCACCTGCGGCAATTCACCACCTGTCAGTAGGCAACTGTCAGCGGTTGCGAGTAAGAAAAGAAACGGGCGAAATTGTGCTTTATAAAACCTTTATTTCGGCGAAGGAACTCGTCGCACAGAAAACTTTATCAGATACATTTTACGGCGAAAAAGAAATGCTTCGAGCACGCTCTCAAAGTAGCGTATAGTAAGTTAAGCGAATATACATGATATTTATATTTTATTTGGCAGATTGTATATAAGAGCGAATTATATATATAAATAAATTTCTTTTGTTTATTAGTGAGCAGGAAGCGAAATTTGTGCAAGATCGCATAACGGGTGTGGAAAAACACTTTGCCGAGCTGTGCACGATATTTGCGGCGTTCGCCAGAAAAGCGGCCAGGTGCTTCTCCGTGAAACTATATCGATTATTTTTCCTCGGCGATATGCGTAAAACTTTTATTTCTTATCGCTTCGCGTCCGGTTTTGTTCATTACTCACCAATCTTTTTTTCAGGTTGCGCGATAAAAACGATGAACTGGCTAAAATAATACAGACTTACGCCGATTCAGAGATTATAAATCGATCCTTGAGTGCCGGACTCGCAAATTTTTCCGCAACATTATCGGTTATTGGCGATTACAGGTAAAATTGCATCTTTATTTCACATATTTCAATCATATTTTCTTCGCACTAAAAAAATTATGTTAATTTATTTTTTGTTACAAATAACTAATTTACGTTTAACATAATGGATAAGTTAAATATAAAAAATAATGTTGATATATTTTCACTTGCATAATTAAAACTATTTATATATATTTATTTTTCTATATTGAATAATCATGTTTTTTTTATTTTTCAATTAAAGAAAAATTTTTTTAATATGCTCTTCCTCCCTCCTTTTTAAAGAAATTTTTTTTTCTTGTTTATATACACTACTTTACATTACATTCTGTTTTTCAATATTATTTTGATATTTACGTTTTTAAAATTATTGATTTTAGAGACGCTGAAGTACAAAGATTAGATGCCAAGATAACCGCACCTCTCTCACAGTACGCAACGATTTGCAAACATGCTCGTGATGACGTTAAAAGCACTTTTGCAGCGCGCGATAGAGAGCTTACAAGACGAAGACAATTGGATAAAGTCCGAGAAAGAAATCCCAGGAATCAACAAATGATAGTATCCTTATAATTAAAGATTCACTTCAATAGCATTAATTAGCTTCAGCTATAATTGTGTTTTTTATAACTTTATTACGCCTTTTATAACTTCGCAAAAACAATGAAACAAAAACTAAATATTAATTAAATTATTTCAATATTTAAATATTAATTAAATTATTTCAAAATTTATAACTAAATTTATAACTATATCTTGTTTATGAAATATTCTTTATCACACATAAATATCTCTTATTATAAAATCTTTAACTGAAAAAGAATATTAGTCACAAGCCAAATCGGAACTGATGAAAGCATCCGTCGAAGTATCCCGAGTAGTAAAAGGATTGGAAGAACAAATTGATTCGTTCGAACGGCGAAAATTGCACGATTTGAAATCCATATTTTTAGACTTCGTTACCGTCGAATTGAGTTTTCACACAAAGGCTCTCGAGCTTTTGACTAAAGCGTATCAAGACATCGCGGCTATAAACGAGATGAAAGATCTTGAGGTAAGATGTAGATCTAATTTGAATTTTTTTCTTCCATTAAGTTAAATTGAAAAAAAAAAACAAATTTATTGAAAAAGGAAGAATTTATTAAAGTTTAAGAATTTTTTTTATTGAAATTTATAAAATATTATAATTGCATTATATCGATATATTTATATAAATGTAGTCGTTTATCTTCTTTGACGCGCAGGACTTTCAAATCGCGAGAGGAGAAATGAATGGGGTAAACTTGCTTCAAATTGATATGTTATCACAATTCAATAACTTATTTTACAATAATAGTTTTATTATTATCAAATGTTCAGTATACAGTATTATGTCAATTATTATTTAAATATATGCAATTATATTGTTACTCAGGAATTTAGAGAGACAATGCGCGTTCCCGATTCCGTCGCAAGACTAGACACAGTGAATAGAACTTCATTTCGACAGGCTTATTCATTAACGAATTTAGCCAATCGATTCGCATCTTCTCCCGTGACATCGCAGAAATCAAGTAATCGAGAAGCTGAATCTGTCGTAAGTGCAAAAATTTGAACATACATTGCTCCTTATAGTCTATCTTCTTATGTTATGTTATTAAGATCTTAATATAAAAATTGCAGGATTCTGTACAAACTGGATTCACAAATTCTTCTGAATCAGTTCAAGTTGAGGAGTATGCAGACAGCACGGAGGAAACAGAATCAGAATCAATTCAAGAAAAGCCTGTGAGGACTAGGCATAAATCTATGTAATTTCAATAACATTTTTAATTTTTGTCCTTCTATCTTTCTAGAAGACAGTATCAAGATACTCTGGATATAAAGTAAAGAAACGTTTCATTCTCAAACCTGTCCCAGCAATTCCTACATGTCAGAAGTCTTTAATATCATCTATAATATATCGCATACCATCTAAAATGAATAAGACAAAATAAACTTTAAACATTATATTTATCTTTTAAAAATATTTGATTATTTTATACTTTATATCACAATTTAAATGTCTATAGATACAAAAATTATTCTAAGATAAGACTTATATATTAAATAATTTTGTTTTATAAAAAAAAGGATATACAATTATTTCATAAGGTAAGAGCAAAATGGAGTCAATATAAAATATATGTCCTATTCAAATTATAAAATCTAATGCAATTAGATATATCTATATACTTGACATTTCAGTTAATTGTATGACAAAGATTCGATATAAAATATTAAAATGCACATTTATAAAAAAGTGTAAGTTTATTTTTATATTGTAACAAAAAGATGGATATCTCACATTACTTGCATACATTCTTCTTCCACAATTATAATATGGCTATCTCAGATGCTTTGGATGAGTGATTATTTATATATTAGTGCATTTGAAAGAAGAATGAACTTATTTATCACCACCTTCGACTCCTGCTTGTGTCATTAGGTCCGCGATATTCTTTTCCAGATCATCTATTCTGTTGCCCATTTCATCTAGTGTTTTCTATTAAGGATTTTTTTATGACTAATATTGATTCAAATAAATATATGTATAACATCTAATCAAATAAAAATATAACATGCATATAACAAATATACATAAAAAAAACTGATATATATTAATACAATTAATTATACTACTATTCTATAGAGTACGAGATATCTACAGATTTTCCCAAATGTCTTTAATGTGATTCCAATATTTTCATGCGTATTTTTCTTTTAGGTTAAGTACAGAAAAAGGATATTTCTTCCTATGATCTGATCGGACATGGTTTGAAATTTGTCCTGCATATTCTGCAGCAGCGTTTGCACCTGCAAAGGAGTCAACGTAGCGTCAACGTCACGTGGCGATGCGTCCCCGGGTGTGTTATCATCATCATTCCGTGTATGTGGACTCACGTATTGCGTCAACTCCTGCATGTTCTTCGGATCGGCACTATTACTCATCCCATAACTGTCCACATCCTCGTTCTTGTGATCCTGCTTGATGTCGGCCATCCTCGATGTCTCTGTTGGAACGGAGAGAGATTGAACGGGCTTATCCGAGACGTCTACGTCGCGGGTGTAATGGATCCCACGAACGGGCGCATGCGACGCGACGTCTCCATCTTTCACGGTGACTTCGTGACGGATGGTGCTAAGCACCGTTGATTGATCCAACAATGTTTATAAACCTTAAGCGGGTCTCTTCTCGTGCGGAAAGAGAAAGAGAAGAGAGGTATCATGAAATGCAAAAATTTGATTTTTCAGATATCTTTTTTATTCGTTTATGCAATTTCTCGTTTTTTCTCATTATATGTTTTATTATATTATACTTATTTATTGTATAGAAAAATCACATATGAAAATCAGAATTATAATTAATAGTCTACAAGTCTTTATTTTCGTAATTCGAGACTTTCGGACGTCACATATCATACGATACAATGATATCATGCATCATATGATTGATAAATGAATCATACTGCTGTTGCTTACGCACGAGCTATTTATTTTCGATACAATTCTGACTAATTGACATTTACAAAATCGAGAGCAGAATAAAAACGCAATAAATGATCTCGAAATGTATACAACGTAATTATTTCGTCTATTGCACTTTTTTCATTTTATTTTATAGAAAATAAACGTTATACTTAGGCTTCAAAAAAGGAAAATTTAAAAAACCGACTACAATGCAGACAAAAATTTATTACGACGTATGATGCAATTTTTATGGTCTCTTATAAAAACGGTAGTTTCATAAATATACATAAAGAAAATCATGCATATGTCTACATTTTTTCACTCATTAAAACATGTTTTTAAATATGTAAATGCAAGATGATGTAATCATAATCTTTCGAGCAAGCTTAGGTACCAATGAAACGATGTTTTCTTTTAATACTTGTCGTATCTTACTCCGATTGGCTGTCATCTATCCTCGCTTCTAACGCATGTGCACGATATCAGCTGATTACACCGACTGAAACTGCGTATAAACAATAGCTTTACAGTCACAGTTGTCAAATGAGTACCATTTCGTTCTAAACAAGGAGAAATACACGAAAATTATTCAGCAAGTTTATCTGAAAAGTGTCAAATATTTTTAGAATCTGTGTGTTTTCGGTTTTAATATTGTGGTTGTAACAAACAATGCGCCTGGTAGTTCTCATAAACACGATAATCGTTTTTTTATTTTTTATGCAACCGGTGAAACTTTGGCACATTAAAACGAAACAAATATCACCCGTTATTTTAGGTAAATAATTTGGATTCGTATTTTGAGAAGCATTTTCTGTTACACTTATCTGATACATTTTAGAATTCAGCCTTTTTTATATTATTTTCATAGAATATAAAATTTTAGAGATAACGACTTATCGAAATGTTAAAGAATATGTTTATTAATTTATAAAAATTATACAGTTCCAGGTGATGGCGGTAGTCAAATCGAAGCAAAGATTAATAAGCCATCAGTGGTGCATTATATATGTCAGAAAATATCCAATGATTATTTCAGCCTATGGTTGAATATGGAACTTCTTGTACCTCTCGTGATTGACTGCTTTGTATGATTGTTAATTCATTATATGTTTCTATTTTTCTTTATTTCATCCAGAAATACAGCTTTTTTAAAATCTATTTTATTGCAGATTGATAACTTAAAGCTTAACTATAACAATGTGACGAGAACTACTAGCAATCAGCCTGGAGTAGATATAAAAGTACCAGGTTGGGGCAATCCATTTGTAGTCGAGTATATAGATCCCAGTAGAGCTTCACCAGGTTCATATTTCAGTGATATTGGAAATATGTTAGTAAATGATATAGGATATGTCAGGAATTTATCGTTGCGCGGTGCACCTTATGATTTCCGAAAAGGGCCTAGTATGTACAATATATTGTTAATTAATAGTTAATTAATATTTACAAACAGACAAATGCTCTGATATTTTGCGATATGTATTTTATTCAGTTATATTACAAATTTACCGAGATACAGATCTTAAATTTCAGGCGAAAATGAAGAATTCTTTGCCAAATTAAAAACTTTAGTTGAGGAAACATATGCAATGAATAATAATACACCAGTAACATTATTGGCTCATAGCATGGGTGGACCTATGACTCTTATAATGTTACAACGTCAGAGTCAGGAATGGAAAGATAAATATATAAATTCTTTCATCACTCTTAGTGCTGTGTGGGCAGGATCTGTTAAAGCTATCAAAGTATTTGCCATTGGTAAGCATTTCATTTTTTTACTTAAAGTTGTTATTTGTAATCATTAATAAATAGATTACAGTTTTATTATATGTGTATAAATATAATGTGTTTATAAATATGTGTCTGTTAATGTAACACGTAAGAATATTTATCATGAGTACCACTTTATTATGTAAAAAAATATATATATATATGTATGTGTATAATAATTTCTTTTTCTTTTATACATTTTGAATTTATAGGTGATGACTTAGGTGCATATTTTCTTCGTGAAAGTGTATTAAGAACTGAACAGATAACAAGTCCAAGTTTGGGATGGTTATTACCTTCAAAATTATTTTGGAAAGAAACAGAAATTTTGATACAATCAAATTTAAAGAATTACACATTGAATGATTTACAACAATATTTCATGTATGATAGATTATTTAATCATTGTATCTTTGTGTGTATCTCATTTACATAGAAATATCTTTAAAAGTATTTTTATTTGTAGAGACATAAATGTACCTAATGCTTGGGAATTCAGAAAAGACAATGAGAAATATCAATTAAATTTTACAGCACCAGGTGTCGAAGTACATTGTTTATATGGCAACAAAGTGCAGACTGTGGAAAAGTATATCATTTTTATTATATAGAAAGTTTAGATAATTGAATAATTATTTAATTATTAAAGATACTAGAGATTTATAAGAGATTAGAGACTTTAAATTTTATATATATTTTTGTTTTATATGTACAGGTTGTATTATAAGCCAGGCATAGCTATAGATGGCTATCCTCAATTAGTATCTGGAGATGGGGATGGAACTGTAAATATAAGGAGTTTGGAAGCATGTATGCATTGGCAGAAGTCACAAAAACAAAAAATTTATTATCAAGATTTTCCTGGAGTAGATCATACTAATATATTAAGAAATAACGATACTTTAACATATATCAAGAAAGTTTTAAAAGTTTAACATGATTATAATGTTGATTTTTATTAATACTGAGGTACATAGAAAAGATTGCAGCAAATTAGATAACATTAATATTTTAACATTTTTTATTTGGTAATAAATTAATACTTAAAATGCAATACAAAAGTGTCATTAAATATGAACATATTGAACAATTGATTAAAATGATAAGAAACTGATTCAAATAAAGTTTCTATTAAATTATCAAAACAATATTATGTAAAATTAAAATTAAATGATTCATTGATTTTGAAAAAAATGACATCATAATTGAAAATATATTTTTATTACATTGTTCATTAAAATATATCAATACATAACATACCATCAATTTAATCAGGAATATTATAAAGTAGTGCAGTTACAAAAAAACATTTTGTAAATATCAATACTTCCATTCTAATTCATATCTTTTACATATAATACTATATTTCCTCTTTATACATATATATTTTTATACTCACAATTAGTATATATATGTACACGTTTTATCAATTTTTACGTTGTACTAATCGTATGATCTCACATGAAACAAAGATCCAATTAAGATGACTAGTGTATAGTAATTATATTTCATATCTCTGCCATATTATATACAATATGTGTATATGTATATTTAATAGCTGATACATAGCGCAATTAGAATAACAATAAAATTCCAGTTCTATATATAATTTACAAACCTATTGCATTATAAATATACATCGGTGTTATATTTACATCTTTATTCACAATGTGTAATAAATATTTATGGTAATATAGAATATAGAATATTTGAAAATCAAGAAAAATAATATAAAGTATTATTGTAGGAAATATCAACAGATAAACAAACTTTTTAAGATTTTTACTATAATTTCAAAATTTCCTCTTGATATTTTATTCATATACAAGATATTTTTTTTTATATAAATCCATGAATATATGAATATATAATAATTATTTATCAGAATACATAAAAAATGTTCCAAAGTTATATTGGTACAAAATAAAAGATAAATATTTTGTTCAATTTCTATTATTGATATCATTTCATTATCTCTGATATCATTTTGATAACGATTAAATTCATTCTGATAATGTGTAACACTAATCATACATTTATAAGATGAAATGTTATAATGTAAATCATTGCCATAAACAAGAAACTTGTCACAAATGATGCTAATAAATAAATGTTGAAAAAAAAGATATTTATTGATTATAACATTATTAATTATATTATAAATTTTCATTGCAATCATTTAACTATACACAAAATTTTTATTATAGATTATAATAACAATTATATACACAATCTATAAAGTTTTCCTAAATATCTAAATTGCATTCCAAAATTGACTCTTTAGAATAAAATAGTTTGATTATCTAAACAAAGAAATTTTTTTATGTCCTGATTAGTCAAACACAATTTTATTCTAAAAAGTAAATTTCGAATGCAACTCTTATTTTACACACATTCGTACTTTTAATAATTTTAAATATTTGGAATAGTGTGCTCTCTATTTTTTTTCCTTTTCAAGTTTTTACATATTTACGATTTTTTTTTAACATATGTATGCGAAAAGTTTAGGTCAATCTCCAAAGAACACAGTATAAAGGCAGCATAGGAATGCATAAAAATCTGATTCATTCATATATCCTAAAACAGATTTGCTCAAATATTGACAATTAAACCTCTTGTAATTGTTCTCCTAATACATAATTTCTTGCTATTCCTTTGACCATTTATTTATATCTTAATATCTTTTTTCAATCTCACAATCAATTTTTATTTCCTGATTTATCAAAGAAGTAGAGAGTCTCTGCTTTAAAAAATGTGAAAAAATTCTTGTGAAAGCTTTTTACAACAAATAATATCTCTTAATGTCAGTTAAGCCCTGTCGAAGATCTTATAAAGGCATATATTCCCAAAGCTAAAATAGTCACAACAGTGATAGTTTTATAACTTCTGATGCGATAAGATATTCTTGATGTTGTCTGGACAATTTTTAATTTTCGTTTCCTTTCTCTTTCTTTACGGCTTGCTTCTGCCTTTGTTTTCCACTCTTGCTCTTTAATTTTCCTTTTATGATCATAATCTTTGACGTCATTACTGATAGATTCAGGAGGATATTTTCGATATAAATCTTTTGCTTCTACTAAAAGTGTTTCAAATGGCAAGTCATCAGGTAACTGAAAATATAAACTTTTATAATTATATTATTTTTTTTATTGTCAAATTTCTTTGATGACACTTACCGTACATAATATCTTATGTGTGTGTCCCATATCAGGTGTAGTGTTGAAAATTTCGGTAGCTCTATGTGCAACAATAACTGTACTCAAATAAAGAGGCATGAGTGGAGGACTGCCCAGAAAATAATCAAATAATCTATGTAATAATGTCCTATTTTCTGCATATTTGTGTGCATACCATGTTGTGTACTCAGCCAAAGCAAAGTGTGGAAACAGTTCTACACTAAGATAAAAAATAATTCTGCTATTAGTTACTATAATATGTAAAACATCTAAAATATTATATTATATTTCAATGTATAACTAACTTCTCTAAATGTTCCAGGAGCGTTGGATGCACTCGTTCCAATAATGCAAATATGTAAAATAATTCTTGATTTACTTTTTCCATAGTCTTTTCCATAAATCTTTCCAAAAACTCTAACGATATACTTTCAAGAACATATAAGCCTGCTGGTAAGCCCATTACAAGTAATACAGTTGCTGCTACATCATTATATCCCTGGTAGTAACTAGGTACGCATTATTTTATTTTATATTACAATAAAATAAGTTACATATAATTTGTATATGAAAATACATTATTTGTGTTTTTAAAAATACTAACTTTAATTCGGAATGCCTATGAAGTACCCAGCACATAAGCTGTGTCAATTGTTCTTGAAAACTCTCTGTCTCTTTTTCTGTTGCATTTTGAGAAATATGACTACCGCTACGTGCTACATCCTTCAATATCTGTTGATAGACTTCATTTGGTATACGAGTATGTATAGTTTCTAATCCATAAATAGGTATAAATTCCTCTTGTACTAGTCTCAAAAGTTTTGGCCACAGTATCCTTCGTATATCATCTACAGATCATCTTTATGATTTCAAGATTTGGCTTACAAAAAATAAGATTATTCTCAAAAAGGAACCAATTTTAGATAATGTTACAGCTTGACTGACTACTATCAGTATTTGTAAATTACACGGATGATGACATAGATGATCAAAATTATTAGAAATGCTCTTAAAATCTTTCGACAAAGCTTGAAAATAACAAGTAAGGTTCCTTGTTGATTCTAATATATTGTCACCTTGGCAAAGTACCATTAACGAAGCCTTCGCTACTGCAACCAAGTAGTCTTAGCTCTCCTAAAGTTAGATCCGGGTTGGCGATGGTACCGCGAATAACGTTCATTTTCATCCTCTCTCGATTAGTAAGGGGATCCGTCGAAGTGTTGTCATCCGATTCATGATCATCCTCGTGAGTCAGCACTACTCCGTTCTGCTGTTTACCCGACGTAGCCGCATCGTCGATGACATCGGGTATCCGCGGCGCAACACCGTCATACCACGCTTTCGTGGAATCAGGCAAAATCACGAGAGGCACACGATCGCACAAATTGTCCTCCTTGATTGCCGATTCATTCGCTACATTTCTCCTACGAATTTTGTTGCGATTATGATTTTCGATCGGCGTTGACGTATCCGTCAGGGATTGCACTTCTTCGTTCTTGGCATCCATACTTTATTCGATTTTCACGCGAATTTATGCATCAGGTATATCAGGGGATGCGTATCGTAATACTGATAATTTCGTTAAAAAGGTTCCTTAGGAATCTTACAAATTCCAACAGGAACAAACAGGACTACTAATCACTACTAATCCGTCAAGAATGACAGCAAAACGAAGTGACACATACTGCTGATTGACGTTATCCAGACGTACCAACCAAACGCGAGAACGTTGCTAAAGTTAGTCATGAACTTTATCATAATGACGGATGGTAAAAAGATACAAGAGGAATTATAAATGTGAAAATATCAAACATCAAGAAAAGAAATACACTTAAAATCTTATTCGTATAATATATTAATCTAATTAATTTTAAATGAATTTTTTCAAATAAACAGATTTTTTTCAAGATGTTATTTTTTATTTTAATCTATTTTTATAAAACTGTGGTTTAAATTTTTTTTAATTTGACAAAGCAACTTATTGATATTACCCTCTCATTTTTTAGTTGTAAAAAAATATCATATATATCACTGAAAATTATAAAGAGAAAGAGAGGGAGAGAACGAAAAAATAATTTTTAAATTAAATTATTAATATAGCTACGGTCGATAATAATCATTCATGAATGAAAGCTTGGAGTGGATGCCTATAAGAGGCAGCACTCGCGTTCGATATCGATAGCAATGACGTTTCGCTGGACACGTCGTCCAAGTCCAACGTCGTTATATCACACGTTTGCATATCATTTTTACGCATGCGTATCGTTTGTTTTCATCTGTCGCATCTAGATCCCGTGGCGAACAGTTGTTTGGTTATTCGATCTTTCGCTTATTAGTAAATTAAATTAATTTGAAAATGTCGGGAAAATCTAAAGCATTTACGAAAGAGGAGGAGCTACTGCTACAGGATTTCTCCAGAAATGTCTCAACGAAATCCTCGGCGTTATTTTATGGCAATGCTTTCATCGTTTCGGCGATACCCATTTGTGAGTGCAGAAATTTTTAGAAATTTGTCTTTTAATCTTTTTATTTTTGTTATATGTTTTAAGATTTTTATTATAAAATTTTACATTGATTTTGCATCATCTAATTTAAAAAACAGCTGAAATTGGACAATTATGTCTTAAAAAAGTAAATTGTTGCTACATGATAGTCAGATTCTATATATATTTTTTATTTATGATTACATATATATTTTTTTTAATTTACTTATTAATATTTACTATTTTAATTAATATTTATTATATATTATATATATTTACAGGGTTATTTTGGAGAATACACTTAATCGATCTATATTCCAATTTAATCTCTTTTGTATTAGTTACATTAGCAAGTACATATGCTCTTGCATTGGCATATAAAAATACCAAATTTATCCTCAAGCATAAGGTATGTATATATGTACAGCATATATTTAAAAATAATGAGAATACATAATTATATAACAATGAAAATATAATTTTTGTATATATTTTATTATATATTATACAGATTGCTGTAAAAAGAGAAGATGCTGTAACGAAGGAAATAAGCCGCAAACTTGCAGAAGATAAGAAGATGAGCAAGAAAGAAAAGGATGAAAGGTATTATATTCTTTGTATACTCCTTTATATTTTTATAAAATATAAGTAACAAATCGATTAGTAATATTTTGCATTTAATATTTCCTAAGTAACCACTAGTATTAATTTGAATACAAAGGACACTATTCTTAGATTATTTTTTATTTTCTCTACATCATATATATTAATTTATAATTATGTTTAAATAGGATTTTGTGGAAAAAGAACGAAGTGGCGGATTACGAGGCAACAACATTTTCAATTTTCTACAATAACGCTCTTTTCTTGGCATTTGTTATTGTATCTTCATTTTATATTCTGAAAACATTCACACCTGCAGTAAACTATATACTTTCAGTAGGAGTTACTAGTGCAGTCTTAGCATTATTATCAACAGGATCTCAGTAATGTATATTATCTAATATATATATATATATATATATATATATATATATATATATATATATATACATTCTACTTAACTTGTTTCATAAGATTGATTCTTTGTCAATTTGATTTATCTATTTTAATATAAACACAATCATAGATAATAAACATTTCCATTTATATTAAAAAAACTATTTGCTGTGAATTATGTGTTATTTCTATGCAAAGTTAACATGTATTAAATATTACATATATACATTTAAGTTATAAAGTCAATGGCTGCATTCTGCAGAAAAGCTACTTAGCAACAGTTACAAAATGAATCTGATTAGCATATGCTTTTAGATTCAGCTAAAATTAAAAGCATATGCCAATTAGATTCATGAATTTTACAACAATTGTTAAGCGGTTTTTTCTGCTGTACACAACCATTGATTTTGTTATTCGTTGATTATCAAATTTAAAAATTGTTTACATTAATTACGAATATTGAATATCATATATATATTATACTGATGACTGACTTTTTAGTACTTTATCCATAAGCAATATCATTCCATAAAAAGATTTTAGATAGATATATATTTATTTATTTATCTTAAACTTGCTTTGGATGATGTATAATAGTGCAATGCAACTTCAAGATAATTCTATATAAAATTTTTTGTATCACATTCTAATGTACTATTCTGATATATATTTGTTGTAATATTCTGATATATATATTTTATATATATGTATATTTTACTTCAAATATTTTCTGTACCTGATAAATAAAATTATAAATGGAATATCTTGTAAATTTTTTTGCAAATTATAAATCATCTATAAAGTAAGTTTTAAGAATTATAATTGTTTTATTAATATAATTTTATTTTTTGCAATCTTGATAATAATTTAATAGTAATTTATTAGTTTATTTTATTTTAAAAAAATATAGAATGATAAAAATTTTTAAAGGGCTGATGTTCAAATTAAAGTAGGAGATTAAGAGCTGACCATTATGCCACAAATACATCTATTCATTAGAATATTTTTTTATTCAAGATTTTATATGGCTGTCAGTTAACTTTGACTCTAATTATTTCGGAAATGACTAATTTATAGAAAAAGATACTAGAAGGAAAAGATAATACTTCGCCATGTACTTATATATTACCTACGAAATATATTTAATAACTTTTTGCATACTCGAGAAATGATCCTCAGTTGCCACTTGGTTTAATGTAGTAACTCGAATGGCAAATGAGAGGCGATAATAATTCATGTTTGATTTGAATGCAATCCACAGTAAAGTATTATGTTTATTTGTAACTATTATGTTTAACTGTAAAATTAAATTACTTTAAATTATTATTTTAAGCTTAGTTTTTATATTGAATATTGGAATGAATTGTATTTCCTTTTAACATACGCAGCACGTTTCGCCTTAAGAAGGCGATAAGATTTTTTTTTTAAGAATTAGACTCTTATCATTGCTTGGACAGCAGTTTCTCAAAAAGGACAGTAGCAATAAAAGAATAACTTTTAAGGGTTATAAAAATGAAATCAAATGATGAAACAATGAAGATATATTGAAATATAATAGTAGTTCTATCCGCTATAATTTATATATAATTTGTTTTTATGTTAAAAAATTTCATCAATTTTTAACAAAGCAGCTTTGAGTTGCTAGTTTCTTATAGCAAAAAAATTATTGAGTTCAAAGGATTAAGTAACAATGATAGGTAAATACGAATTTTTAAATATTTATGTATATGCTAAAAAGTATTCCTCGTTATTATATTTTGTAGAACCAATTTCGATCTTTATTAAGGTTTTTTCAATTAACATAAAAAAATAAAATTGTTTACCGTGTTTGAGACTGATTTAAATACAGAATATAATTGGCGTAATTTGCTACAATTTTGATTCAATTTTCCGGTTGTAATTAAGAATTATAAATAAAAATTTCATAACGTTCTCCCGCTATACATATAATGCTCCAAGTGTCCATGTGTGACGTGATCGACAGAAGCAAACCAAGTTCTTTCTGAAAAGTCAGTATTGCAAGAGCTTCCATACAGTTCAGAGTAATTCACGTCCTTATTCAGAACTGTGCATGTTTATTTAACAAGTGATCGAGAAGTGAGAGCAATAAGGTAAGTACGATATAGTGAAATATATTTAAATTAAATATATTAATTAAAATAAATATGTTAATGTATAAATGTGTTAATTAAAATAAAAATGAAAATTTAAATGGTTATAAAAGAAGGTAAAATATGTGTGACAAATTGTAAATCGTTTTTTACACACGATATAGAGGTTTATATATATATATATTATATATATATATATATATATATATATATATATATATATAAAATCGCATAAAATTGTTACAATAAAGAACTAATTTAATTAACTTTTCCGTTTCTTAAAAGAAAAGAAATGCAACTTATTATTTGATCTAGCAGTCTTGTTATTAAAAAAATATTCCATATTTAATCTTCGAAATAATCTTTGTAGAAAAAAATATTGAACTTATTGCAAATTATGAGAATTGGAAAATAGCACTTAGTTAATTTTAAACAAACGATTTTCAATTTTTAATATAAGATATTAATTTACAGTTTATTCTTTAACATCGAAAATTGTGAATCCGTGACAAAAATAGGAAAATAATAAAAAATAATAGTAGTAAAGTTCTTAATCATGTGCATTTTTTTGAATTATTTGACAAAATTTGAATTTTAAAATCCTATTGTATTAATATCTATTATATGCTAATGTATTATGGATTATAAATTTTTTACATTACGTAATTTTAATAATTAGATTTCATTAATATTATTTTATTGAATTTCCACATTAACTTAGATTAATTTTTCATTTTTTATGTTTTATGTTTTATGTTTTATGATTATATATATATATATATGTGTGTGTGTGTGTGTGTGTGTGTGTGTGTGTGTGCGCGCGCGCGCGCACATATTCACACACACACACACATATATATTCACATATTCACACATAAGGAATGAAGAAGTTAGTAACATATTTATCAATAGTTTTTATTACACAAAGTTTTTATTACATGTATATGCTGATAGCTTGTATCATAACTATAAAATATGACATAATTGTATTTTAATAGTTTCTTTGACATGATTCCGCACACATACTATGGAAATTCTTTTCAAAGTGACGACGAAGGCTGTCACATTAATATTTCACATTGTACTATAATCGTTGCAATCCCATAGTCCATAGCAATTAACTTAAAGCCTTTAAGTAACATTGACCGGTTAGATGCGATCAATTTTCAGATAACTAAATAGTAATATAATGATTACTAATACTCTCAATTTATCTATTATGCTTGATATTAATATTTTTAAATATTTGGATATTCTAATATTTTAGACATATTTAAATGTGTATGATCCGTTTGATATCCTACAATTGTTATCTTTTTATATGACTTTGTTTTATATATTTGTTATTGTCATATTAAACGTCTTTGAATATGCCTTATATATGCATTATTTATATAATATTATATTTTTTACTATATTACAAGACGTACAAATATATGCGCACACTATTTGTTTTTATGATTTATAATAGATTTTTCCGATATCAAGCGAATATATTAATTGACAATTATATTTTTCTAATAGAATAATTATTCGAAACTTGCTACTGAAGAGCAAGACTTATAATAAATATTAGAGTTTCGTATAAATTTTCAAATAATTATATTTTGAAAAAGTTGCTATACATTTTTAATATTATGAAAAGAGAAAAATATGCCCGTGTGAATACGATCATATTGCTATATATAAAATGTTAAATAAATTACTTTAATTTAAAAATTATAATTGATAATTATAACAAAAATTGATGATTATATCAAAAAGAATCTAATCTGTAGATTAGATTAAAATTTAATATGATGAAAACACATCAAGCCACTAATTATTAATTTATATATTACACATAAAAATATAAAGTTATATTCAGTTTTATGTATTATAATTTTGATGAATTGACCAAATTTATAATATCTTAATTTCCATATTTAAAAATTTGCTTATGTATCGAAAATAAAAAAATATTCCTTTTTCTTAGCCTCTACATAGATATATTTTGAATTAAATTAGAAATACAATAAATATATATAACAAAAATTATGGTTTTATAAAAAAGTTATTTTAACAGAACTTATAAACATTATAAATTATTATTACATTATAAATTTATTATTCATAAAATAATCTCATTTTTTCTTTCTATTCTTGTTATATATTTTATATCTGAAAATTTATATATATATATACATATATGTGTGTGTGTTTGGATAGTATAGTAATTAATATATCTATGATAAATTTGTAGATAGTATAATAATATTATTATGTCTGAGATATTCACTTCGACATAAATTTCAATGCAAAAAATTTCATGTATTTTATGAAAATTTTACGTAATTTATAAAAATTTTATGTATTTCTCGTTTCTTATGTAATTTATATGACTGTAATGATAAACCAAAAAATTAAAATAAAACTATTAAAACAAAGAATAACTATCTGCACTGGATTTTTACTTATGAAAAATATTTTATACAAAAATTTCTAAATATTTTATGCTTTCATATATATATACATATTTTTGCGATTTTTTAAATATCATGAGATTTTATTTTAAAATGAATAAATTTTTAAAATATTTTTTATAGTGTATTTTGATGGTTATAGAAAATGGCAATGAATATATTTATGAATATTTGATGATTATGAATACATATTATTTGAATGGTTGTAATGCTGTGAAGGATTAAATTCAGTTTTTTTAAAGTAATATATGCGTAAATGTTTTTCGCTGACATTGCTATACACTGACATTGCTTTATTATTTTAATTTGCAGTTGTTACGATTCAAAGTTACAAGTCATACATCACATGTAATTAAATGTTTTTTATTTATTATGCAATTATGTAACGTCTATTTTTTTGAATGTCATATAACAAAAATCTGCTTGGAATTAATGTTATAAATAAAATATTGATATTATCTATGAATATTGAGTGATTATTCAAAGAAACATAAAATATACAAAAAATATGTCGGTCAGAAATTAATACTGCATGAAAAAACGAAGAAATATAAAATATTTTAACTTTTTTCATTAATTGTAGTTTTTTTATTGTTTAAAATTAATTTATATTTTATAAGAAGCAATGGAGAAATTGGATTGAATTGTAAGCAATAATTTTAATAGATTTTTTGTTAGTTATTAAATTCAAAAAACTTTATTAAATTAATTCCTTCATAATATGTATAAAATATGCATATTATAAAACAATTAATAATCTAATGAGGAAAAAATAGAAAGTCCGTTAAAATACAAAATCTGTTTGTAAAATAAGAATTTACTTGATGATGTAATGTGTTAAATAAAATCGGTCAATCTTAACATATGAAGTAAGATAATACTACAGTAAAATATATAGCAAAATTAATACATAGCAACATTTTTAACTAATGTAATTAACTAATATAGGACTCTTGAAAAGCACTATTCTACAAAATAAAGAAAAATATTTAAAAAGAACGAGATACATATTTTATTATAATTTGTGATTTGTTCTTGTAATTTGTAATGATGAAATGAGGAATCATTGTTTTACAATTTAAAAGATCATCTATTTTTTAAATCGATTATCTGAGCTTTGTTGATTAATATTCAAAATATTTAAAAACAAAAATATTCTTGATTTGAAATATTTTTAATTTAGATCAAAATTATATTATTATGTTATATTTGTATTGCTTTTTGTTTACAAGCTTTCTGCAAATGAACAGTATTATTCTCAATTTATTTGAATAATTAATATCTTGCTATATTTCAGATAAAGATATAAAATTTTTTTTCTGATTATATGGAATGTCATAATAATCTAAATTGCTTGTAAACGTATGTAAACAAATATATTATTTGTAAATAAATTTTTTCAAGCTTAAGAACTTAACAAGTTTAAAATTAAATTGATATGAATTTAAAATTCAATTTTGTATTATTATTAGTAATATAAATAGTCAAAAACAGCGGTAGCAAATTTTATTATGTCTATTATTTGCATCATCTGCAAAAGTGTTATGACGTTGGAGATTTTGCGCGATAACAGCACTTTTTTCATATGGCATATGTAAACTTTCTATAAAAAAAATTGTTTCTTCCTGAAGCGAAATGACAACCGGTATATTTGAATGCGAATTGTGTTTTTACAACATTGCAGCCTACGAATTAAACATAATTTATGAGTTTACGTAATACATGTCTTCAATAAATGCTAATATCTTGCGGATGCACTTTGACCATGTATCGCGTAACATGTTTATGTTTGATGCAAACAAAATTATATCGTAGTCATCACCGGTCATCCATCTCATTTCAACAAAATCTTAGCTTACTTTATATCGATATATAATATAATTGTACAGAAAATTATCGATTAACGTTTACAATGCTCAATCAAGTATTTAAAAAAAAAGCATCTCGTAAATATGTATTAATCAACTGTGTGTTACTCCAGTTATTTTTCGGCATCAGTTGTATACACTGTATCAGTTGTATACAGAGAGTACACATTAGAGTAGAAGTTTATTTATTCATATAATTAATAAATTCTTTTAATTTCAGTATTTATTGTAAATAATATGAAAAATTATAATATTCTCTTCTATAAATACTCTAACAATTTTTTTACATGAACTGAGATGTCGAAAAATATGATATAATTTACTTAGAGAAAGAAAGAAGTTATACAATAATACTAAAATAAGTTTTAGAGTTATAAAATTTGACATTTCTAGATTTTTACTTAAAAAATGCTTAATTCTTTTTATATTAAATTTCAAATGTATATATATATTGAATTTAAATTATATTTGAAATTTAATATAAGAAGAGAAAAAAATTAAGTATTTTTTTAGTAAAAATCCAGAAATGTATACATAACTTTCATCTTTATGTCCGATTTCACCGCGTTTAACTTTAATCTTACAATTAATTTAACTCACTCTTTGTCTCTTTCTAAAGCAATAGTTAAACTAAGTTAAATTAAGTATTAAAGTTAAACGTGATTGGGGTGAAAATTCAAATTAATGATATGATAACTCAGTAATTGATAATTCTAAAAATGTACATACTATAATATACAGACTAGAATTTTCGGATACGGAATGTATAGCGTTGATAGTTTATGCCAAAAGAAACAACTTTTTCCTTTGGCAAAATTGCGTTTAAGTATTACTTTTTAATAAGAGCAACTTTAGGCTAACGAATAAGCGCTTTAGATTACGCATTAATTAGCGCAGCGGGCGCACAGTTTGCGTAACGTTGGAACATATACGCTATTTTATTATTTTGCTAAAGGTTTTACAAGAAATGCGCATAATAACTAAATATCGTTATCTTCAAAACAATTTATTTAATGAAAAAATTTCCATTTGATATCATCGAAGTAATTACTAAAAGTAAAATAAGTAGATTAGGTAACATGTGAATCATTTTGATCTACACATATTAAGTTTAGAAGAACAGTTTCATTGTGTATTAGCAATTATCATATCAGAAATGGTCCAACGTATACAAGAAAATCTTATTCACAGAGCAAAAATGTGTACAAATAGAAAGTCTACATTTCAAAATATGCTTTAAGACATTTAATTAATTTTTTCAGGGCCAAATATTCTTAGAACGTTGGAATAATAATTTTAGATTAAAATTACTCACATGTTATCTAATTTATTTACTTTACTTCCAGTCATTACTTCGGTGATATCAAATAAAAAATGTTCTTTCATTATGTAAATTATTTAAATAGCGATATTTAATTATCATACATAATTCTTGTAAAACACACATATAGCAACATGATAAAATAACGTATATGCTCAAATGTTATGCAAGCTGTGCACGCCACTCCTTAATCACACATAATCTAAAACGCTTATTCATTAGCTTAAAGTTGCTCTCATTAAAAAAGTAATATTCAGACATAATTTTGCCAAAGAAAATAGTTGTTTCTTTTGTCACGAACTATTACGCTGTGCATTTCCATGCATTTTGGTATACCCTGTACATTAAAACATAAAATTTTATGATACATCGATGTATAATATATTCTTAATTAATTAAAATACCTACGCTATATATTTTAATATTCAAAATCTTATCTTTAAATAAAAAATAAGAAGCTTAATGGTGAAAAAATTAAAAATCGAAATATGTTTCAGTTTGATCATCCTGTGAAAATATCAAATTTTACATATTAATATTTCTCATATATGTATATTAATTCTTACTAAATTTCCTAAATAATTATAATTTATTGCAATTATGCACTATAAATTGTTTTTACAACATCATATTATAATAATTTATTGAGTAATATTAAACTGGTTAAATATGTAATATTTTAAATAAAAATTTTTTTCTATTTTTCCATATATATATATATATATATATATATATATATATACATTAATTTCAAAAATTATAAATATTTTATAAAACAATTGAAATATACACTTCTATAAAAAATTATATCATTTTAACAAATACATGTTTTTTTTAATATTGTTATATTTTTAATTAAGATTATTTTTAACATTATTTATAATATTACTTAGTAGTAATGGTAAATCGCATATCAATAATAATTGTTAACCCTTTATCTAAACTCGTAGTAAAATTCCATTATCAGCAATTGTATTATCAGCAATTACATAATCAGCAATTTCTCTTTTTTATTGATATATACAGGATGTATCACAATTTGCAGATGCGGAATGCGCAGCATAATAGTTCTAGTTAAACCTTTAGCAAAATAATAAAATAGCGTATATGCTCAAACGCTGTGCAAGCTGTGCACGTACCGCCCCTGATCATGTGTAATCTAAAGTGCTTCGTTAGCTTAATGTTGCTCTCATTAGAAAAATAATATTCAGATGCAATTTTGCCAAAGGAAAAAGTTATTTCTTTTGGCACGAATTATCACGCTGTACATTCTGCATCCGCGAATTCTGATACACTCTGCATAACGTGCATATACTTTTATTTTTTTTATTTACTTCATTCTTTTATTAATACTTACATTTTCATGTTATTTATAGATATATACATATTTTACATATACAAATAAATTTGTTGAACATAATATTCACTTAATAATAGATTGATTTATTTATTAAAATGTTTTTTTAATCAACAAGTTTTTTATTAACAAGTTTTTTTAATCAACAAGTTTTTTATTAATCAACAAGCTCTTACATGATAAAAAAGATGAAATATAACTTTTGAACTACGATTAATGACAAAAGAAAAAAACAATTATAAAAATGAATAAATGTGAATAAAAATTTATTGTAGTACAATTTTGTTAATGTTTATCTTATTTATTTTAAAATAACGTAATTTAAATTGACCACACTGGCAATTTATTGGTTGGTAAAGAATTACAACGTTTCGACCATGGGTTTTGGTCCTTATCAAGTGAACTACAATAATTTCTAATATTATAAACAGTAATTAAATTACAATAAAATGTAAACAAAAAGGAGAAAAAATTATGTAAATACAGTATCTTAGTTAACCAATATATAATGAGAAAAGAGGAAATCACTATGTCAAGATTCCGTCATGTCAACCTCCCGATCAAACACAAAGAGAAAGACTAAACAACCTTTAGTCTATCATAAATATTGTTTAAACTTTCAGTGTCCTTTTGTAAGTTAATCGTGTTGTCAAACTTTTTGACAAAAAACATTTCAGCAATTTCTCTCTTTCTCACATGTCTTTCATTGTGTAAAATAACCGGTATTGACCAATCGAAGTCATGATTAAATACCAATTTATTTTTGCTAATAACAGACAGATTGCTTTCATGTAATTTAATGTTGTTAAAATGTTCCTTGACACGAGTGCCTAAATGTCTTTTCGTTTGGCCTATATATGAATTATTACAATTTTACATTACAGTCTAATTTATAAACGACTTTAGTCCTGCTATTAATAGAGAATCTATCTTTTCCACGTTTAATCAATGCATTCAGTTTTTTAGGTATATTATAGACAACATTAAGGCCTGGTTGCAACGTTATTTCAGCTTTAAGCGAAACTTAAATATATGTCTGTCTTTATTTATTTAGAAAGAAAGATAAAGATAGATATATATTTAAGTCTCATTTAAAGCTAAGAATAACGGGCTAGAATAACGTTGGTGCAATCGGGCCTAAGATCTACATTTTAAAAAAATGTAACAAAGTGTAGTTGCATTATCACATTCAGTATTCATATTTACATTATCACGATGTTTTAAAAAATCAAGTCTTTTTTGAACGTAACGATTAATAATTTGAGTTGGAAAACAATTGTTGGAAAGAATCTGTTTAACAGTGTCAATATTTTTAAAATGAAATCGAATGTCTGATAATAAAATAGCGCGGTCGACAAGATTATAAATGATGTTCATTTTATATTTAAATGGATACTTGGAATGAAAATTAATGTATATATTAGAATAAGTAGGTTTTTCTATACCTATCAGTCAAAAGCCGACAAGTCAAAAGTCAGTCATCATCCGAACGAATAATCATCGTGTCCAAAAAACTAATGCAAAAATCAGACTCAGTTTCGTGTGTAAATGTTAAACGTTGATAATAATTATTGAAAGTCGATACAATCTCGTCAATCTTTGAGCGTGGAACAATGGTAAAAATATTATCAATATATCTACAACGGAACATTAAAACTCAACAAACTTAAACAATGCGTTTCTAAATCATCCATCACGATATCTGCCAAAATAGGTGACAAGGGAGACCCTATAGGGCTACCAAAAATCTGTTCATAAAACTGTCCATTAAACGAAAAACTAGTGGAATCCAAAAACCGTTTCTATCGCGTATAAAAACTGAAACAAGTTAAATTTAGTGTTAGGAGCAATGTAATTCCAACGTTTAGTAACAGCATTTAAAACTAAATCTTTAGGAATATTAGTAAATAATGCAGCATCAAGTGAAATCATTAAATCGTCATCATTAAGAAATTTATCTTTCAAATTTTTGGCCAAAGTCCAACCATCCTTAATATGAAATTTAGGTTCCAAAATCGAAATCTGTAGTATATCGTGAATGTATTGCGCGACATTATATAACAGACTGCCAAGTAATGACACAATAATCCGTAGTGAAAAACTCGTTTTAGGAATCTTAGGCAAACCCCGTTAGGCAAAAACTCGTTTTGCGAATCTTACCATAATCCCGTAGCAAGGTTACCATTAATAGAGTTTAATTTTTTATATGTAGACTCATTAATTAAATCATTACTTCGCCAAGATTTAATTTATTGTACTTATTTATTTTATTTATTGTTTATTATTATTTCAGATAAAATGTCAGCCATACAATTTCATGAAGCTACAAATGGATTTACACAAGACAATAAGGTATTATAATAGATATATATATTAAATATAGATATATAAAAAATATACACTTGAAAAATCGTCACATTTTTCTCGTCTACATCTCTTTAAAGGGATAAAGAGGGTTTATAGAATTCTCAAAAATGAGAATCTATATCTTGGTAAATGCACCAAGTAAAATATATGCATACGCCTCGTTCTCGTTTAAATTTTCGCGTATTAAAGAATTTTTAGGCATTACCATCCGTTGTGGCTCTTAATCGCTAGTTTTCTTATCGTGTTGTTTAATACATATAGAACCTAATTGCTTACAATTTATTTAATCGTCACATTGTTTTAAATTAAATCGTCATTATTTAGTTCTATCAACACTAAATATGCCTGCTTCTTTAAATCTTTTTTTGAAATTTGAATATTTATTTTTTTAAACTTTTGGCCGTAGAGAAATATTTGTATATGATATTTCATTTATATATCAATTTATATATCAATTTATATATCATTTATATATTTATATATAAATGAAATATCATATGCAAATATTATATACAAATGTCATATACAAATATCATATACAAATGTCATATTTTGACATTTCCATTGCCTCAATTTAAAAAATCTGTCATGAATATATAAGATCTCAATCTTATCACACGAATTAATAATTTTAGAAAAGAAATGATGAGAAATGCGGCAGTTTTAAGTCTCTTCTATCACATTCCATACGTGTATGTATTCATTTCATTAAAATTTCTTGCAAAACTACGTAAATGATAGTTATACTAAAGGAGTAGATATAATCATCTCTACTTAGGAGAACTAGTTTTATTTTTTTATAATTTACATGAATCTAATACATGATTCTATGCAATGCAATTTATCAAGTATAATATGTTCAAGTATAATATGTTCTTTTTAACAAAAAGATTTCATTACGAAAAAAAAATTTTTCCTTCTTTTGTATGAACGAATCTTGAATTTTCTATGAATGAATCTGAGCATCTAGCTTATATATGTAAATAAAATAATGTAAATAAAATATATATAAAATTTACAGGAAATAAATCTATCGGTCAGATATGCAACAGCTAGTGAAACTGGACTTGATGGTAATAATGTCACATATTCAAGGTTTTTAAAATCTGTATCTGACTTTCTAAAATAATCATAGCGATTAAAGTCGTATCAGCTTTAACTTATTCATTTATTATAAAATTAAGTTAATATTACTTGCAATTTTTTCTTGCAATAAAACGTGGAATACGTTCTCTTTTTTTTCTTTTGTGTGATGATTTTTCATAATTTATATCTTTTTAATTGCATTATATAAAATGTTGTTTAAACATTTTCAGGACCCGATCAGGTATTGGCTACAGACGTAGATACTACGTGTGAAGCTAAAGGTAAAGTGCGGATAAAATTAGATAAGAATGGATACAATTCGTGCATACCTATGTCAATTCCTGGAGTTTTCATGAAAACAGCAAATCGTTATCCTGATCATATTGCGTTGGTCTCTAGTCCTGGTATCGATGGCAAGAGGACTATGTATACTTATCGGTATAAATAAACTTTGTGATAATTCTTTTTATCTAAATTATTAAATAATAAAATTATTATAAAATCTAATAATACGATGTTTAAAATTCTTTTGTTTTTGAAATTTTTTAATTATACTTTAATTGTACTTTAATTTACGAGATATAAATTAATTATATATCTTTTCGTTTTATCTCTTATTTTTTTCACGAATTAATTTGTAATTAAATTCAACGAATTTGGCAACTACATTTAATATGATAAACAGTACAATAATAAAAAATGCATCAATCTTTATTACAGAGAATACGAACAGGCTGTAAGGACTGTCGCTAAAGCATTTTTAAAATTAGGTTTAGAGCGATATCATAGTGTTTGTATATTAGGATTCAATAGTCCGGAATGGTTCATCACCGATCTTGCAGCTATATATGCTGGGTAAGATTCTGATCATTATATCTAATAGCACGTTATACATGATTTATATTACTAATTTTATAACGATATGACAATAAAATATCACATATAATGTTTTTAACAGTTATTTTACAGTTTTTTAAAATTGATTGTTTAAATAAATGATTTATTGTTTTGTTTTAGCGGATTTGCTACAGGAATTTATACCACAAGTTCTCCAGATGCATGCCAATATTGCGCCGAACATAGTCAGGCAAATATAATAGTTGTTGAAGACACGAAACAATTGGAGAAAATTTTACAAATAAGACAAAATCTGCCTAATTTAAAAGCGGTTGTCCAATACAATGGTATACCTACTGAAAAAGATATTTTAAGCGTGCGTAAATCGATTATTATTCAATATTTTTCTCTTTTTTTTACTTAGAATATACGATTTATTATATTTGTATTTTACAGTGGAATGATTTATTGGAAATAGGTAAACAGGAATCAGACAGTAAATTACTATCTGTGTTAAAAACAATTGGAGCAAACGAATGTTGTACTTTAGTTTACACGGTATGTTAAATTCATCTCAATCAATCATTTATATATATGTAGAATTTAAATTTTGTAGAATTTTATTTTTTCATAATTTACAATTATTCCTATAGTCAGGAACAGTTGGAAACCCGAAAGCTGTAATGTTGAGCCATGATAATCTCTTGCACGATGTACGAATGATATTTTCCGCGATACAAGTAAATGAAAAATCGGAGATTGTAGTTAGTTATTTACCATTATCTCATGTTGCAGCTCAGGTGAGATTTTTCGAAATTTCATATACATATTTTAAATGAAAATATTATTGTGTTAATTATTATATATCTAGATACATAACAATTAACACAATAATATTTATCACGATATACATGAGGGGAAAATAGAATTCGTAATAATGTATTATTCTATTAAAATTTCAGCTATGTGATATTATAGGAAGTGTACTTGTAGCAACTACAGTATATTTTGCGGATAAAAACGCGCTCAAAGGTTCGTTAGTAGAAACGTTGGTTGTGGCGCAACCAACTCTTCTATTAGCGGTACCGAGAGTATGGGAAAAGATATACGAAAAAATGCAAGAAAAGGCACGCAGTAACGGAGTAATAAAGACCTATATAGCTAGATGGGCAAAAGCGCAAGGGCTTCATTATCACACAAATAAAATTAATGGCGTGGATTATAAAAACTGGAGCTATATTTTTGCAAAATGGCTTGTTTTTGATAAAATAAAGGCAGCATTGGGTCTACAGAAATGCCGAATATTTGTTACTGCAGCAGCACCTTTAAATAGCGATATTAAAAAATATTTTTTAAGTTTAGATATACCTATAATAGAGGCATACGGAATGTCTGAATGTGGTGGTGGCCATACATTAAGCAATTATACAGAATATAGGTAAATCGTATTTTCCTTCATTCTTTTATATTGTATTTACGGTGAAAAAATATTCGCTTTCGAAAAAAATCTAATATTCATATATCTTCAAAAATTTATATACGTATTCAAAAATATTTTTTATTAGATTAGATGGTGTTGGAACTACTTTATCTGGGGCATATACAAAATTGGATAATATAGATGAATATGGTGAAGGGGAAGTCTGCATGAGCGGACGACACATATTTATGGGTTATTTAAATGCACCAGAGAAAACTGCAGAAGCTAAAGATAAAAATGGTTGGTTACATAGTGGTGACCTTGGCAAAATAGATTCAAATGGGATTTTGTCTATTACCGGTAAAACATTGTTTTCAATAAATACAATAAATACAATTAACAATCATCATTATATAATAATATACCTATTGAAAATAATCATATATATATTTCTGTTTACGTATTTGCAGGTAGAATAAAAGAACTTATAATCACAAGTGGAGGAGAAAATATATCACCATTAAATATTGAGCAAGCAATATTGTCAGAGTTACCAGCATTAAGTAATGCTATGTTAGTTGGAGATAAAAGAAAATATTTGACAGTTCTTGTCACACTTAAGGTATAAATATATAGAAATAATATATGAAAAATGTAAATAATAAATGTATATAATAAATGTAAATTGTCTTATAGATTATTAAATATTTATATTATGTTTTTAGAGCAATATGAATAGCGAAACTGGTGAACCTTTAGATACACTGAATCCTAGCGTATTACAATGGGCAAAATCTATTGGTAGTAATGCAAAGACAGTTACAGATGTCATAAGCTCTCATGATCCACTCGTAAGTTGGATTAAAAAATTCATAATTGTATCTTATGCATATGTTAAACGATTAAAATGAAATTTATATCTCATTGCATAGAAAATAATCTTATAAAATATGTTATACAATATGTTTTAAGTTGAAATATATGTTATAAAATATATATTTCCTTTCAGATATATAAGGAAATCGACAAAGCGATCAAAAGAGCAAACGAGCAAGCTATAAGTAATGCTCAAAAAGTACAAAAATTCGAAATTCTTCCACATGACTTTTCTATTCCAACTGGTGAATTAGGACCTACATTAAAGCTTAAAAAGAATATAGTTCTGAAAATGTATGCTGATTTAATAGATAAAATGTATCAGTAAAATCCACTATATTCTGTTATATTGTTATATATTTTGATTTATTTTGGCGTTTATAATAAAAAGTTCCTTATCTGTTCATATTATCCATTTTTTTATAAAATTATTGTATATTCTGATATACAATATTATAAACGCAAAAATAAATCAAAATATATAGTAATATATTTATTAAACATTATATAAGCTTTGATATATGCAAAATTCAATATTTCCAATATTTTATATAGATATTTTTTAAATAGATATACTCAAAATAATATTGAAAAAATAATATTGTATTAAACCAATGCAAGTTTGTTATATATAAATATAATATAAATGGGATTATGTATTTTGAATTATCTATAAGACACAATTAAATACCAATGAATCACACACATTTGTATTTACATTATATGTAATCTAGATTTTTTACTATAATTGTAAATATTTTTAAATTATTAATAGTTACACATATATAATTTTTATTAATAGTTACACATATATAATTTTTAAATTTACTATTTAAAGAAGATTATATCCAAGTATAGCATTTTCAGTAATATTGCTATTTCATTAATATAATTTTCACTCACAAATAAGTATCATACTTAAATAAAATGTAATTTATGTAATATTTCAATAATTGTGCTAAAAAATAATTTTATGTAATGATATACCTATTGGAAATAATTATATATACATGTGTGTGTGTGTGTGTGTGTGTGTGTGTGTGTGTGTGTGTGTGTGTGTGTGTGTGTATGTGTGTGTGTGTGTATGTGTGTATTGTACTTGTGATTAGAAGTTCTTTTATTCTATAAATATATATATATATATATTATATAAATTTCTATACATATTTAGAACTTATAATCACAAGTGGAGAAGAAAATATAGTGAATTAAATACTGAGCAAGCAATATTGTCAAAGTTACCGGTATTAAGTAATGCTATGATAATTAGAGACAAAAGAAAATATTTGACAGTTCTTGTCACACTTAAGGTATAAATATGTAGAAATATATAAATGTAAATTGTCTTATAGATTATTAGATATTTATATTAATTTAGTTATTAATTAGTTTTTTAGAGTAATATCAATAGCGAAACTGGTGAACCTTTAGATACACTGAATCTCGACGTATTAAAATGGGCAAAATCTGTTTGTAGTTTAAAAGAAATAATAAAAATATTTCTTAACACAATTTATTGATCAAATATTATATGGATTACATCTTATTTAAACATAATACTTATTTATGAGTGATGATTATGCAATGAAATTGTACGAAATATTACTCAAGATGAAATTATATATTTCCATGTTTTGTTGCTTGGATATAATCTTCTTTGAATAATAAATATAAAAAACTATATTTTCTGTAAACTCGTATTAAAGCTTCAATTAAATAATATAATATTAATAGAAATAATAATCAAATAATGTTAAGTAACAAATTATAATGTGATTCTTCTTAATTGCACAATATATTGTTTAAAGAAAAAAATACTATAAAACAATGGCTCAAAGTAAATATATCAATATGTATTTATCCTTTATGTTGAAATTTGAAATAAAATGTTTTGACATAATAAATTCTATAATTTTTTTCGTGTCATATAATAAATGTAATTAAATCAATTAACGTCAAGGTAACAATAAATAATAAAGAAAAGTTTTTTTTTAGTTGCAATGTATTATACTAAATATGGTTTATATATAATAAGCAAAACTGTATATAGTTACATTTAAAATATTTATATTCATTTTACAGATCTTCATAGTAAATATACGCGAATGTTCCATAAGAAAATAGTCTTACTAAGCACATCACAGTAGCTTTAAAAATGCAGATCTGTGTGTATTTTTTTACCTTCAATCTTATGCACAAGTGGTTTATAAGTTATAATTATATCACCAATAAATTCTTATATTTGTTAGTAAATATTGATTCTTATTACATTTACTTTCTCATTTATTTTCAATATAAATTTTAATATATATATGCATATCTAAGATGCATATTTATTGCTAATATAATAATATAAACATGTGAACATTCATAATTTTTTTCTTTGTCTTTTTACTATATATTGAATGAAATATCTATATATTGAATGAAATGAATAATCTAAAAGGATATCTGAGAATAATTAATAAAAGTATACCAATGAAAAAGTCACAAATTTTTAAATTGAGGGAGAGAAATAATATATGTAACCTATTTACTCACATACATTATTAAATTTAGATATCACTGTGGCACATATAAAGAACATCATTTTTATTGTAATATTACAGATGCTCTTTTAAGAATAAGCAACTAGGAAGTAATCAATTTGCTAAAGACACAAGAATTTTATGGTACTATGTGTATAAAATAATTCAGGAAAGCTTTTTAAAATAAATTGTTCAAACATGAAACTGTTTAAATCTTCAATTATTTATAAGGAACCATATTACTTTAGCATCCAAATATAAGACTAATTAACAAAATATAGTTTAAAAAATGACACTCTTATCTTATGATGTTGATGTATTAAATTTTTGTTGTATGATAGATGTTTTTCGTTGTGGTACTGTTTCTGGTGTTGGTATAGCGTCTCCTGTTGGCAGAACACCAGCTGGCTTTGGCTTAGCTGTAGATTTCTGTTTCGCCATTTGATAATCCCCGGAATCAAAATATTTTTGCTGAAAGCAATGTAAATATTGACTATCTTAGCAAAGCAAAAAATTTTAAAAGAAATATAAATATCTCTATAATATTAAAATAATGAGACTCTAGAATATTAACAAATAGATACTTACTCCTTTGGCTAGCCTTTTTTGCAGAAATGCAGAATGACCACCAAATGGTCGAGCTGCATTTGGGAATTTTGCTTTTAACTTTGCTTCTTCCAACTTTTCTATGTCACTCGATGACAACTATAATAAAATTCAATAAAGATTTGTTAATTGAATATGAACACAATGTTCTGCACAAGCAAAATTTTTATCATAAAAATTTCTATTTATGGAGCAGTTTATGTTGAAAACTATATCAATATATAATACTGTATTAATGATTTATTTTGTCCTGTCATACATATATTATATTTATACCTAAAAATTATTTTATATAAATAATTTTTTTTTACATACATACATTAATGTTTTATCTCTATTTATATGTTGTATACTTGTACATAATAAGAGGTTCAGTGTATAATCAATCGGTATAGAACAATAAAATGACTTTCAAATAATGGAGTAGAAAGAATTATACGTCAACTTTTTAATAATTTTCCAATATAAAAAAAATATTAAAATTCCCTAATAATTTTACATCATATTACGATCATTTTATCATTTCCTTAATCCACTTTAAAATCAAATGTGTCGTCCGATTGATAAATGGAATTCTTACCTCTGCAGTCGGACTCTGCTCGTTTATCTGATCGTCGCTCATCGTTATAAATTTTGGAACACTTTTCGTCAGTGATCGCTTCCTTTAGAAGGTTGACCAATTATCTCTCGAATACTAATTTCGACACTAACGTATATAATATACATAAGCTAAGAGAGAGCGGCGTAATAAGGATGATATTGTCAATGACGTTTTATCAATTAAATTTTCTATCCTCGAAACGTTATGCTTTTTTAGCCGACAAAGTATACGCGCATATTCCAGGAAAACAAGCGACAACGAGCAACTGCAAGTGACTGTCACAATGAAAGCACTTTCATATACGCACTCAAAAACAGCGACAGCGTCACATGCAGGGTCATATGTTTTCTGATGGCCGTTACATCGACTCGCGTCTGGTGGCGAGTTTCCATTATCATGCAATTTAATCCAATCTTCATAGCCGCACTTGAAAGATGACGAGTTAAGGTCAATTTTTAAATGTAAAACGAAAAATTCGAAATACTTAACAAACGATCTTACGTGCAAATCAAATACATTTCTAATTAAATGCAAATATTCATAAAAGTTGAGATTAATTACTTTTTGTCACGCGCGAGTTTGATCTTCCGTGAACTATTATTTTTCCATCAAAAGTATAAAAACAATCCATTAATTATTTTTAAATGAGATGGATTTGGATCAAACTGAATTAGTTTAATGAAGTCCAATTTGTCGTAAGTTTTTAAAAATTTGAATCTGGATCTGACAATGAATGGATCAGAATGAATTTTAATATAATGCCATCATTACACGATGACGTTACAAACAATTTAATGTTTTAATCAATTTTTTTTGACCAATCAAAAAAAGAGAGGAGAACAGTTTTTTTTTATTTCCATTGGTCGACTTATGACGATTCGAATAAAATATTTTCTCAGAGTTTCTCATCTCGTGACTCATGATTCCATGACAGTAACATCGGTACTACCAGCTGATCTTTGGCCCTAGCTGCTGCTGCTGCTGCTATGTTCAAAGTGAACGGTGAATTGTGATGGCCGTGATCTGTCGCGAAACGATATAACGATTTCAAGAAATTCGACTAGCAAAAATATAATACGCCATGAATAGTCTAATTTATACGAAGACAATGATAAACGGCCACTCCGGAATCATACGACGTACGTGTACCAATGTGTATTACTTCACGTCCTATTATAGATCCGATACACATGATTTTGTAATACTTGTAATATTTGCATTATAGATAATGCGATTCTATTATATATATATTTAGAATACATCTGTTGTAAATTGCATCTCGTTTCAATCGTTTAAATAATCTCTCAAATTGTGATATTTTATTATAATTCAATTGCTGTTACATAGTAAAAAGAATCACAGGTTATATCATTGCCACATGTTTATATTATTTATGATATTAATAATTATGATTATTTGTAACTTATTATAAAACATGCATCTCTTCTATTGCTCTTTCATGATTTTTTTGTAAATGTATCAATTGACAAAAATATGTAATAATTATTTTATTTTATTTTATTTTATTTGATAATTATTTTATTTTGTTAATTATACAAATTTATATTTATTATTATTAGATTTTAATTTGTACTGGAATAAATTATTATTTTTGATATAATATTTCAAATTATACAAAATATTCAAATATAATAAAAAATTTGATTATTTTAGGATATTCTCCATTTAAATTATGGCACAATACCAATCATACAATGAGTGGTATAGCTCTAATTTATACAGGTTTGAGGGATCCAAAAAGATTATTACTGGAACACAACAGCACAGTATCACCAAAATATATTAATAATGTAACATATACACATCTGTATGTTCGTACATTTTATATAACTCCTCATTGGATGGGACAAGAATCATCATCTAAGGTTGAAGAAACAGTGAAGAACATTAAAGAGGAAAAAGAGCTTAAAGATAAAATGGCAGAAAATGCTGCAAAAATAAGCTGCGAGCAGCCAAAAAAGGCTGTTGCTAAGGTCACAATATGGCAGAAAGTCAAAGGAGAAATATTGCATTATTATCATGGATTTCGACTATTAGGACTTGACATGAAAATTTCGGCAAAGTTAATATGGAGAATTTTACATGGAAAAGAGCTCAGTAGAAGGGAACATCGCTTGGTATGTAAAGACACAAAATAATTGTTATATAAATCTTATATCTATAATATATATATTAAAATATATTAAAATATATTAAACAATTATTAAAAATTATTTCTTTCAATAGCTGGTGAAAACAACTGGAGATGTGTTCAGACTTATTCCTTTCTCTGTTTTTATTATTGTTCCATTTATGGAATTTTTACTACCAGTAGCAATTAAATTATTCCCTGGTATGTTACCTTCTACTTTTCAAACGGCAACTGAAAAGGAAGCTAAACTTAAACAGGCTTTAAAGGTATAAAGTACTAAAATTAAAATAAAATATTACAGAATACATTTATACATATATATTTAATAAGAAAGTATATTACAAAAGTATATATATCTAACTACTACATATGTAAACAGCATATTTTAACAAAAATTTAATAAAAAATATTAATATTTTTTATAAACAGGTTAAAATAGAAATGGCAAAATTTTTACAAAAAACATTAGATGAAATGGCAGTGCAATCACCAGATCACAGATCTGAGAAGGCTAAAGAATTTGTAGAATTTTTCTACAAAGTACGAACAACCGGTGCTGTTGCCACTAATGAAGAAATTATGAAGTTTAGTAAACTTTTCGAGGATGAAATTACATTAGATTCTCTGTCACGACCGCAATTAATTGCTTTATGTCGTGTATTAGATGTGCAAACACTTGGAACTACCAATTTCTTACGATTCTTACTCAGAATGAGATTAAGAAGTCTTACTGCAGATGATAAGGTGTATATCTTTTTGGTTCTTTTAAATTAATATAACTAAAAATATTTAAAAAACTTTTTTTTACAGTTAATTGAAAAAGAAGGAGTTGATTCTCTAACTAGAACTGAATTGCAACAAGCATGCAAAGCACGTGGTATGCGTGCTTATGGATTGCCAGAAAGCAGGTTAAGGGAACAATTATCATTGTGGTTAGATTTGAGTTTAAATAAAAAGGTTTCACCCTCCTTACTGTTATTATCACGAGCGCTTATGATACCAGAAGCAATGCCTGTGTCAGATAAGTTAAAAGCAACTATTTCGGCTTTACCTGATGCAGTTGTGGCCCGTACAAAGGGTGCTATTGGGGAGAAGGAGGGTATAATGGATCATAAGACAAACATTGAAATTATAAAAATGGAAGAGCGCAAGATTGAAGAAGAGAGAAAGGAAAAGAAAGAAATCGAACCACAGCCAATCATCTTGGAATCATCTAATGTAAAAGGAGATGAAATTACTACTACAGATGTCAAAGTTTTGGAGCAAGCTCTGGATTCAATTGGCAAGGTAAGAAGAAATACATACATACAAAGTCTATCATTTATATATAAATATCATATATCAGATAATATATACACATACATATACATATATTAGTTAATTTTCTCTCTTTCTAATCTTGTATATTTTTAATATGTCCATTAATATATCCATTTTAATATATCCATATTAATATATCCATATTTTTAGGACAATAAAAATATGGCTGTAGAAAAAGAGGAGATTAAAGAACTTAAAGAAGAAATGGCAGAATATCAAGAAGATATTCAGGAATTAGATCAAATTAAGGCAGAGGCAAAAGGTCAAGAAGATATAGAGAATATTAAAGTATCAAAAGGTGCTAAACGGCTGTTTAATAAAGTAAACAAAATGATCTCGAAAATGGATGCCGTTTTGTCAGAGCTCGAACAATCTGAGAAAAAAGTTAAACAAAGAATGGAGTCATTAGGTCCCGAAAAACCGGATGCTAAAGATGTCGAGGAATTAGTTAGAATAGACGAATTGGTTGCAGCCATTAAGCAAATTCAAAATGTACCTGATGAATATCGATTAAAACGCATAGCAGAAATTTTGGAAAAAATCGATGACGATCGAGATGGTTCTATCAAAATAGAAGATGTCTTGAAGGTATAAGATAAATTACGAACTTTCATAACTATAATAAACATGTAAACATATATAATTTCATAAGTATAATTACATATACATATATATATAATTACATAAGTATAATTACATATACATATATATATACATACATAAACACAACTATATATATTCTAATATTATTAACAATATACTTTTTATATTAATTATATAATTTTTCTGCAGGTTATAGAATTAATAGGAAAAGAAGAAGTTAAATTAAGTAAAAAGCAGGTGGATGAATTAATAGAATTAATGGATAAGGAAGAAGTATTAGAAGTAGAAGAACAAATACAAAAGTCATTAGAAAAGGATTTGAAAATATCGCAGGAGGAGGGTAACATAAAAGCTACACATAAATCTACAGTTCCAGCTACACCAGTAACAATTGAACCAGGATTTGGACAAGAGGAACTAGTAGACGATGCCGTTAGAAAAACTGGCAAATCTTATACAGGTCCATGTGTCGAAGAAGGCAAACAGAAATCGGCTGCTGTTCTAAAAAGTAATACTAAATCCGATGAAGTTAAAAATCCTCCACTTACATCAGGTCCACCGGCAGCAAAAAAGGCGGAAGGTTCAAAACACCTATGATTAGCGCACAATAAAGTATAAATTGAAAATGTATGTATAATTATATTAAAGCAATATTTTTATCAATGTAAAGCCCGGTATGGATTTTCGTCTGTATGATATCCTGTATACATATTTTCATTTTTATGTATGAAAAAGATTTCCAACATTATTTTCAACAAATAGAATATATAATTAAAAAGAACCGTTTTATACTTGCATAAGAAAAAGATGATTTCATCAATATAATTAGTCGTTAGTATTTTATTGCTTTGTTATAAAATATGTAGATATACATATTTGCTATATGAAATATTTGACTATTTAATTTTAATTTCATACTTTATTATATGCAAACACAAAAACCCGAAATTTATATGTGAACACAAAAACCCCCGAAATTTATATACAAACACAAGAACCCGATATTTATATGCAAACACAAAAAAAATTTCTCATTGAAGACTGTGATGCATTTAACAGCATCATTTATATTGTTCTCTTTTATTTGCAGTGATAAACTTATATTGATACTAAATACATCGTTAAATATTTATTCTGGAATTCATTATCGATGTTATATTTTTAACATTGATCATAAATTACGGAATAAAAAAATAAGAGAAAAATATTCGGTTTTTATAGCAGTGCAATTCAAGTTCAGTATAAATCGAGATGTAATCATTCCATCTACTTGAATATCGTTGTTATATTATTTATGATATATTATTCTGATCATATATCATAATTAAAAACAGCAGCTTTACATTGTACATGGACTATTTCGTAATCTCAATATTGAGCTACGTGAAGCAAAACAAATGTGTAAATTTAAAATTTATTTTATCATCTATAAAACACACAGGAAAACAAAATTCTATTTATTCTATCGTTACAAAAGGGGTAATATAAAAATAGATTGCATACAATTGTACCACATAGAAAATTAAATTTGCAAAATTTTCAAAAAAATATTTCTGTAAACAAAATATTACATCAATTTTTAAATACTATATGTATATAAGAAAATAGGAAAAAGTATTAATTGTACATTTACATTATATTGCATCTATAAAATATATTATTGGGCGCATACCGTATATCTAAGATGTACTATAAAAATATGAATTACGAGAAAACTTAGAATGATCTATCTCTTTACTTCTGCACATGAAAGTCCAAATGTATATGTAATAAGAAAAAACATGTATTATTTTTTTAAATTTTTATAGGATATACTATTTCAAAACAGAAATAAAATTGTAAATTTAGTATCCTAAGATATTTATATAATTGCTATATATTTCTATTTCATTTGTTTCCTCCATTTTATTACTTCTTCACATTTGATTCAGAAATAATTAGATTTAAAAAAATGTTTAATTTTAATATTCAATTCCAACTAAATACCACATAATATTGTGTTACAAGAAACATAATTTTATATCATTATTTTATTTTTTAGAACTTTTTAACAATTAAAATTTAATAAATGTTTTGGAATGTGCTAATCATCAAATTATTTGGAATAGATAAATGACATGGTTAAATAATCAATTAAAGTACATTGAGATTACATAAAAGGGCTTTTAATTTATGACAAAATAGCATATTAAACATATAGAATTGCAAAGATATATATATATATATATATATATATATATATATATATATATAATGTAATGTGAATAATGGTGTAGTGTGTATATGTATGTATCTGAATCTAAATGTTTATAAAATTTATCTAAATAATCTTAAAATTTGATTGACCTCTCTCGTTACATTAACAGTGTGAACATTTAAAAGGCACAATCAATATCAACAGTACAAAAATATCAAAATTAAATACACAGATATTTTGCTGTTCTTTCATAAAAAAAACTATTATAGTACATGTATTTTGCGAACATTAATAATTATTTTTTATAACAGTTGTCAATTTATTTTTCTCAAAAAGCTGTATTAAAATTTGGTTATTCTAAATATTTGCATAAATGCGCCTCATGGAGGTAGTTTTTTTTTGGACATAAGCGACTTATATTATAATTATACAATCAGTCTCTATAATCACCAGTCTACCATATTAAATAAAAATTTATTTTATTATAGTTTGATATTTCAGATGTGCGAAAACAATGACAAATATTATCATAAGATGCAATATTTTATTGCAAAAATTTGAAATTATAATTAAGTTTTCTTAAATTTAAATTTTTATCCCGGATTTATGTTATAAAATTCACACACACCCACGAGATATCAAACTGTTATACTATAAAAACTGTAACAAAAATAACTACAAAATATAAAATAAAACATAGCAATATTAAAACTATGTAAAATACACACAGATATATATATATATATATATATATATATATATATATATATATAAACAAATATTATTTATATAATTTATGTAATAGTTTTTTCGTTGCTTTACAGTGTTATGACTGCTTATTACAATTTTATTTGATATAAATCGAAATATTTAAAAGATTTCTTATCATCAATCTTATCAATACAATTTCATAATTTTTATTTAATAATTTGTAAATAGAATCAAGAGTGCTGAACTCATTGAAGGTTATCCATAAATAAATAATGCAAAGAGGTTAACTAAGAATGCAATTATTTTATTTCAACATGAATGTAATTACATTTGCACAAATAATATATCGGAAATGCAAAACAAATAATATTTATTTAGAAGATATATAAGTATTATTTACATTTTTAATATTCTCAAATTTTAACATCATTTATGTTTCAGCACTCTAAATAATTTTGCAAGTAATCTTGCACGCAATTTTGTGCTCTCACGAAAATTTCGTCTTGTAGCTCAAATTATACATTATAGGAATGTATTATATTTAGTAATATGGCAAAAAAATAGTATAGAAAAATGTATTGCTATTGAAATCTTGTTTTTAATAATTTCATAAAAAAAAACGTTTAATATTTTTTGAATATTTTGAATAGGAAAAGTTTTGTGAATATATAATACATAATATATATTTTATATATATATATATATATATATATATATATATAAATATATACGTATAAGTATATATGTATATAAATATATTAGAGTAAATTGTATATGTGTGTATCTTAAGAGAATTCGAATATATTCTGTACGTAATACAGTGAATAGCAAAGATTAAGAGTGTCAACTCACTGTAAAGTGTCAGAAAACTCATTTCATTTTTGTATAAATACAATTCTCTTATGCTTAGTTTTCAATTATAGGAGTTGAACCTTTTGTAACATAAGCTACACATTGTTTTATGTTGTTTGTTATAGCAAGATGCAGCAGTTTGTTTTCTTCTTACGTTCACTCCCATCTCCCTGGTTTTCCTGTGCCTTGCGAGCAGCTATTGCTCGCATTAGATCAAAGAAAACCTGCAATGTTATGGAGTAAATATGGTTTAATTTATTTCTTTTTTTAAACTGATGTTTTGAAACCTGCACATTGATTATTAACAACTGAAAGATATAATAGAATATTGACATATAATGGAACATCGTGACATCATTTGAAAAAAAGAAAAAAGCACACATGCTTTGCATAAGCTGCTTTATAAATAAATATGTGTGTGTTATCATTTCACACTTATTAAATATTTGTAAATAATTTATTAAATCAATATGAATTTGAATACTTTAAATATCAATATCAAATTTGAAACAAAGCAAAAATGGAGATGTAATAAAATATATATTTAATGAGAATTACTATATCTGTGTGTTAATATTTTCTAAGAAATGAAGATAAAATAATGATTTAATCATAATTTTCATGGCATATCTTTAATAGCTATAGAGAAATTGCATTAAACTTAACACACACATTCTCTATACACTTGACATAGATACATTAATTAAGTGCCAAAATAAAAAAAATGCCATAGTTCTACATATTGTTTCGTAAAAACGTAAAAAATATGGTGCAAGAAAAACCAGCAAACCTATAGAATAATGCACTTCTTTTTCTTCCTCTTGGCGCGGTCTTTACCTCGACCATTGCTTGCTGACTTATCTTCAATTTTGCGTGACCTTATTTCACGCATCAAGTCGAAAAATACCTGCAAATGTGCAATGGATGCTGTCTCAAAGCTTTAAGGCATATAAAATGTGCAATATAAAATAAATATTATGTCCTTTATATTGGAGTCCTTTATAAAGAGGGAAAAAAGAAATGTGCACATAAGCAATAGCACAATACATTGTGACATAACACATATACATAGATTGCAGAAATAAGCTTATATAAAAATACATATTTCGTGCAATTGATTTATATGCCATACATTACATTACATTGAGAATAAATTGAAAGTGAAAGCAACATAAAAAAATGATTGCATCTACTAATTTCAACAATTTAACTACACATACATTTAGGCATATATGCTTTATGTATAATATTTTGTATATAGTTAAATATAATATAAATTTAATGTAATTTCGTATTATATTAATATAAAAGTTAATTAAAAGGGGAAACAGTTGATTTTATATAAGATTCTAATTTAAAGTTAAAACTATATATGGAACGGTATATTGTTCCATATATCAAAAACTTAGGGCAACATACTATAAACATAATAAAGACATAAAAACAACAACATAAAAAAGATTAGAATTAAAGAAAAAATTATTTATGAATATTAATAATTAAAAAATATATATCTTATATTATTAATATTTATAAACAATGAATAACATTTGTGTATATCTTGTGTGTGTGTGTGTAAATATGTATATATGCATACATACACATTAAAAATAAAGATTATATATTATATACACAATATATTTTACCTTGTCCACATTTTCTTTTGTTTTAGCACTTGTTTCCACATAAGGAACACCCCATTGTTGAGATCTTGCTTGAGCTTCAGCTAAACTAACCTTCCTTTTTTCTTGTAAATCACTTTTATTCCCCACTAATAAAAATGGAATGTTCTCATCATTTTTTACCCTGAGAATTTGTTCTCTATAAAAAAGGAAACAATTTTTTTTGTTTATATAAAACTAATAAGAAATTATGGAATTGCTGTATACTAAAATTTTCTTCAGTAACTACATATTAAAAAAAATAATAAATTTTATTAAATTTTACTCACCTAAATTCTTGTGTTGCTTGGAAACTATCATCTTCTGTTATCGAAAATACACAAAGAAATCCTTCTCCACTACGAAAGTAATTGTCTCGAATTGCTGCATAATCTTCTTGTCCTGCAGTATCCAAGATATCTATTTGTACCTCTTCTCCATCTAATACAACTTTTTTTCTGTAGGAATCTGCTTTTGTAGGTTCATAATCTTCAACAAACTAATTTTTACATCAGGATTAAAGTTGAAAGAAAATTTTTATAAAATAAATATACAATATTTAAAAATAAATATTGTATATTTAAAAATAAATATACAATATTTAAAAATGTCTTCCTAAAATGTAATATTTATAAATAATACAAACTTAGAAATATAAATAATATAATATTAATATAAACTAAATATTTGTTAAATCAATAATAAGCAAATATTATATTTGCCATAAAAGTATATATATCCTTACCTCATCATACATAAACTGTAATGTAAGAGCAGATTTTCCAACACCTCCACTCCCAACCATTATAACTTTATGCATTGCTTGGGTAGCTCCTGGTTTCTTCGACATTTTTGTGGTAATTACCTTCAATTAAGATAAAGTACTCATTAAATTCTATCATCAAATTAAAAAAATATGTAGTAATGGAATTTTGTACTTGCAATACTCAATACATAAATGCAATTATTATAACATAATTTGTTTAAATTTATTTACTAATTATTTTTATATATTATTTTCTAAAGAAGTCTCTCTCTCTCTCTCTCTCTCTCTCTCTCTCTATATATATATATATATATATATATATATATATATATATGTTTCATATTATAACAATAGATTAAAATAATAAAATTATAAATAATTGTAATATATAGATATCTTGCAATTCTTAGAAACAGAGCTTTTTTTGTGATAATTATCTTAATTAAAGTAGGGTAAGGTTAACAATGCCAGGATGTGAGAATTATGTTGTCAGTATGAGAAATCTAAGACTAGGATCAAGTATATAATTTCATGTAAGTATTCATAATGTACCTTATATACTATATAAAGAAATATACACATTGTATATCTTTTCTACATTTACAAGCAGATAATCTAGAATACCAATGTATGCAATTAGAAACAAGAAATTTTTTATTATCTAACATTTAAATATTTTTTTCTTATTGTAAAGGAAAACTTATTTATACATATAAGATTATTATTAGACTTTCATAGTTTTGTTGACTCATAAATGTGAAGAATAAAATAGATTATTTTAAATTTCAGATATTTTTCACATACATACATTAAACACACAAAATAAAACTATTAAAATCATACATTAAGAGATAAAGTTTGTAACATAAATATAAATAAAGAATTTAATAATCAGGAATTTGTTTTTAATATTATAAAAATTAACTAATATTTAACATAATTTATCTTGTATCTGTGTGAGTTACAACTAATCACAGATATAACATAATTAAATATTAGAAGTTATGACATGATGTCATCACATATTGTTATGGAAACCATAAAAAAAGAACATAAAATTTACTAATCAAATTAAACTTTGATGCACATATTACAATTTTTATTACTACTTAAGATTCACTTTGACTTTCATTCACGTAAGGGAGAATTGAGCACAAAATAGAAAAAACAAAAAAACAAACAAAAAATGTGAAACACATTTCGCAAATTACTCATACCGTAACTGTGCTTTAATTCACTTCCTTTCTTTTCTCGATATCTCTCGCGAAGGTAATTCGATACAGGTGATTGTTATCAATAATTTAATTGTTACGCGACAGGTAAGAATCCGCGCGATGGATCGTTGTGCGAAACCCGTCACAATTATCGAGCGAATATACCGATCGAAATTAAATAAATTAAAAGCTCCGTTCTTGAATGTGCAATGTGAGTAACAAAACAAGGCGGTGCCGCGTTTCCGGACGGAATCCAGGAAAAAGCCGGATATAGTCACCGATGTCAGAAATTATCAAATACTTCGCATCGACGTCCCGGAATCTCTCAAACACGCGATAACAAAGGCGCTGCCTCTTATCAGTAAATACCTTTTAAAGTCAATGCGTGCAAGCGGAATGCCCTGAGCGATCCGTGCGAGTCGTCACTCGTCACACGCGTTGATTTACTTTCACGAAACTGATAGCTTTCTGACAGGTGGCGCCTCGATCGCTGAATCATCTCTCATCTTTTCTGTAACAAACTCAAACATTACAAGGCGCATGCTTAAATTCGTTCTACTATAATTCGAAAAATATATATATAATTATATGCTTATAAACATACATCATATTAAATATATAATTATACATATTATGTATATTTATATATACATTTATAGGAAAAAGAGAGTTATTAAGAAAATAATATAATGATAAACATCCTTTAAATATTAAACTTATATGATCTAACTTGTGAAATATTTGATCGCCGCCGCCATTGTCAGAGAACCAATCAGCATCACGGAAAAGTGATAAAAATAACCTTCGAGATATTCGAGTAATCGAGTTTACATACCTCTTTTGAGAATAGGTTATATTTATTGATGTAGATACGTATTTTTATAACGGTGTTTTTATTTGGATAAATTGGCATTTCCTAAAAGAGATTCAAATAATAAGCTCGGATTGATCATGATCTTCAATCTTTCGATACATTTATCATTTCGTTTTGATCGAAAGATATAAAAAATTATTTATCAAGTAATTAACCTCTACGCATACGTATCTCGCTAGAATTGTGTAAGCAATATTTATTTGATAATTTAATATGATGATTATATATTCTAGTTGCATAATTCGGATTCTTTTCATCTAAGCATCAATATCATAATATGACTTTATCATCAAATACTAGTGTCGAAAAAGAAATTGAAGATCCTGTCGAACGGATGTTAAAGAAGACCGGTTGCATAGAATTGCATTATCAAGTTCAAGTGTGTGTTTACTTGTAATAATTATATCAATATTGATTAATTTTAATTAAAATCTAGATAACTTTTTCTTTTTAGAAAAATTTTATCTAAACGAAATTAAAATAAATTGATTACTGTAAAGTAAATTTTTTAGTTATACATTAGAAATATTTATGTTTATAAATTCTTTTCAGGAATGTATAGCTGAGCATCGAGATTGGAGGAAATGTCAAAATGAAGTAAAAAAGTTTAAGGAATGTATGAGTGAACATACAAAGCAGCAAGAATTAAAACATTAATAATAGATATTTGAATTTAAAGATGTGGTTGATAAATAGATATATTAAATCTCTATTTGCTCCTGCTTGGGATGGACAGTATTGTAAAATGGTAATAGTGGTTCGATCGGATATACCCATGGGAAAGGGTAAAATTGGTGCTCAATGTGCTCATGCTGCATTAGAATGTTGCCGGCAAACATTAAATAATGAAAAAAAACAACAAATGTTTAATTCTTGGTTACGAATTGGACAGCCAAAAATTGTTGTCAAAATACCAAACGAAGAAGAGTTACTAATTTTGGCAGATAAAGCTCAACGTGTTGGTTTAATTACTGCCATAATAAAAGATGCTGGTAGAACTCAGTTGAAACCTGGTACAGTCACAGTTGTAGGTATAGGACCAGGATCTAATGAGGTTATTGATAGTCTTACATCAAGATTAAGATTATTATAAATGTATCTTGTAAATAAAATACATGTTAAGGAAAGATATTAGTGATAATTTTCACATGAAATCTTGAAGGATATTAAAAACTTGGATAAAATTTCAAACAAGCAAAAATCTCCTAATAAAAATTATAACTTAGCATCATGTATATATACAAAAGCTTCACAAAATCTTTTTTTCTTTAAAAAAAAGTTGTAGTTTAAGCACTTCTTAAACCAAAAACAAAAAATAGTCTGCACTTACAGAGTATTACTAAATAAATTCTCTCCCTTGCTTAGCATTCTTGATAAAATATTAGAAATTATATAATACATAATTACTTGAACCTCATCTGTTATTAAAATAAGATTATAATGATTTTTAATTATTAATGATTAAACATACATTTAAACATACTATTTGCTTTTAAAAAAGAACATTATATAATTATATGTGCTAACTTAAAAAAAAAAGAAAAAAAATTTAGAGATATCGACACTTTTCCTTACTCTGTATATACATATTGCATATATTCATATCTACAATTTATTTTTCATCTGAGTTTTTCAAAAGTGTACTTAAAATTTTAACTATAACTGTCAGTAATATCTTATAACATACACACATACATACGTACATACATTAAAGAAAACAACTGAAGTCAAAAATATAATTTATACTAAAATTGTCTTCATTTAGTTGATATCGATATAAATATATCACATAAAGATTTTACATATCTTATAATCTCATACAAATATATATGCATATATATATTTATATGTGCTAAACATTAAAATATTCCCAAAAAAATAAAAAAATTATACATATAATTATATCATCTAAATCTAAGTTATAAGCTTGAGCAATAATAGTACGATTGAAAAATATTCGCAACTATTGTAAAATTGTATATCAGATTTTCTCAATCATTGTATAATTTACATTCTCTTTGAATAACACAACATTAAATTGTTTAATTAAAATTACAGAAATAATTTATATATATAATTTTTCTTGTTCTGATATATGATACTATTAAAAACTATGCACCTAATAACTGCATTAATAAAATTTTGAAAAAAAAAATAAAAATTAAACACTTTTCTTTTTAAAATTAAATAAAATAATAATAGATATAAAAATTTTGTTATACAAATATCCCAATAATATTGTCTTTTAACTATAGTTTCTTTGGTCAATCTGGAAACGATCTTTTTTTCCAATTGAAATATATAGATAGAAAAGGTTATTATTTATCTTATCTAATTGTTAATTTTCTAATTGTTATTTTTATCTAAATTTCAAATTTCTATTATAATTCTGAAGAAAATAATTTTATTATCTATTTTCAATTATAAATTATTTAAAGGCTATTGATGCTATAAATTGGCCAAAAAATCTACACTTAAAAGAACATATGATAATTATAGAACATCTTGTACAGATCGCACTCTGTTATAATACATAAATCACTATAATTTTTTATACATAAATATATAGTTACTACATGTGTAACTTTTAAATTATTTAACTAAAATCAAAATATTAAGAAAATTACATAACTTTTATTTACCACCACATTCTTGTTCAAACGCACATTGTAATATTGTTCGTACGGAGACATGGAATAACTACAAGATGGTGACAAATAATGAAAAATTAAATAATAATATAAAAATGTATATATCTTACTATAAAATTCAATTTGCTATGATCTTTTATAATATACAATATTATTTGCAATGATCTTTTATGATATACAATATTAATAAATGTACTGTAGGATTCTTCTTATAACCAAAACGTATATTGAATGGCTGGGAAATGATATATTTGAATGATATTTATTTATAAGTTTAAAATTTTGAATATGATATGAGTAAGTAAAATTACTATTTGGAGAAAATACTTGCGCAATAAGTTTTAGAGACTATATTATTATTATTATATATAATTTTTATATTCTAGTGTAATTATATATGTAAATTAGTTATCTGTAATCTTAGTAACATAATATAAGAATACACATCTACTATCAAGATACATATATTATTTTTCAAATGAGTATTTAATATATTTAATCTTTTTTTTTTTATACATATGTACAAAATTACTAAGAATAAAATTCATACTTTTATTTAGTTTTGCATATATAAAATTGAAAATTGTATTTAGCACATACTCATATCATACTCATCAGTTACTCACCAGTTGCATCATTTATTAACTTGATATCACATAGCCGAATTTGATGATCAACATATCTCTAATTATAAGATGTGTACAACAATATCTCAGTTCAATAGTACATATTAGAATATTCATTCTATTAGAGTGACCATTTGGCAAATGTACATCACATCATTTGTAATTAGAAACTTCGTTTATCATTGTTTAATATATCTCCAATGGACGAATATTAAGTGATTATTTTACTGAGTTCTGGCGGCTCTACATAATTATTTAATACATGCGGCGCTTCGTTAAATTCATCGAGTTCATCACCGTTATCCGTACCTTGCGCAAGTAGAAAGTATTGTTCACTTCTGGTGGGCCATAATAAATGAGCCATTACACAATAAGCAAAACAGTCTGCTGAATATGTTATACCTATAAATAACAATGTGTAAAAAATATGATTAAAAAATAAATTGAAATTTTATAAATTTAATAATTTTATTTACCTAATAACAATTTAAACCTCCATAGTGCGCTCACTTGAAGCGCTATAAGTGCTATAATAGGTAGATATATAAACCAAACTAACGATGATGCACCAAAATGAAGGAGAAAATTCAATTTTTGAGTATTATGCTCATATGTCATGGTGTTTCTAAGTTCATACAGAAACCATACCATTATGGCACTTCGGAATAATAATATGAACCATCCTGGCCAAGTTTGATATTCGTCTATGTCTTCAATAATGTCAACTTCTGTCTGAAAATCAAAATTTGTATGTTAACAAAATAAATTTATATATTTATCGCAAATGTACAAAACTAATGGAGGAGTATGCAACGTATAGTTACCATATTCCATACATATAACAAGATGTGAACTACTCCATAACAAAACCATATCGCAAACACCAGTGGTTTCCATGTTAATTCCATTCTCGTTACTGCCCATCCTTTAGCAAGCAAGAGCAATAATAACATGAAAGATGTCTAAAAATATAAAATTAATTTAGTATTTACGATGCACACATATCACTATTTCTTAAGTTACTATCTAATTTTTAAATATTTACACACATTTGTCACATAAATTATTATTTTGAAATTAATTATATTATTAAGAATTTTATAAATTACTGTTCAAATCATTTAACAATCTTTTGAAGAATTAATTAGATTAAAGGATGCAAACATTGCATAAAATATATATTGGACCGTTTAATTTTATACGTACATATTAAATTTATAATTATTTAAATTTGACAGCATATAGTTTTTATGAAAAGATGATTTACGAGATATTTTCCTTACCCGTGATAGGATATCAAAAATATCACCTGCAACTTCTAATTGCTCATAACCCACTCCGTCTAGTGCAAATTTCAATACGTGTATCAAGATTAAACATATTGCCACAAATTCTAATAATAAACTAGCAGTGAACAATCTTGTTACAGGATGCTTTTGCAATCTTACTGCGTACAACTGCAGTGGCACTAATATGATGTAACACAGAAAGAACAATAAGTATAGCTCCATGGTGTCCTGTCTGTCGTAGGAGAACTGATAAGTCAAGCTATTTAGGCCACTAATGTTTGGATTGCCATTTACTAGCCAGATATCATATTTCAACTCATCGTGTTTGCTGTAATATTCCCACTGACAAGTTGTTCTGTTTCTATAGCATGCAACCAGGCTCATGTACCAGAATCGTGGCTGCCAAAAATCTTGTATAACGTACGTGAATTGATGTCCTTTTACAATATTCCATACAGAGTCTTCGTCCGGACATAATTTATCTCGAGGACACGGGACTCGCCTTCAAGAAGGCAAAATTATTGCATTAAATATACGTGTGTAAATCAAAAGAAATAACGCCAATGACCAATTATAGTGGATAATCTCGCGTTACATACCTCAGGAAATCTTGACCTTCCTCGTTGCAGTGCGGATCGTAGGAACTCTTTTTCAACGTGTTGAACATGTAGGCGCACGCGGTGCTCTTGTCCATCAGCGTGCGATTGCCGTAATACTCGAGGAAATGACCACGATCGAGTATCGCCAGGGTGATGGGCACGTCGAAGTCCGTTGTCGCGGTCACATTGCCGAATATATAACCGTACGAGTCCTTCTGCCGATGACGGTCGGTCTTCTGGAAGCCGAACTTGACGAGGAAACGGAAGAACTCCCTCGTGTTGAATGTACCGGTGATGTGCGTGGAGTGCGCGTAGTCCGGCTGCAGCGACAGACAGAGCAGCCACACGCACAGGACGCGCGTCAGCCTACGACGGGCGGTCATTTTTCGAAACGCGGACGCGGCTCCCGGAGCGCGTTCCTCCGCTCGCCCGATCGCCTCGTCCCGAGAGAGCCGTCACGACGTCGAGCCGACGACGGGCACCCTCAGCATCTTCTCGCGCGATAACGCGCGCCACAGCTGTTACCGCACCGCATGCGACGCGAACACTCGACCGTCCCGACTCGGCCCGCGAATACCTTTCTCATCGAGGCGCGACGAGACCCTCGCGACACTCCCGCCGCTGCGACATTCTCCTCTTGTTGTTGTCGTCGTCTTGTTACCGTCGACGTAGCTGTCGGCACGTCGGGTCGGGAGAGCGTTAATGACCCGTCGTCATGTGTACTCTCCCTCGCGCTTTGAACTCGCCTTTTCCTATCGATTTTCCCCACCCAAACAGACGGTCCGCTCGGAGAAGAGAAATTGCTCATCTGACATCGCCTCGTGGATGTGATATGTGACTCTCCTCCACGAGGTGCGCGTTTCCCGAGCTGCCGGACGTTAAGAAATCGCGCAGAAGAGAGAGAGAGAGAGAGAGAGAGAGAGAGAGAAAGAGGTTTTAAATACATTGACGAATACTGCTGACGATCGCGTTTATAGCGCGTGGATTCTCTACGAGTCTTTTTCATTAGCATAACGAGTCTTTTGCCAATTGTCAAAAATATATTATTATATAGCACGACTAAAGGCGATACGAAGGGCACGATATTTAATATACATATATTACCACGTTATTTAATCTCGCAACGAATTCTCTAGCGCAGATTTTCATTGTATTTTTTTTCAACAATATTAAAAATGATAATGAAAAAAAAATAATAAAATATAATATAATATCTCTTTAAACGAGTACAAATAGATTTGTTTCTTGAATAACAATGATTCAGAAGAAATTGATGCATTTATAGATAAATTTAATACCATTGCATGTTGACTTTAAGATCAAGCGATATTTATCGTATCATTTTACATGATGACATCAATTATCATAGATGGAAAATTAAATTTCAGTAAGTTTTTTATACAACCTGTCAAGCATAATCGTCTTGCATATATTATTTTCTGCAGGAAGCAGAAAAATGATTGGCTCTCTTAATTTGTAATGATTTCGTTTTTTAACCGACAAAATGTACAAAATGACACAACATATTATATTATTTCTGCGCCTACTACAAAAGCGCGCTAAAATTATACTCGTATATTCATAATTTATAAAAATGAAATTGACGTCGTTCTTTATCATTTTTTATCATGTACTGCGTCTTATCACGGCGACATCCGGTTACTTATATGAAGTATTTTCTAGAAACAGAAATTTGCATAATGGACTAAAGTACAAATAGAATTTGTACTGAAAATATAAATGTAACTATAAATTGATCCTTATATAAGTCAGACTGTGAACGCAACTTATTAGAAAAATTTAAATATCTTGCAAATAAATGCATATAAGTTTACATAAATTAAAATTTACATTATCTATAAAGTTGTGTATATAAAAATTAATATGCAAGCGTAAAATATTCCACCGTAAAAAAATTTTTGGCCCTGAAAAGGGCCGATTTTTTTTGAAGAAAATGAATTCAAGCACGCTCGCCACGAATTCTACGAGCTAACTGGATGTCTTTAGGCATGATGGTAACTCTCTTGGCGTGAATAGCACAGAGATTGGTGTCTTCAAATAGACCGACGAGATAAGCCTCGCTCGCTTCTTGCAAGGCCATAACGGCCGAGCTCTGGAAGCGAAGATCGGTTTTGAAATCTTGAGCGATCTCGCGAACCAATCGCTGGAACGGAAGTTTGCGGATCAGCAGTTCCGTGCTCTTCTGGTAACGACGGATCTCACGAAGAGCAACGGTTCCAGGACGATAACGATGCGGCTTCTTTACGCCGCCAGTTGCAGGCGCACTCTTTCGCGCCGCTTTCGTGGCCAACTGTTTACGCGGGGCCTTGCCACCGGTGGATTTGCGAGCAGTTTGCTTAGTTCTTGCCATGTCGGACAGATACGTACACAACAGCGAGCTATAGCGATGTGGAAAGACACGAGACGCGCTTCGTTTATATAGGCTAGTCGCTCCGTCTGCAGACAGCTGATTGGCTGGCGGAACGGTGGTGGGGATGCATAACCTATGCTGGAGTCTGGATTGCGAGTCCAGGTGGCGGTGAGGTCACAATGCGTGTACTCCAGAATACTCGTTCATTTCGTCAGTTAACGTTGGCCAACGCACATCTCTCTTAGCGAGTGCTGTTATTTTAAGTATTTAATGCCTTGTGAGTTTTATGTCGTAGCCAACGTATCGTGTTCAGCTCATTGAACTATAGAACTAACTAGAAAGAGCGCTCCTTTGTTACGAGCCGAGTCTGCCTGTGCGACGAAGGCCATCGCTATTTGGAATCGCTTTCTCTGTTACACTAACATGCTATAGTATATTTCTCCTATAATTTCATGACGTACTATCTGTGCCCATACCTTAGTCAGTATATGTTCGAATAACGAATATATAAAAAATATTGTAATGAAATGAATTATTTAAGAAAATATAATGGCGACAATAAACGAAATAAAGTAATGTTCTATTTTGTTAAATTTTTGGTGAAAAAATTCTATACACAACTTTAATGCGCAAATATATATTTTTAGTTAAGGTAATACATGAAAAAGAGAGACGGGAGTACCAAATAGATACTGTCTTCCTCGGCTCGAAGTCACCGGGCAATAACAAAGGCAGCGCTCGTTCCAGTTAGTTCTATAGTTTAATGATTCAGCTGAATTTACTTGACTTGAAATTAAATATTCCTATATTGCAGGCTCATGCAGGCAAATAAATTTTAATGACTCATTAGACATTTAAATGAGTCATAATAATCAATTGTTTCCATTTTTAATCATATTCCTCATATTACTGCAGCGACGAGTGATAGCTATAAATACAATAGCATTTAGTTACTTTCTCGAATCTAAAATTTTCAAATCATGCTTATCTTTAATAAAGCATGAATGCCACCTTGACAAGTTTGACTTGGTTTAAACAACAACGAAAAAAAGATATTTTGAAACAAAGTGCTTCTTTTAAATTTAAAGAATATATTTCGATGTTTTCAGAACTATTTTATTAATTTGAGAAATTATTCTATTGCAAATATTCGTCTTAGTAAAAAGCAAATAAGTTTAATATTCTCTACAATCTATTTTTAATCATAATTTTTATTAAATAAATGTACGATCATTGCAACATAAAAAACGCAAATTGGGTAAGTGTCATAAGGTTTCCTTCAAATACATGAAACTTAACAAGTGTCTCAACATTTGTCAATGATTATTTCAATGATTTTACAGATTTATTTACTTTTTTTAAAATTAATACTTCTTGTTTCCTGTTGCATTGTTCTGTTGTATTGTAATATTTCCTTTCCAAGATATTTAAACGTTAAAGGCTATCTCTTCATGGTCCGCGTGCCGACTTTTAATCGAATGCCACGTCATGTAACGTTTCATATTTGTATGTCGGTTTGAGATTCGTTAGATCGCAGCATTAGGTATTCTAACGAATCAGACTGTGTAAAATTATTGCAACTGGCACGTCCAACATCGACGTTATCAGTCGGTAAATTAACATCAGAGAGTGCAGGTTTCGCTGATTATATTCTTACGAATATTTCTTGTTCGTTGTTTCTTTTTTTCCTCGAGAGAAGAAGCTTTACGTCAATCATGTATCCGTCTGTATTTCGGTCTGTTTCACGTTGCGTACAGCAAGGCGTATGCGCGACACATAAATTTTATTTACACGCGTCGCGCTTTCGTCATAACACCGGTCCTTTAACACACTTTACAGACGATGAACTTATGACGAAGGAAATGGTTGCTAGACTGGCTAAAGAAGAGATCGCCCCGCTCGTGCGAAAGATGGAAAAGGAAGGAAGGATAGATGACGGTGTCTTTCGGAAACTCTTCGAAAATGGTCTGATGGGTATCGAAATTCCAACTAAGTACGGTGGAACGGGAAGCAACTTTATGAATACGATACTGATTATCGAAGAAATCGCCAAAGTCGACCCGTCGGTGGCCGTTCCTGTTGACATTCACAATACTTTGATAAATTCATTGATACTTAAACTGGGATCCGAGGAGCAAAAGCAGAAGTATTTACCCAAATTAGCTCAGGATTCTGTAGGTAGTTTCTGTCTGACGGAGCCTGACTCAGGATCGGATGCCTTTTCTTTAAAAACCGAAGCGAAAAAAGTTGGTGCCGAGTACGTGATCAATGGTACAAAAATGTGGATCTCGAATAGCGACGTAGCGCAAGTTTTTGTGCTTTTCGCTAATGCTAATCCCTCCGCCGGCTATCGTGGCATCACGACTTTCCTCGTGGACCGCGATACACCTGGTCTCACGGTAGCTAAACCGGAGAGTAAAGTAGGCCTGAAAGCTTCGTATACTTCCATGGTCCATTTCGACAACGTCAGAATTCCTGAGGACAATTTATTGGGAGAGTTTGGACATGGATATAAGTACGCGGCTGGATTTCTGAACGAGGGTAGAATCGGTATCGGGGCGCAGATGATCGGTCTAGCACAGGGCTGCCTAGACGCGACTGTACCATACACGTTGGAAAGAAAACAATTTGGAAAGGAAATTTTCTCCTTCCAAGCTCTACAACATCAAATAGCCCAAGCGATAACGGAACTGGAATGCGCTAGATTACTTGTTTACAATGCGGCAAGATTGGTAGAGGCTAAAGAAGATGTCATGAAAGAAGCGGCCATGGCGAAGCTCGTCGCATCCGAAACTGCAAGCCGTATCACTGCAAAATGTATAGATATTATGGGAGGTGTCGGTTTCACAACTGATTTTCCTCAAGAAAAGTATTTTAGGGACTCTAAAATCGGTAACATTTATGAAGGTACAAGTAATATTCAATTGTCGACAATTGCGAAATGTATTCGCAAGCAATATTCATAACAGCAAGCGTGATTTTTTTTAAATTACAATTTATTATATATTATTCATATTAATTTTTTATTTTTTCTAAGACGTAAAACATGAAGATGTTTATATATAATTTAAGAAAATCATTACAATTACGAAATATATTTATAAGTAATAGTCATAATTAATATCATTAATGATTTAGAATATATATTTATATCATACATACATTAAGAATATTCTCTCTCTCTTATCTATACATGATCTGATATCAGCAATGTGTATGTTTGACATTTTTACAGTTATTAATTACAATTGTTAAATCATTAATGATTTATTCGTTAACAATTGTAAAAATGCCAAACATACATATCACATTGCTATTGATTGCTGATATTATCAAATATTCTTAATGTATGTATGATATAAATATATAAATAAACAGTTTACATAAGTGTTTCTTATCTACTTAATTAAGAAAAGTATAAATAAAATATATTTTTTGAATTATAAGTTTTATATATATATATATATATATATATATATATATATGTCCATATCACGTTTCAGAAAATATTAAAATTTAATAAATTAATATAAATAATACATATGATAAATTACAATTTTAAAAAAATTATACTTGCTACTAATTATGACTGTTGCTTATGAATATATTTCGTAATCTGTTGTGTTTTTTTTTATATTAGTATATAAAAAATAAATATAACATATTAGATTTATTAACATATATTTAAGGGTTTTGTTTCTTGTGAGAAATTTGTAGAATCAATACTGATGATATAAATATATTTTTTAAGTATATTTTTTATCTACTATAGATATCAAAGAAACTGTTGCCTTTATATTAGAGTTTGGTACAGTTTAATCGATATTGTTGAATTAGAAAACAATACGTAGCACAAATGTTCTAGAAAAATATACCTGAAAATTTAATAAATTACAAAATATATATATAAATATGTATGTAAATACAGAGAAATACAATGAAATAAGTGTGACTTTAATAAACGAAGTAATGTACGAGTCGGTATAAGACTTTAATAAATATAGACACAAAAGTTTTTTTTTTTAAATATCATTAATACATATGTATAATACTATATGTGTAATATAATATATGTATAATAATATATATAACAATTCCAACATTTGCATTTATTAGTTTGCTTGTTCAGTATGTCACAAATACATGCAATTATGTAACAAATTACTATATCGTCCTGTCGATATAACATGTGTCAAATATGTAGCGACAGTAACGCTATTGATTTAGCAAAAAATTGTGACAAAATGATCGTATGAAAATTATTTAATAGTATTAAAAATTCTATTATAATTTCTATCAACTTTTATACCTTTATCTCTTGCAACTAACCGACATGAAATAAATAAAATAACTTTGCACAATCACCTTATATTGACCTACATGATTTTAAAAAGATGATCAAAGTCGTTTGGAAAAATCAAATTTATCGTTGCTTTAAAAGCGCACAAATCAAATTTTCACTTCTGCTGCATTAATAATAATTATTATTAATTTAAAAGAGTCAAATTCACGAAAAATATATTATTGAATCGATTTATTATATCCTTCTCGAATACGTAGGATAGGTATATAACTGTACGAAAATCTGCGCAGTATTCGCTCCTCGTCTCGTCAAAAAAAAAACATTTTAGAATTAATTATTCAGACAATTGATTTGCAACGTCGGCCATAAACTTCCTTATGGACGATGATTAAAATTCGATCGAAGAATCCATCGATTTGCATTATATACCATTAAGCTACGAAGCAACAAGGCCATTTGCCTCGTGCATCTTACGAGCGCGCGTATCCCGAGAGGCTGCGAATTAAGCTTCTTATTTTCAGAATACAAGCCGATACGAGTCGGAAACGATTGATCGGGGGCACGGGGTCGTCCCGCCGGAATATCTTCTCGGAGAGATGACATGGGAAATGTCGAGGGAAAAGCTCGGTTTTCATGTTTTTCCGTGACCTTTGCTATCGGCACCGAGAGACGCGAACGACAAAATTTCATCATGGATAAAAAGCGACGACGCGAGGGACGTCGGGGACGATCGAGGACGAAACCGCATACACTTGGCTATCGATCGGTCCGGTTCGCGATTTTCGCGGGGCCTCGGTGTCGGAGAAATAACGTCGCAAAGTCAAAGTGCATTTACCACTCCGTCATTTTCAACGAAACTAACGGGCCGATATATTGGGTAGGACTCTCTCCATGGTCCGCGCTCCCGGTACTAGAGCGCGTCGCTAGCGATCCGAGAACAAACTGACTATTCTGCACTTTGTAGAATCTTGAGACACAGAGAGAAAGAGAGAGACACGATCGTTTTGTACGCAAAACTCACTCGTTAAAAAAAAAATGGAGGACAAAGTTAACACTGGAAACTCCGCCGTCGAGGCCGCCGAGAGCAATCCCGCTCCGGCTAAGAAGACTAACAAGAGCAAGGCTAAACCGCAGGAAAAGAAGGCGACGCGGCCATCGACCTCCGAGATGGTGAGAACAGCCATCAAAGAATTGAAGGATCACAAGGGCTCGTCTCTACAAGCGATTAAGAAGTACATTGTGGCGACTTACAAGGTAGACGGTGAGAAGGTCGCGCCGTTTGTCAGGAGATACTTGAAGGCTGCCGTCTCGTCGGGCGTCGTCGTGCAAACCAAAGGCAAAGGCGCTTCCGGATCCTTCAAATTATCGACGGACACTTCCAAGCCTAAGCCTAAAGCGAAAGTGAAGCGCGCTTCCAAACCGGTGACGAAGAAAGACAAAATCGAAAAGACCACGACAGCGCGAAAACCAGCCGCCACGAAGAAAGCAGCCGCTGCTAAGAAAGTGACCGAGAGCCCGAAGAAACAGCCCGCTCAGAAGAAAACTGCCGCTGCTGCTAAATCTGTCGGAAAGAAGAAGAGTAAGGCTGCCGCAGAGACGAAGGCACCGTCGAAAGCTAAGAAAGCTGTAAAGGCACCCGCGGCGAAGACCAAGACGCCAAAACCGAAAAAAGCAGCAGCGAAAGCCGTAGTAATTTCTGCAAAAAAATAATTATTCTGCTCGCTACAATTTCAAATGGCCCTTTTCAGGGCCCAAATCACATTTCATACGCGAGGAACATTTCGAAAAATTGCAATCGATACATACCTCATTCTACCTCTCCCAAAATATATTTCATTAGACATTTTAATTTATATTCCTGACAGATCTTTTGATAAAAATTGACATGAATTTTTTTCCATTAATATAATGTAGCATGTTACTTTAAGAAAAAGAATCATGTTATATTATAGAAAAACCTTGACGTATTTGAGACTGAGATTATTAAATCTATTAACAAATATATTTATAAGATTAATATATAACAAGAAATATTGTTTTCTGTTAAGAAATTTTAAATGTTAAGTATGAGAGTAATGATAACAATTATATTAAAATATAGTAAAACTACATAATATTTAAAAGTACCTGATGAGATACTACTTAGTTATATTTTTTTCATTATACATATATATAATTTATTACATAAATATGAATAATATTAAAATTGTTATATAGATTCCTTATATTGATGTGTGCACAATTAAGTTAATAAATTTACTATGATATATTAAAATTTGCAATTTAAAAGTACAATTGAGGGAAATAAAAAGGATGCACGTGATTGTAAAAAATGCTACGTATGCACACGACGGCGCATTAATGTTTATGCGCATCTATTTTACATAAATATGCTGACTTAGAACAAAATTAATAATAATTCTTATACTTTTTGCGCACTATATTTACAAGTAAATCTATTAATATTATATTTATCAATTTTATATAAAATCTTTTTCCGATTTAATAAATTAATCTATATAGAATTTAAATTATAAAATTCTTATTTACATATTAATTATTATTTATACGATAAATGTCTTAAATAACTTAAGTTTATTAATTTTATTACTTTCGAAATCACTTTTAATATACTATATATTTTTATTACTTTCGAAATTACTTTCAATATACTATATTTTTATTACTTTTGAAATTACTTATTCTGAAATAAAATTTGGATAGTATAATACATGCTTTCTAAGACAATTCCGACGTATGACAAATTGGTGGCCCTGAAAAGGGCCGTTTTGATTCTGAAGAGTCTCGGATCGCATTAACCACCAAAACCATATAAGGTTCTTCCTTGCCGTTTCAAGGCATAGACCACGTCCATAGCGGTTACGGTCTTCCTCTTGGCATGCTCGGTATAAGTTACAGCATCGCGGATAACATTTTCCAGGAAGACTTTCAAGACACCTCTCGTCTCTTCGTATATCAAGCCAGAAATGCGCTTGACACCGCCACGTCTCGCCAAACGACGTATAGCTGGCTTGGTGATACCCTGGATGTTATCACGCAAGACCTTCCTATGCCGTTTAGCTCCTCCTTTTCCCAACCCTTTTCCTCCCTTACCGCGACCAGTCATCTTGTACTACGATACGTATTCTACAACGTTTCGACGAAGAATGTGCTGCCGAGAGTCGAGTGAAGCCTCTTATAAAGCTGCATCGACAGCACTATCCCCACCACTGCACCAACAGCCAATCCCCGATCAGCTGACCAGTGAGAAATGAGTGCAGGTTGTTAGCATTGAAAATCGAAATTGATTTGTGTCTTTTTGATTACACAAATTATTTTGCTGTTATCTCACATTTTAAATTTAGCATTAATCTATCTCTTACAAAAATGTATATAGCTTATGACTTGTTAAAGAATAACATGTACTTTAGCTATATACATTATAATAATACTGGATTGCCACTTTTTTATGTTTATGACATAAATATTATTTATAGAACAATTTTATAGTCATAATATTTATATTCGATATTTTGTATATTGTGTGTATACAATATTTTAACTTCTATGCAATTTTAGCTGCACTAATTCTTCGCACTCTGCACATTTTTACATGACAATAATAATTTATTCGTAACGTAATTTGAATATAAAATTTATACTTATAGTTTTACTTTTTGTACAATATTATATATTTGTTATTATTGTATAATAATAAATAGAACTTAATTAATTAAAAATTATTATATCTCCAAATTTCTCTCTTAATAGATCTCTAGAAATTATGTAAAGTTTATAAATAACGATTGCACTAACAAAATATGCAAAAAGAATGATTTATTTTAATGATTTAAATAATGAATTATTTCGGTCAAAGAGTATGAATTTAAATCTTTAATTTGATTCGAGTCACGAAATAAATATTTGAATTATATAAAAGACAAAAATATTATAAAATTTATTAAAATTTTAAGACATTTTATTTGCAATTTTGATAGATTATTGATTTGAATAAAAATCAATAATCTATCAAAATTGCAAATAATAAAGTGTACACAACACAACGAATACTCCTTCATCCCTACTCTACCTTGCTCGTCGACGAATAGTGAAGGCGCGATAAAGGGCTATATGTATTTATATCGAATTCAAATCGCACTTTGTGATATTCGCATTCGTTAAACGCTTCTCGAAGGCAAGATGGACAACGTGCGCGATAAGACGGTGATGATCACCGGAGGAGCCCAAGGATTAGGCTACAAGTACGCGGAAATATTGCTTCTTAACGGTGTCAAAAATGTGGCAATAATCGATTTGCCGACGTCGAACGGTGAAAACGCGGCGATCGCGTTGCAGAAGGAGTCTGGAACGGGACGCGTTATCTTCGTCGTCTGTGACGTGACAAAGGCCGAAGACCTAAGAAGAGCATTCGAGAAAGTCATCGATACGTTCGGGACTATCGATATTCTCATCAACAACGCCGGTATATTTGACGAGAGACACAAGTGGGAAGAGACCATCGACATCAATCTCAAGGCGTACATTCGCGGCTCGTATCTGGCCCTGGAGCACATGGGAAAGTACAAGGGCGGCAAGGGAGGTGTTATCGTCAATGTCTCGTCTGTACTTGGATTAAGCGTGTTTCCCGCGGCACCGGTATACACGGCTTCGAAACACGGCGTGCTTGGATTCAGTCAGGCTCTGGCGGATCTGTACGACTACACCGGAGTGCAAGTCCTTATAATGTGTCCAGGCGACACAAAAACAAAGCTAATCGACAACATCTTGGACAAAGTTATCCATTTCATCGACGCGAAATACGCTGAAGAGATTGTCCTTAAAAAGACCCAGTCAATCGAGAATGCGGCCGCCGCGATGCTAGATCTCATACGGAAAGGTAAAAACGGAGCGGTTTGGGTGAGCGAGGATGATCAACCATCATACGCCGTGGATTTCCCTCATTATTCCGCACGATCTTTACCTGTATAAAGGTAATGTTTAATAAATTGATATAGATTAATATATATTAATTATTAATTGATATATAATAAATATATATTAATTATTAATTGATATGTAATAAATTGATGGAGATGAGTTGTTAACTTGACTAGATGTGTTTAGTTAATTATCACTCTTTGAATTGAAATATTTAAATATTCCAACTAAAAAGTGACAATTGACTGAACTCATTTAATCGAATTAGCAATTTTTTTCTCGGTGTATGTGACTTGTTTTTAATTCGATTACTTTTATTCCATCGAACAGCTGATCGAGCTGGATCGTCGAGACCGGCGGGTCACAAATCGAATTTTCTCTAGTTGGGCAAGAGCGAGAGATAAAAATACGTTGAAAATTTAAATATTGACGAATTTGTGTTCTTTGGCTATACAAATTCTCACTTTAAATGTAACATTAATCTGTCTCTTACAAAAATGTATGTATTTTATCAATTGTTAAAGAATAATATATATATTTTGTGAGAATAATAATATATATATATTCACATATGCTAACATAATATGCGCGCGTTTTTGATATAATTGAATATAAATTTCGCATTTATAGTTTTATCTTTATGCAATATTTTATATTTATATATTATATATTTATGTTATATTAATGTTATATTATATATTTACAGCGTATTTATTACATCGCCTTTAATTTTCATACTATAATAAATAGAAATTAATTAATTAAAAATTATTAGATTTTTATATTCCTCTATTAATAAATACTATAATTTATGCAAGTTTTATAAATATCGATTGCGCACGAACGAGATATGAAAAGATACTGATTATATTTCGGTTAAAGAATGGATTCGGTAATGAATTTAAACTTTTAACTTGATTCGATTGTATTATAACGGAATGAGTATTTGAATTATATGATAGGCAAACATAAAACTAGCAGATAAACATGGCAGATAAAAATCATAAAACTAGCAGATAAACATGGCAGATAAAAATCATTAATCTACTAAAGTAGCAGCTAATGATAAAACATACAACACAACAAATACTTATTCGTATTTTGCATGCATTTTATCATTATCTGCTACAAATATTTATACTTCTTCATCCCTACCCTACTACAGATTAACAAAAGGCGCGATAAAAGACGTATATATAATTTCCATCAATTCAACGCAAATTATTATCTAATACGAAGTCATCAAACGCTTCTCGAAGGCAAGATGGACAACGTGCGCAATAAGTCGGTGATGATCACCGGAGGAGCCCGAGGATTAGGCTACAAGTTCGCGGAAGTATTGCTTCTGAATGGTGCCAAAAATGTGGCGATAATCGATTTGCCGACGTCGAACGGTGAAAACGCGGTGCTCGCGTTGCAGAAGGAGTCTGGAACGGGACGCGTTATCTTCGTCTCCTGTGACGTGGCAAACGCCGAAGACCTAAAAAGAGCATTCGAGAAAGTCGTCGATACATTCGGGACTCTCGATATTCTCATCAACAACGCTGGTATATTTAACGATAAACACAAGTGGGAAGAGACCATCGACATCAATCTCAAGGCGTACATTCGCGGCTCGTATCTGGCCCTGGAGCACATGGGAAAGTACAAGGGCGGCAAGGGAGGTGTGATCGTCAACGTCTCGTCTGTTTGTGGATTATCTGTGTTTTTCCCGGGACCGGTATACACGGCTTCGAAATACGGCGTACTTGGATTCAGTCAGGCTCTGGCGGGTCTGTACGACTACACCGGAGTGCGAGTTCTCATAATATGTCCAGGCATGACGGACACGAATCTAGCCGACAACGCGACAGAGAACGTTATCCATTTCCTCGACGCGGAATACACCAAACAGTCTATTGAGCCGTTTAAGCCGATCCAATCGGTTGACAACGTGGCTGCCGCGTTGCTAGAGCTCATACAGAAAGGTAAAAACGGAGCCGCCTGGGTCAGCGAGCACGATCAGCCACCGTACGCCGTGGATTTCCCTCATTATTCCACGCGATCTTTACCTGTGTAAAGTGAATATTTGATAAGTTGATACACTGAGGAAAGAAAGTTGTTAACTTGATCAAGTGGATTTAATCAATTATTACTTTTTTAATTGAAATATTTAAATCAAATAATACTGAAATATTGACTAAACTCATTTAATCAAGCTGATAATTTTTTTTTGTAATGTATTTAACTTATTTTTCATTCGATGACTTTGATTTCTGCTTCGATTAAACGACGGTCTTATATATATCGACAAATATAAATATGTCAATTATATGTAAAGATTATATAGAATATAAAAATATGTACATTGTAAAAATACATATGAACATAAGTAAAAATTAGGTGTAGGATATAAATCATATGCATCTTAAAATAAATCTTCATTTCCAAATTCCAAGATTTGCCTAAAAGTCAAGCGTATCTTATATTAGCAATATTATTGGTGAAAATCACGTAAAATAAGCTTTGTCATATATATTATATCTTATGTTAACACTGATGACAATTCGAATTAGATTTGTCTTATAATAAACTAAGATACCGCATACCTTTTATCAGTTTTCTTCTTTAGATACGAGTAACTTATCAATTCTTTTATCTCTTATCATATAAGGATTGAAGCCATGAATGTTAAAAATAAAATGTAGTATATTTTTCTATTATTATAAGATCAAATTTATTGAAAATTTATATTATAGTATGTCTTTATTTATACAAAAATATTATCATTATCACTGATATAAAGATAATTTATATATTTTTGTTTTTTTTAACGTTCAAAACAATTAAGTTTGTAATCTTACTTTTCATAAACTGCATACACTCTATATCATTTTTAAATTTTATCTTTTACTTTCTAGTATTTTTTGCAATTTTTACAAGACTATATTTTGCACAACGATCTGTCATTGTTATTTTCTATTTTCGATATCTCTTGATATCGTTATTTATAAACATATACTCTATATGCTATCTTATTGCATATACTCTCATTATATATCGAGTTAATATTACTTATGATATTTATGAGAGATAAACACTTAAGACGCTGACGCAGAAAGATTTACAAACTCGAAAGTTCAAATTATGAAACGGATAAATCTATTCAAAGTCAGTGTGTTAAGAAATAACTTTGTTACTGAATTGATAAGTACTGAAAAGTACTGAATTGATAAATTTATCTTTTTGATAAATACTGAATAAATTTATCTTTTTGATAAGTACTGAAAAGTACTGAATTGATAAATTTATCTTTTTGAGTCTGCACTTTTGAATGTTTAACACGAACGATGATAAGCAATAACTCAATATTTAAGACAGAAGATAATTGACAGGCACTCTCGTTTCAAAAAATAGTAAAAAGTATAATAAAAGAAATTTTAATTTTTAAATTTTAAATTTTAAATTTTAAATTTTTTAAATTTTTAATTCTTTCTAAGAATCATGTCTTTGATGGCAATAATTCTTTCTCAGTTTCTTGTCCATGTTGTGTTCATATATTATTTTCAATATATTATAAATTTGCGTTGTATGAAAAGTTAGAGATAATGCCTTTTTTATTACATTTACATATTTATATCTATTGGATTCTGATATATTATTCTCGACATTAAATTAGATTCTTTGTGAATGTGCACATGTATATTAACATAAATGAAATACAACAAAACAATTAATAGAGAAAACTTTAAACTTGTACTTTGTTCCATGTATATTCGATTCAATCATGCGCTGCTTTAAAACTTTGCAGTTTAATTGACTTTTTAACCTATCCACTTTAATAATCGAAGTATCAAATATAGTCTCTTTAATATTACAGAAACGTTACGAGGTATTCGATAGCGCCGAAGAGTGTCTGCGGTCATTTTGGGAACTTCTTAAATGCACTCTTTCACTCTAGAATTATGCCTGTGTATCATTCTGTATTATTATTTAATATAATTAAATAATTTAAAATAGTAGCATTTCAGATGAGATTGATTTTCAAAAGAGAAATGAAAATATTTAATAGAATAATACATGTCAATACGTTCATAAATAAAAATTTCCAATGTATATAAGAAAAGAATTGCAAACGAGATATCCTTCGCATAAGGAATTGGTGGCCCTAAAAAGGGCCGTTTGTAGCCGATTGCCAATTTGTAGTTAAGCTTTCTTTTCGGTTTTCTTCGGCAACAGAACTGCTTGGATGTTTGGCAGTACACCACCCTGAGCGATAGTAACGCCAGAGAGCAACTTATTCAACTCCTCGTCATTACGAATGGCCAGTTGTAAGTGCCTGGGGATGATCCTGGTTTTCTTATTATCGCGTGCAGCGTTTCCTGCCAACTCCAACACTTCCGCAGCGAGATATTCCATCACTGCGGCAAGATAGACAGGAGCACCGGCTCCAACGCGTTCAGCGTAATTTCCCTTGCGCAAAAGCCTATGGATACGTCCCACGGGAAATTGCAATCCAGCGCGATTAGATCGCGACTTTGCCTTTCCCTTGGCCTTTCCACCTTTTCCACGACCAGACATGATGATTTGTGATTAGCGAACAAAGTTTCTCTCTCGATGCGAAGTGAATAACGCTTCGATCAGCTGTGGAGTTCGTACTCGCTTCGCCGACTATTTATACCACTTTGCGTTACGTCGCGCGACCAATGGCGCGTCAGATACGTCCGGCTGGCGGCAGCGCGCGATGTGATTGGTGCGCCGCCACTGCCCCTCTACTGTATATAAGGACTGCGTCTTGAACTTTTCGTCACTTTTCGAAGCTCCGTCTTTGCGACTGCTTGTACGAGTGCTTTACGAAAAATCTAAATCATGCCACCCAAAGCGAGCGGCAAGGCTGTGAAGAAAGCCGGAAAGGCTCAGAAGAACATTAGTAAGACCGATAAGAAAAAGAAGAGGAAGAGGAAGGAGAGTTATGCCATTTACATCTATAAAGTATTGAAACAAGTACATCCGGATACCGGAATCTCCAGCAAAGCTATGAGCATCATGAACAGCTTCGTCAACGATGTCTTTGAGCGTATCGCTGCCGAGGCATCTCGTTTGGCGCATTACAATAAGCGTTCGACAATTACCTCTCGGGAGATTCAAACTGCTGTGAGACTCTTGCTACCCGGAGAGTTGGCTAAACACGCTGTGAGTGAAGGTACCAAAGCTGTCACCAAGTACACCAGCTCCAAGTGAACAATTCCTCTCAAGACCACAACGGCCCTTATCAGGGCCCCAAATTTATTTATATGTTGGCTATTCTCACGCTTTAAATATTTTTATAGTAACAATATATATTTATGCATATTCATAAACAAACATCCTTATTCATTTTATAAACTGCTAAAGTTTATGGAACTAATCTTAAAGATGTAAGATTAATTTAGAAAACTGCAAGAAACATACCAACTATTTAAAAGAGAAAAATTAAACATGTTACGGTTTGCAGCTTAAATATAAATCAATAAATCCTATCGGAATTTATTGCGAAATTTATTAAAAAATAAAAAGGAAGATATTTTAAATACGTTTTTCAAAATAAAATAAATTCGTTAAAAGTTATATATTTTTTTATTTTGTGAATTTTATTTTGCTTTACTAAGATATTTTACGGTCGAATTTTGCACATCGAATAAAACTTGAGTGTTTTATTTAATATATTAATTTATATACGTAGTATTAATATGAGAAATTAGGATTTCATAGCGTGCCTAAAATTTAATAAGAAATTTCAATGTATGTAAAGTGGCGCCATCTTCCTGTACGAAACGATCTTTGCTAATATTTGTTTCACAGTTTTAACGTTCGTATCATGTTTTATATTTTTCATGCGCGTACAATGTATCTCATGTATATCAATTGTATATGTATATATATTTACATGTGAAAATGTATTAAGTATACGTCGTTTTAATTAATTAATTCACGTGTACCGAATATGGTAATAAATACTAATTTTAAAGGTAAATATAGAACACACATGTTCAGACATGAATTTTCTGTAAGCACAGTGAATTAATGTTTTTTACAGATTAATGACGAATATGTGAGTGCTTTTAAATAATTTGTAAAAATTTGTATTTTGTATAAATATAAAAATGTTGAGACGACGACATGTCAACGTTAAGACAGTTAAGGAACTGGATGCATTTCCCAAAGTTCCCGAATTATACGTCGACAAAACTGCAGTGGGAGGAACATGTAAGTCAGCAAAAACTGACAATATATCTGTATTAAATATTTAGATTTATTTTTAGGGAAAGTATTCTTCTTATCGACCTCGATTAATATTCTCTAAATAATTTTTTTTTGGTTTCAGTCTCTATCTTTACAATGTTAATCATCGCATATTTGATAATAGCAGAAACAAGTTATTTTCTTGATAGCAGATTGCAATTCAAATTCGAGCCTGATACTGAAATTGATGCAAAGTTGCAAATTAATATCGATATAACAGTGGCTATGCCATGTGGTCGTATTGGTGCTGATGTTTTAGATTCTACAAATCAAAATATGATAAGTTATGATACTTTAGAGGAAGAGGATACATGGTGGGAATTAACACAAGAGCAAAGAGCACATTTTGAAGCTTTGAAACACATGAATTCATATTTAAGAGAAGAATATCATGCTATTCATGAGCTTCTTTGGAAATCCAATCAGATTACTCTTTACAGTGAAATGCCAATGCGGTATGTAAAATGGATTGTTGCTTGAGTAATTCTACAATATTAATTATAAAAATTGTGAATATTTGTACAAATATATTATTTTATATTATTTAGGTCGCATAAACCAGACTATGCAACAAATGCTTGTCGTATTCATGGTAGTTTAGTTGTGAATAAAGTCGCAGGAAATTTTCATATAACTGCTGGGAAATCATTATCTTTGCCACGTGGTCATATACATATTTCTGCATATATGACGGATCAAGATTATAACTTCACTCATAGGATCAATAGATTTTCTTTCGGTGGACCGAGTCCAGGCATTGTGCATCCTCTTGAAGGTGATGAAAAGATTGCAGATAATAGTAAGTTTTATTATTACAAGTTATTAGAAAAAATAGTAAGAAACTATCTGTATATATAATGATGATTTTTAATAGTGATTTTTTTCTAGACATGATGTTATATCAATATTTTGTTGAAGTTGTCCCTACTGATATTAGAACATTATTAAGTACATCTAAGACATACCAATACAGTGTTAAAGATCATCAAAGACCAATTGATCATCATAAGGGATCTCATGGGATACCAGGAATTTTTTTTAAATATGATATGAGTGCACTTAAGATAAAAGTAACTCAGGAACGTGATACCATTTTTCAATTTCTAGTGAAATTATGTGCTACCGTGGGCGGTATTTTTGTTACAAGTGGTAAATACAATGCAAACACAACAAATTTTCCAGTAAGTGATGATATGCAATTCTTATCATTTCTAAATTTTTACAGGATTAGTTAAAAATATTGTACAAAGTTTTTGGTATATTGTGTACTGCAAATTTTTAAACTCTGAAAAGAAAGCAGATCTTAAACATTCCACGAATTATCGGGCTTCTGGTACAATAAATTTACTTGATGTCGCGACCCCTCAAAGTATCGATATCATGTTGAAGCCTCAATAAAAATTCGTGAGTTAATATTTCCTATGTGAGTGTATGGAAAAAAATATAACATTAGAAATTATGATATTGATATATCAAGATATATGTATGTGATATTTCTCATGAAAGTGTGATTAAATATTTTAAATCTTTAATGTAGAAACTAATGAAATTCTTATAATTTATTAAAATATGTGTATGAAAAAGTTACGGAAAATTTGATTCAATGGAATGTTCACAGATTACATTTCCTCTACATCTGTCCTATGATTGGCTTTTTAGATCCACCAATCAAATCCGTTTACCACAAGTCGATCACTTTACGGTGATTTTCTGAACGCAGCTGATAGGTTCTTCAGTCAATCCACTTGTCATTACGCGATGCGGATGTATTCGCGTGTGTTTACATACATGCATGAAGAAATTATTATCCAATAGTGATTTATAAATTTTATTTTGGATAGTCGAAAAGATTAGGTGCTCGGAACACGGTGATGAGAAACAAAATCAATTTCGTTTTGGTATATCGTTAAATATCTCGCAACAGAAACATAACCTTCAATCGAGCCGTCAGGATGGCAGATGTACGTGATATTTTGGACATCGAGGTGCCTACAACGGAACTGACGAAGGAGTCAATAATAGGTAGCGACAAGAAGAATCGCAAACGGTATGACTACAACAAAGTGCCAAAACGTCCTGAGGGTATGCATCGCGAGGTGTTCGCGCTCCTCTGCAAAGATAATAATGATGTACCACCGTTGTTCCCGACCGACACGGCGAAGGGATACAAGCAAGTACGAGCCAAGCTTGGTATGAAAAAAGTGAGGCCGTGGAAGTGGACACCGTTTACCAATCCGGCACGCACAGACGGTGCTGTCTTTCATCACTGGCGACGTGTTGCTGATGCCGGAAAGGAATATCCCTTTGCAAAATTCAACAAGAAAGTTCCTATTCCTTCGTACACAAATGCGGAATACGTCCAGCATTTAGTGACCAATGGTTGGTCACGAGCAGAGACGGATCATTTGTTTGACTTGTGCCGGAGATTTGATCTTAGATTCATTATCATTAAGGATAGGTGGGATCGCACTAGATTTCTCGCAAGATCTGTAGAAGACTTAAAAGAGAGGTAAGCATGTATATTTAATTCAGATGTATTTTCTTCGCCTATGTTTGCAATTAACAGATAAATGCTTAGATATTACCAGGTGTGTGCTGCATTGACAAAGGCAAAGTCCCACAGTGACAAGGTATATATTTTTGATGCGGAACATGAAAAGCGTAGAAAAGAACAACTAAAAAAGTTGTTTGAACGTACTCCTGAACAAGTGGATGAAGAACAGACTCTACTTGCCGAATTACGCAAGATTGAGCAGAGGAAAAAGGAGAGAGATAGGAAAACACAAGATTTGCAGAAATTAATTACAGCAGCTGATCATCAAGCAGATCCTAGGAAGAGCGAAAGAAAATCTTCCAAAAAAAGTAGCAGTTCTTCTAGGAATAGACCAAATAAAACTGATACTTCTCATGTAAGTGCCACAAAAAATTTTACTCTACATATAGTACATTCATTTATAAAGTGCTCGTAATTTTTTTAAATTTTATAGGCAGTTGAATCAGCTGGAATTAAGTTCCCTGATTTCAAAAATAGTGGTGTTACTCTTCGTTCTCAGAGAATCAAATTGCCAAGTAGTCTTGGTCAAAAGAAGATGAAAGGCATCGAACAAATGTTAAATGAATTAAATTTAGGTAAAAACTACAGTTTATATTTTTTATATTGCATTTTTATAAAGGTTTAAAATTAATCGCTAAAACTGTTGCTTCTATTATAGAATTGAATCCGCCACCAACGGAACAGATATGTCAGCAATTTAATGAGCTACGTAGCGACATAGTTTTGCATTATGAATTGAGAAGCGCGTTGTCGACATGTGATTATGAATTACAGTCTTTAAGGCACCAATATGAAGCACTAGCACCAGGGAAGGTAATCGTCAAATATAATATTTTAAATAAACATAATTTAAAATAACATCGATCGATAATGATTGATGTTGAGTTTTATCTGATGCATTTTTTTTCAGACTTTAACAATACCAGCGGCACTTCTGCCAAAAACAGAACCTGAAATTAAAGCAGATATCATCGATGTGGTAGGATCACCCAGCATGCCCAGTATTACTCATTAATTTCCAAAGGTATATATATATATATATATCTATTTAAAAATTAATTATTCTTTTCCTCTGTAAATATCATTTCATCAATTTTCTTATCTATTAGCGTGCCAATGATTTTTCATACCAAAAATTATAGCATGCGACCGCTATTACAATGTATTATATATTACAATTTTTATTTTGTATTAAAAGAAATAAACAATTTAATCACAATCGCGCGAATGTATAACATTATATATATATATCATTAACATACCAATCGGTATGTAAGCATGCTAGGTAAAGAAATAAAAACACAGCGATGGTAATTACTTATATATCTGTGTATTTTTTATATTGTCGACAAAAAGTAACAATGTACGGTCAAACCGTATAATTTATCTACAACAATCTACAATAGATTACAATATGTTATTTTGTTTTTCTTAAGGGTACAAGGGATGTGACTGGGTGTAGAGAGGGAATATAAGATCGGGGGAAGGATGAAAGGGAGTGGGAAGAGGGGTGTTGAGAGTGTGAAGAGTGTTGGATGGTCGTCGATGCAGGCCTTTCTTCGTTCGTGCTCGCGTTACAGTCGACTCTTTAATCCTATAATAAATTACTCGGTAGCTCTCTAGCCGTACTTGGTACGGAATAATGCATGTATATCTGCGATAATAATCGATAAACCAGCGGTGTATCCCGCCTGTTTCCTGGCTGCTGCGTGTCGCCAGGATTCTCCCGATCAAAGTTAAGACGGTGCAATCAGGCGGAATATCGTGACGGATTCTTCGCAAATGAACAGGATGCATCTACTCGTCTTGATACGCATGTCGTCGACACCTTGATCGCTATCATCCTAGCGACACAAGTCAGCTGTCTCATGTTTCGACGGTCGCATACCGGTCTGTGTTAAAGGAGATTTATCTTTCTTGAAGCAGCTGTTAACTGTCAAGTCGTATCGCGCATTCGAATCACCCTATAGTCGCGGACTAACAACAATGCGTTACGTTTTGAAACCTTATAAAAATTTACATCTCGGTATGACACGCGTTTCTTTGTTCTACGACGTTCTCTAGCTTATCTACTAAGTAGTAAACGCTATAAGAAAAATTTAAATGCGTATGTAACATCATCGCGCCGTTCGTGTATATGCTACGTACATCTTTGCGCGTACGGAATATATGTATCTGAATGTTTCCTTACGCGAAATATATGATGGATACCACTCGAGAGTTAGAGCTGCCTCGCGCGCGTAGAATCGCTTCAATCGGAGATTGACAGGTGTATGTACGTTTGTCGTTATCGAATACGCGACCGTTTGAAGAAGATGCCGCTGTCCTTGACGTATTGTTCGATTTCTTAAAACGAGAGACTGAGACTTAACGATAAAATTTACTGTCGGTGCACGGAACTTAAAATAATGGAACGGAGAGGTACATTAGTCGCCTCCTAGGAACGTTTTTACATACCGAACAGTCCAAGTAATCGTAAGGGGATATTCCGATCCAAATCCGAAATCGAAAAATCAAATTATCGACGCTGTGTCGTCTAACGATCCTGTCCCGCAGGCATTTCAAACGCAACGAAATACTCTCGTTTGTCACGCAATTTCATTAATAACGACAATAATAATCGTCTCTTGTGCCCGCTCTCGCGTGTCCTATGACAATATTATGCATTAATATATACGTATATACAATGGCGAGATGTAGGGGGAGCGCTCTGTTTTTTTTTTATTATTCTTCACTATAACAAGAGATGTGAGATCGACGTGCGAGGATCTTGGTAGACTCGAGCACTCAAACGTGCTCCAATCCGATTTATTCACGCTACCGATTCATCGAGCATCGTCCGATACTGTCGAGCCTTTAATCACCTCGAGCAATTAACATGCCGCGGATACAATAATGGATACGCCTATAACAATAATGTCGCAATAACCACGATCGTAGCATAATGATACCTAATCGTCCGCAATAGGGCATGTGCATGCAGAAAATAGAGCGCTGAGAGATGAGTCCATTGCGATACTTTTACTTATCCCTGCGCAATCTAATTTGCAAATTGTAATTGGATAAATAACTATAGATACGAGTATGTCCAGGTGTGATTAAAAGAATCAGCGGTATTTTTTTATCGGTTTTATATATATATCTCTTTTAATTAGAACGTTTATCGCATAACGTTCGCTCTCAAGTAGCTGAGAAGTAATTATTACTTTAAATCTCATAACGCGTTTTTATATATTCTCTGAAGATTATTTTTTTTTTTACTTGCGTAATTATATAATGGTGATAACAACAACGGGGGATAAGAATAGATTTTATAACGAAGTAAGAGAGAAATTTTTACTAACAAAATGGGATATAAGAGAGCGGTATAACAGCATTAATATTTTATAATACGTTGATAAAACATCTCGACTCTCTTTCTCTCTTAGATATAATCGATTCTTTTCTTTCAGGAACTTTATAAAACGTTAATGCTAACAAAAATATTGCCAATTCTAAATATACTCAATTACACGGTCCAATTATTGCGTCGCGTTAAAACTTAAAGGAACAAGAGTTATTAGTATGAAAAAGGTACTCGCTCTCTCTCTTTCTCTCTCTCTTTCTTTCTCTCTTTTTTTTTGTAAAGATTAATGATGAAAAAAGAATCTATACTGCATATCGCGATATATATGTGATAGAATCGAGCGAGACAAATAGAGCTCGGTCGTTGATTAACGTATCTTTGTTTTTGTTGAGTTTTACTGAATAGAGTATGTGGGATAGATAGAATGTAAACTCTTGTTACTTGATTATTGTCGACTGTATATCAATAAATACTCGCGAATCAAAGTTTTGAAGAGTCAGAATACGCTTATATGATTATACAATATTCAGCGTTTAAGCGAGACCTTTGGGAACTTTGAAGAGAATCGTTCGCACGATTTCAATTTATCGCTATCGTAACGTTAGCGTTTCTTCCAACAATCGGTTTTTAACTGACTATTTAATATGCAATTAATATATAGTGTGAAAACTTGTGTCTCGAAGAGTATTCTAAATAAATGCCTACGTTAATTCGAATTGTTGTAATAACGCAGCTTCTCTTCTTCGTCATCTTTTAAGTACTTTCTATTGCATGATATAACATTGAAATCCAGGTAAAGAGTGACGTAGGCGAAGGTGTACCCTCGTAAGAATCGGATTTAATCACGCAATAAGTATTTCTACCGTTTTCGAGGCTGTTTAGTCGCACTTTTTCTAGAGGAGCCACGCCGAGAAGATACACAGTCTCCCTCGGATAATTAGCGTGTAAGTAGAATTTTTTCACCACAAGACTTCGCAGGAACGCGTTGCCAAATGGCAAAAGTGGAGAAATGAGCGGTTAGCATTGTAAAGAGAGTAGTGCAAATCCGCGACAAGCCATATATGCCGTACTTTATTAAAGAGCATCAAAGAGCCCGCAGATAGCGCAATTTTCATCACGAACAAGTACGAGTGAGTTTAAACAGACACCATCTCATTACGGCTTTGTCCCGTTTTAACGCATCGGTGACGACAGTTTATGCGTGTGAAAAAATTTCAGTTGTCAATAATGTCGTTCTTTTTATTTTAACTCGGAATAAATCATGCGTTATCGTGAAATTTTAACATCTGTCTCAATTGTCAGATTATTTCACAGGCATCACAAACGTAAAATAAATGCGGAGAAAAATTTATGTATAAATATATTGTTACAACGTAAAATAAATGTATAAATATATTGTTGCAAACGTAAAATAAATGCGGAGAAAAATTTATGTATAAATATATTGTTGCAATTGTGTTGTTCAAATACTTTATATAAATTACAACTTAAATTCGAAAAATTATTATCACACGATACTCGATCGTTGCCTAAAAGTAAATTAGAATCTGTAATTAATTAAGTCTTTAAATAAAAACTTGATTTTTAAAAATTGTCCGCGATACGTTAAACGGATTGCATCCTTCTTCCTCTCATATCTCCATTGTCAAAATTGATATTGCGAATTCTTATCGTAACAATTTGCATTAATAATGTATTCGTATGAATAAAAGTCCGTCAATAAGTTCCGTCACCGTTGTGGCTTTTCTCGCGACGAAAGCAAAAAAAGAAAGGGAATTAAATTGCGAAAAGATCGGGAGGGAAGCGTCGCGATTGGCGAGTAATTTGACTTAATTGTATATAACATTAAGTATGTATACAGAATACGCGCATTTTTATTACATCCCTCTCGCTCTGTCACATTTGGACTCGCGCGTATATTTTAATACGTAGCGCCTCAAACGATCCTGCAACTGACCGGAAGAAATTTTTCGTCGTTAAAAGATTTCCTCTTTCTGCTTGTGTTTTTTTGCTTTTTTCGCATAACATGTAACATGAGAAATCGTAGTTTACTCGTTAAAGACATCCCTACACAACATGGCTACGATAATGCGTAATGGATATGTGCGCAAGTGCGTGTGACGAGGCTGACGGTAAGAGACGAAAGGCTGCGAGGGTGGAGGAAGAGGAGAAAGAGGAAGAGGCCAGGGATCGCGAGGGTGGAGATGAAGTGTACGCACGTGCGCACATAGGCACACGTTTAAGGTATATGTATAGATTCTGTATATACTCAATCATTGATTTTCGTTAAGTAACTAGCTTCTTCGAGTATGTATATATATACACATAGATATATGTATATATACAGAACATATATATGTGAATATATATATATTTGCAATTAGGTAATAAGTAGTATATGCATTCAAAACGGAATTCGCACGAGTTTATTCTCTCTCTCTCTCTCTCTTTTCTCTCTTCCTTTCGCACTCTCAAGCGATCTCTCGAACTGTCACTCTCGCACACATTTTACACGCATCCCTCGAACAGGCTACAACTAGAGTGCCCTACCTATGCTACGGCGCTATGGTAGACAACAACAAGTAATATCATTATCCTAAAACTTCTGATCTTTATCATTTTCGCTTGTTCTACTTTCGTATCCGCGTATATATGCCGTAAAAATGTTGTATATAATAATATTAATATTGTTATATATTCTCTTCGTTCTTTTATTGCACACGCGGTGTCGTGCCCGTTGGCGCCAGCGCCGTAAGTCGGTCCGACTGATCCGCGCCCTTTCCCTCCTCCCCCTCCGCCCTCCGGACGCGGAAATCGTTGA